TTTTGGTTTCTGGTTTTCAGCTGCGGCCTGGGCAAGTGTGAAGACTCGTAAAAATCAGCTTACTATATTAAAACTGCAGCGACATTTATGGCATCGATCTACAAAATGTTCATTCTTCTTGTTTGGTTTACTGATTGGCTCTGCAATTGGTTCTTTGATGATTAATGCGCTGTCCTCCTCCCCATCGAGAGAACAATTTCTGCAAAACTCTGTTTCTATTGCGGCATTGTGCATCTGTAGGCGTTGGTCCCCTTTCAGATAGATATCCCTTTGTCCTTGGGTCCGGACTCCGGAGCACCTTTTCTTTACACCTTTTGAGTTGGCGGCGGTTTCTTTGGGTCTCTTTAATTCTTTTACAATGACCAAGAGATGACTTTGGAATTATTCTGTTGGCAGCAGCTGAAAGTGGTTCCAGGGAACTTCTTATTTCTTATTTCTGTTTTTATTGCGGCAGTTTATAAATGTTTTTCCCACGTAAGCTTTTACACACGCTGGCAGCTGGCGGCCCTACTTTGTTTTATAACTTTCATTTTCTTAATGAATTTCCATCGTTTAGCCTTAAATCCATGAGCCCCGAACCGCAGCTTATTTGTTTTCCATTATCCCTTTTTTTTTTGGGGTCAGTCAGGTATACCCTGTAATAAGGCAACTGTTCGCGCGAGCACTTAGCCCCCGAAGATTTAACATTTTGATGGATTTTCAATAAGCCCATCCCTCCATTCGGCCGAGAATCACTTTAGTTGATGACACAGTCCATCGAGGGCCTCATTATGGGCGGATTGGCTGGGGCTGGGGCTGGGGATGGGGCTGGGGGGCAGTCGTATGCGCTTTCGCAAAAGAGCCCAATTAGAGAGTGCAAGATGAGTTTAAAATTGAATTTAAAATGCATCAGACTGTTTACCGTAATAATATCGACACATTTATGGGACCGATCCCCACACTCTCCCCACTCTCCCCAGACTCTGACTCCCTTGAGGGCGCAGGCGCATTACACTTTGTTCGTGGTCCTTGTCTTGGTCCAGGTCCAGGTGCTATGCCTTAATGAGCTTTTGTTTCGGACATTCAGGCCTGGTGCCTGGGGCCAGCTCTGCCAACTATCTGTATCTGTCTCTCACTTCTTCGGCCGGGCTTAAATAAATTTTAAACCTGGCGGATTTCGGCTTACTCCTTCAAAAGGGGGGGGACAGATGTTTCAGTTCTGCTTTTTTTCGAGCTTTATGCTTCTTTTTTTCGCTGCCTTCTCCTCTTTCCCTTCCTCTCTCGCCCACTCTCTCTCTCTGTCTTGTGCTGACTGAGTTAACTGATATTATGGATGCTTTATTATTGTGTGCAGTGTGCAGTGTGCTGGTGCAGTGTACCTGTACCATTGCCCGCCTCCATCGATGCTCGTGTGTATTCCTGCATCTGTTATCCTGACAGCAGGACTCACCCGCACCACCACCCCGCTCCCGCACTCGCACGCTGGGGAGGTAATCGATCTCATGTGGTTTATTTACATCCGTTATGGAAATTCACTTTTCGCTCGGTCTGCTTTTGTTTTATGAATTGGCTTTGTAGTCTCATCGTCCTTCGTCCTTGGTCCCCCCCCCGCTGCTTGTATTGATGACAATTGCAGTTTTTGGCATGCAGCTGGACACATTTACATCCGCTCGCAGTGTGTGCCTCTCTTTTGACAGCAGATTTTTTCGCTCTCTCTTTGTTTTTCCTTTGTGGAACCAGAGTATATTTTTTGTATTCACTTTTTTGTATCTTGCAGGCAGGCAGGCGGAAGTGCAATACTTTTCCCAGTGCTTTAATATTTTAGTTTGTCCGGATAGCGAATAGATACGTAATAAAATAATAGGGAAATCGCTTTGAAAGTTAGGTGAGGGGTCGGGGTTCGAGATAGGCTGTTACCAAAAACAATATAATTAATACCATACTCTTTTTACTATTTAAATTTTCATTGGTGCAGGGTCTGCCTGCCATGGTACCTTTTCCGCCAAAAGACATTTCAGATAGTCGCGGCTCAGCCATAATTCGTTATGGTATATTACGCAGAAACTTCTTTTATCTTTACACAGAAGTTCTCACAATAGTTCTCACATGGAGTTTCCTCCCTGCGCGCTCACACCTCTGGAAATGTAAATGTAAGTCATTTAATGCCGAATGCCATTGTGTAATCTTGAGACACTCATATACGTAATGCGTATGTTTTATGGAGCACAACGCGGAGGATATATCAAATTGTATCTACAAGTCCAATTTAATTATAGGCCACGCAAGGCTCATCAAAGTTTCTGCAGCGACTGTTGCAGGTGCAAATGCAGGCAGAACCTTCCTTCCTTCGCTCTGACCAGTCGCCAGTCGTCAGCGATACGAGAGCTCATTTTCGGTTCCACATTATTATTATCCACGCTTTGAGCCGCGCTGAGTCCGGTTCGGGTTCGACTTCGACTTCAGTTTGGGACTGCGGACTACGCGCACCGCTCCACAATTCATTTGCAAAGCGTATCCAAAAATGTTGATGGGATTATTATATGTTGTTGATCTCGAGCGAGCGACTGGGGGGGGGACTGGTGACTGGTGACTGCGACAGCGACTGCGACTGCAGGTGGAATCTCTCAATGCCCGGGCAGGTCTTTATCTTTTTAATGTTGAGGATGGCTTTGTGTTTTTTGTTGTTTCTTTTCCCCTGCTTTCCTTTTTTTTTTTTGGTTTTAAGCATTAATTTATGTATTAAAAGTTAGAAATCCGTGTGGACAGGTGAATCTTTCGCTGCCTGCCCTTTTTCTACGCATTCTCGCAAGGTAGCCAAGGTAGAAATGTATAATTTAAGGCATAGCATTGGTAATGAAGGGACAGGTACAGGTACAGGTATGTGGGGATTTTAAGAGCGCGATTCTAAAGTGGGAAATATAGGAAGAGTGAATAAAAACATTTCCCCAGGTCGAATCGGCACAGTTCTCGCTATTTATCCTTTGAATATTTTCCATTGAAAAATAATCCCCTCCCCCTGACAAAAGTGTAATGCATGCCATTCCGTTGCTGTCTAAGTCCTAGCTCATTGTCATTCATCATATAAATCAAAATTCACACCGAGACAGGACATGGACATGGGCACACAGGAACCTCGAGGCTGGCCTCCACCTGAACCATGAACCAGGAACCAAAGCATTCGATTGTATGCAAAAAAATACAGCAAAACAATAATGAAAATGGATTCGAATTTCGAATGGAGTGCAATGCCGCAGGTGGCCGCAAACAGTCGGCCTCTGTCCCGTTTGTAGTCGTCGTCGTCGTCGTCGCTTCGTTCGTTCGCTTTTCAAGTGTTTGCCTTTGCAGTTGGACAAATTTACATGCGCGCCTCGCACACAATGAGACGGCGGCTGACCGTGCCGACCAGCCAGGATGGCCTGGCCCAGGCCAGGATGGTGATGGGGCGACTGCAGGTAGCCCGGTGGACAGAGAGCTACTATATTGGGAATGTCCGACAGTGGGACACACGTCGATATTCAAATAGTTTCCCCTGCCAGCTGAAGGCATCCAGCAAACACACAGACATCTGGCTCTGTGTGTGTGTGTGTGTGTACACTATTTAAATGATGGAAAAATGTAAAGGGATTTGTTGGGTCGGTTCGTGTGATTCCCACATTGGACATTGCTTTATCCTTTGTGAGTGCGAAAGTGCGTGAAAGGTGTCCGTTTCCTTTGTTGAAAATATTTTAATTAAATGGACTGAGTTAAGCCCTGTGGGTAGGCCGACACAGATCTGAGGGGAGTGGATCTGGGATGGAGATGGATGGATGGATAGACCGCTGCAATGGCAAATCAATCAATTCCAGCCAAATGCGGTCAAAATTCAATGCTCCATTAAGCAACACAACGAAATGCCAAAATGCACAAAACCAAAAAATAAAAACAATCCCTTTGTAGTGGGGAAATGCAGATTCCAGGCATGGTTTAAGGTTGAAGTGCGCTTTTAAAAGCTTTTTCGATTGCACAAATTTCCAAGTGTTTCGGAATATTGCCAGCAATTTGTGTGCCATTTTGAAAGCGCTTTGCGTTATGACAGTTGATCAAGTGAGACGTTACGTTAAAAGCATAGGCAAGCGGTTAGCTTCTCGTAACTCTATGCAAAGTGGAGACTGGTTTGATACCCTACCCATTAAAGTCGTGCTCTTCGCTAATGGATATTGATGTCCCATCAATATATGCTAATCTGAACCTACTTGTATTTCATTATATAAAGACATGCCTTCTGGCACAACTAATACTCCCCCTCATAATTCAGGAAGAGTGCCAGTTAGGTGCAGTAAAAAATGCCAAATGCCTGCTATCAAATGCTCCTTTTCAACACTCGTACTAAAATTGCATATCAAAAGGGCTACTCCCCTCACCCCCCCTCACCACCCCGGGGGGACCCGCACTGCACACTGAGTGCAAAAATGCATTTGCATGCATTGCTGAACAAGCAGAGAAGGACACTTGAATTTGGTGCAGCCAAACTAAAAACGCAAAACGTTAAAAAAAAACAACAAAAAGAGCATCAGCGCTGCTTCTGTCACCTGTTTGCACCGAGAGATGAGCCAGGGAGAGGTAAGGCCAGGGAATATGCCGGAACGATGGAATGAGAGGGGGGTGTGGTGGCTCATTTGCATACGATTGAAAAGCGCGGAATCAAAGTGAATAGAAAGGAAAAACAACAAGCAATTGGCAATGGATTTTCCTGCGTTTTGAGTGTGGGTGTGTGGGTGTGTGGGTCTGTGAGTGCGGGATGCTGGCTAATTAAAAGCACATCAAAAGCGCACAGAATTTGCATAGCAAACGAAACGAAACGCGAAAATTAAATAGAAATTTTTAGTTGCACTTTTTTCCTTCGCGTTTCGTCTCGTTTCGTTTCCTCAAAGCTGCTGCCAATGCCAAAAAAAAAAAAATAAAAAAAGTTGTGTCATGAATAGCTGTCGGTGGAGGAACACGCGGCAGGGACAGATCGTCCAATAAATGTCAGCGGAACAAAGTTTGTTCGCAAACTATTTTTATAATTAAACAAACTTATTGCGATAACTGGGAAGCTGAATGCAAAACTTATTTCAATGGGGACAGTGCAAGGTCTGAGCATAAATTAGGAAAACGTCAAAGTTCTCAATCGTTTTTTTAGCCCAAGGCCTTGAGACATCAACTCGACCGCCATTTGGCCTTTGACAGCCACAGCGACACACTCAAAAGCTTCCAGTACAGTCATGTACATATACAAGGCTTTAATTGAGTGTTATATACAACGATTTCCTAACTTTAAACTAAATTATGCTACAGGTTTGCTTGTGCTTGTGCTGGTTGCTGCCGCCGCTGCCGCCTGCGAGGCGTGATGCTTGGCCACAGCCTCCTGGGCTTTGCTCAGTTGAATGTAGCCTTCGTGGGCCCGGGAACGCAGTTCACTCTCCACGCTCTTGTTAACGGACTTTGAGATGACTGCCTTAATTTTCTGCGTTTCATTGAACTTGCCTTTTTTAGCCTGGATGGGTGCATCTGTAAAAGCAAAAATATTGAGGCACGGGGCAAGCAGGCAACTTGTTGCTACTCACTGGATCGGCGTGTGAAGGCTGCTTGCTTTTGCTTCTTCTTTTGCATGGCAGCCGGCATCTTGGCTTTCTTGAATTTCCCCTGTGGCATCGTTAATTGGTTTATTTGTTATAGATTTATGAATAAAACGAAAATATTTCGCAGCACGTTGTTTTGGTTGGTTGTTAGTGTGGCCGTACGCTGATTTCAGCTATCGATACGGGCATATCGACTGTTGTTGGGAGCTGCCAACTTGGCTTACTATCGGAACAGCTGTTCGAAAGCAAAGAGCGCGCACTTAAAAAAAAAACACTCAAATATTGCAATAAGAATTGGCATATTAATATTAACTCAAAGTATGTACTCGAAATCAGTATTCTATTGAATAAACATTTATGAAATCTGTATTTTGGGCCATAGTTGTTTGTTTATTTTCGATTGCAGGCTCGCTTAATTATAACTTTAATTATTTAACATATATTTTGTTTGCATACTGCTTGCTTTAAAGTTTAAACTAATAAACTAAATACAAGGGGGTTACATTCAATGCCAAACTTAAGTTGTTCGCGATAATCGTTTTTGTTTTTTTTTTTTTTGTTTAACAAGAAATGAGTAACATTTAAAAGCGCTGAATAATTGTTTTACATATGCCAGTTAAATGGGATTTTCATTATCTTTGCGTGTGTGTGTGTGTGTGTATATGTATATGTATTTATAGTTCTTTTCTTCTTTTTTATTTTCTTGCTTTGTTTTTTTTTGTTGTCTTTGCTCACTTGGTGATTAAACAGAGTTTTTATATAAATTGTTTTACAAAAATCATTAATTATTCTCATACATGCATTTATGCGTGTGTGTGTATATGTGTGTACGATATAAATAAAACAATTAACTGTTCAATTTGGCCACTATAATGCCAGTTACAATTAAACCTATTATCACAGCAATCACTAAAAGGATCAGAATCTTGCGGCGATAGCTCTGACGACTTCTAGCCGCCTTGGCCAACTCCGAATGTCCGTCCTCCACATTGGTGGCGGTCTGCTCAATACTGTTCTCAATGAAATCTAGCAAAAAAAAAAAAAAAGGAAACACAAAGGGGCAGGAGGATTACATCAGTTTGAATCAAGACTTTTCACTCTCTTGCTACTCACCCATTTGCTGGCCCTGCTCGTGCACCAGTCCACTCAGCTTGGTGAATATCTGGTTCACATCTATGATATCAGACTCGATTTGGTCCACCTGACGTTGGCGCTCAACCAGCATGTCGTGCTCCTGCTGCAGGCCAGCCTGTTCCTGGCGCTGCTCCTGCAGCAGCTCGGCCCGGGCAGATGCCTCCGACTCGTGCTCGGAGCCCAGGGCCCGCTGATAGCTTTGTCGCATAGCGGATGAGATGCTCCTCTGCAAGTTGGAGTATTTCTCGACCACATTGTGGAACTCGCGCGTCAGCTTCTCCAGCTGGAGCTTCTGCATGCGATCGCCGTGCCTGACGACGGCCTGCAGACGCTGCAGGTCCCCGGTAATGGTCTGTATCCTGGCATTGGTCTTTGTATTGATGCTGTGCACTTTGTCCCGCAGCGTCGGCAGATCTTTGGGCGTGCCAATCAGCTTCAGTTGCTTCTCCAGCTGCTTGGTGCTGAAGAGGACAGCCGTAATGTTGTGCCCGATGTCCTCGCTGAGGGACATGAATTCTGTGGGACTGAAGCCGGAGGAGCCACCGGGCGCAGCGAAGCTCACTTCGGGCGTGATACTCTCGGCCGTTGCGCCGTAATCGCGGTGCGGGGCACCACCACCCGTTGGATTGTTCAAGGCCTGGGACATGACTGCTCTGCTGATTCTCGCTGCTGTTGCTGTTGTTGTTGTTTTGTGTTCGCTGGGCTGGCTCGATGACGCGACTGTGCGGCTATGTAGAGTAGTAGATAGTTGAAAATGGGGCGACAAATAAACCCGCAGACGGTTCACGTTGCCTCGCTCTGCATTACACAAACAAACAAACAAACAGACAGACAAATCCCTACAAATGATTCACATATGAAGAAGTGCTCAGTTGCTTTTGTTGTTTATTCCACACACGAACTTATCAACATACACAAACACTTGTGGGGGGAGGCGAGGCAGTATGCGGGGAACAGAAGAATAGCAACAGCTTTCCTATGGTTTCCGACTGGCAGCAAGATTTAGTTACCTAGGATTTACTTCAAAACGAGTTGCAGTCGATTGCAAGGGAGGTGAAGCGTTTCCCTTAAAGCCTAGTAGTCAGAACCAAAAACTGTTTGCTAGCAAAAAATATGTCATATATTCCACTAGCTGCCAGTGGTGTGACCAGAGGTATGCACTGCATTCCGAACGGTTACACTGCTCAGACAGCTGCTTCGTTTTGTTTAAAGTTAATAAAATGCACTTCTTTGGCTGGTGTCGCTCTTTCCCAGGCATATCCTGGGCTCCCCAATATTTTATTGGCAAGGACATGTGTCAGACTATCAGCAGCAGCAGATGGCAAAGCCTCCCGTGCCGACCACCGTGAAGACAACATGTTTTGCAAACAATTTTTTTTATATTCATAAAAATTAATAAAATGAATAAATTATTATATCCATATAATTGCCATTCATATAGCTGCCTTAATTAGATTATATTTGTCATCATTATTTTAAAATATATTTTGGGCTTTTGTTCTCATATTGCAATGTTTGCTTCGTGTTGCTACATACTAACTACATATACTATGTGTACTTTTCGACGGAGACACTGACGAGGGAAATGTGTACGTTTCTAAAATACTGGAAAATACTAAGCATATACGTAAAATACTAATCAAATTATAAAAAAGTGTGTCAGTGTTGTCGGAAAAGTGAAACGCAGTGTGACCCCGCAAATCTGATCCTCAAAAATATACCAAAACATACCGTCTGTGTCAAAATATACCGTAAATATACCAAGGAAAAAAACGAATTTACTTGTAGATAATACTCTCTGCACACTGAGTCCATCCTGGGGGAACGGTGGGAATTTTTGAAAGATGTGAAACACCGATTCACATTGACACCATCCACCATCCACCATCCATGAGAAACAGCTGTTGCGTGAGGTGAAAATTTGTTTACTTTAATTAAAATGAATATAAATAACATTTCAATGGTCGTGAATGTGATTCAGCAGCAAAACATATTCTTGCACAAGCTAATCATGTTGTTGGACATGGACGATGATGATGAAGATAACTTTGACGAGGAGGAGATAATAGAATGGATATCTGTTTTGAAAACACTGAAGCCCGGAAGGTTGTGGTCATTTGTGAGTGCTTCTAATAAATGCAACCAATGTTTAAAGTACAAATATATATGTTATGTTTTTCAGAAGCGGTTCGGTACATTTTGGGAGAAGGATGTACCCGAAAACAACGAGGCGTTTTTTAAGGAAAGTTTTAGAATGGAGAGATCCTGCTTTTCTCTGTTGGTTACTCGCTTGGAAGTGCTACGGAAGAAGGACACAAACTGGCGAGCTGCAATTCCTCTGGAGAAGCGTATCGCCATATCTTTTTATACTTTGGGATCTTCTTCTGAAAAGAGTGTTTTTCGGAGTGTCAGCCAACAGCGTCTGCAATATCCTGCATGAGTTTTGCAGAGCATTCATCAACGAATTCTCAGAGAAATACATGTCCAAAAACTATCTCACTTCAGAGAAAATTGACGAGTGTGTCCAAACATTTGAAGAAATTGGGTTTCCTCAGTGCCTGGTGCAAATTGGTAATAATGCAATAAAATCATCCATAATATATGTATATACATATATGTAAATTAATTTCATTACTTGTGAATTTGGTATGAGTGCATATTTAAGAAACGGTCACACTGAATTGAGCTCGTATAATAAATTTTTGTATAAAATTTATGTTTTCTTTTTGTTCTATATTTTATTGTTACCGTATTAAACTGAACAACGTAGTATGCCACCCCCAAGACCTAAGGGGACAGGATTTACAACAGGAGTTACCCCAGCCAGACCAAACTCAAATACGCCCATGTCCGAAAGACAGCAAATGGCTCTCTTAATGCAAATGACTGCTACATCCTCCACAGGTAAACAGCATAAATATATCCTACATATATATATATACATATATATATATAGATAGTGATTATTAATAATGCTAGTTAGAACTCAGCTAAGAAGACATTGGTGATGCGTAATAAACGCATTTGTGTATGCGCGGGGACCGGGGGCCGCACCAGCAATTGCACAAAGAAAGTACGATGCACGGGCTAGCAAAATTCCCAAATGGTGTTAATAATATAGATAAATTAAAGCTAATTGTAGCACACCGTGGATTCCATTTTATGATGTACTAAAATCCGTTAATCTCCGTAACTGGTGTGCCTTCATTTCAATGAACCCGCAGCTCATTTCATACTCGTGGAGCTTGTACGCTTTTCATACATACATATGTACATACATACATGTACAGTGCAGCCAGAAGGAGGACTCTCCTTTCACTTTTTCTCAAATTAACACGACTGGAAGCTCAGGCTATAAGCCGTGTTCAATATCTATTGAAATTTTATACTAATTGATATTACCCAATTGCTTGATTACAGACTCAACCCGAACAACTATAAAAAAGAGTGAATCCAAGAAAGGAGACATTGAGATTGAGGAGACTAATTCAGCGGATAAGCAAGAAGTTATTGACTCGAAAGACAAAACATCAGCGGATGAAAACAGCTCGGATGGTAAAAACGCTGATGCGGCCAATCAAAGTACGCCAGGTACGAAACGCAGCTTCTCAGATATAGAAGAGGATTTCGAGGAATCTGGCGAAGATCTGAAAAAGAAGAAGCGCAAGGACTCGGAACACTCAAAGGACGCGAAGAGTGCCTCGCTTAAGCTATCTTCAAGAGTGGAAAAGGGCTCAAAACTAGCGGCGACGAAGGCCTCACCTTCCGGGAGTAAAGCCAACGCATCAAGTGCTGATAAGGAGCAGGTGGAGATTAATAAGAATGTCGATATTGAAAACGAAACGGAATGCAGCGATGATTATAAAAGTAATGATAGCATATACAATGGAGGACCCAAAGTGCCGCCATTGAAAATTGTTATTCCGCAACAAAATTGCTCGATTGATACTGAGGGAAATGTCCTGAGAACTGGCAAGGTGACTGCCTCGCGAAATGCTGCCCTGCCGTATGTTGTTAGCTCAAACAGTGACTCGATTGATGCCGTCATAGCAACCACCCAATGCATGAGCCCACACGAAAGCCCACAAAAAGGTAGTAATATCATTTGCTCCACCGTCCTCGATGACAAAAACATCAAGCTATTCAATGATGAGAAGAATTTGAGAGTTCTGCGAAGCTCTCATCGGTCTGGTGTGGCCAGTGCTGAACGCAGCTCGAATAACTCGTCCCCGCAAATGCAGAGCAGCTCCCCATCGCCGGCGTCCTCGAATCATGCCAATGATAATGTGGATGTAAAACTATCCTACGGTAATATGACTTCTAGTCCCATACCACAGGGTGCTCAGTTTGATCAGGAAGCGCTAGCCAATGTTCCGAGCCCATCCACGTCGTCGACATCGTCGTCAAAAGATGTCAATCCCTCCTCAAATGTTGACGTCCATCCGCGCAAGCGGAAAATAAGGCCGAAAACTAGCACCGATGATGCCTCAAAGAATTCGAGCACAAACCTGGATGCTGCTACGAATGCTGAAGAATCTCATCCTCATGATTCCCCGTTCACAAATGGATTTCAAATGTTCTTGAGTATTCGGCGACAGATTGAAAAGAAATGGAAGAACTTGTACCCGATTAAACCAAGGCCACCCCAAGGCTACAATGAATATCTGCTGACGAAACGAACGTATCTGTTGAGCAAAACCGCTGAAAAAATAGAGATTCATATACCGAAATCATTGCCCCAGAGCATGCACAAGATTTATGAAGATCAGGAGACGGCCAGACGTCATTTAAACCGGCAGCATACGGTTGAGCGGGAAAAGCTTTGCTTGAATGTCGAACAGGAGATAATTCGTGTCCATTCAAAGGCAGCCCGAAGTATATCAGGCCAATTGGCACCGTACTCCGTTTGTACTTATCTGAAAGATGACGAGGTTTACAATATGTTCACGCCCGAGCAGGACGAAAAGGAAAAGAGTGCACGTTGCCGTTTCAATGGGCGTTTGTTACTCAGCTGGCTGCAAGATGTTGACGATAAATGGGAGAAAATTAAGGTATGAATGTCCCTTTGAAGTAACTTCAAGAGATTTCTAAAAACTTCGTTTCCTTTTTGTTCAGGAATCTATGGTACTACGGCATCATAACGAGGCGGAAAGTCTGCATGCCGTTCAACGCATGGATTGGAATATCTGTGCGAGACGAAGGAATCTATCGGACTCGCAGCTCGAAGCGACTTTAGAACATATACCCATTGTTTCTGTTGGAGATGATTTTGACATACTGCCTAATTAAAAAATAAAGTTATAAAACAAATCAATCAAATCTATTTTTGTCGCAACGGGTTGCTATAATGTGAGATGAAGATCTCCCCTCATTGTGACACGATTTGGTTTGGTTTGCTGCACCTCTCGAGCTCAAAACATATCTGCAATGCTACTGAGACCACGTCCATAAAGAAAACGGCTTTGGTTTTCGTATTAAAATTATTACCTAATATTGTTTTAATTTAATTTGCTTTTAGCTGTATAAGATAGCGACGTAGGTACTATTTTCGGTATGGATTTTATGCTAGTTCAAGGAAGAGTTGCGCCAATCCCAGTACTGTTTAAAATTTAATTATGGAAAGACAGATAATTGCGGAACGGAACCTACAAACTGATCGGCTGTTGCGCGGGGAACAGCGTTCCAAGAGGAATATGTTTCGTACGCTTAAATCAATATGCAATCGACGTAACCGGCCTAACAAACGCACAATCCATCGATTCTGCGTTTGTTTGGTCGATCATGTGGATCACATATTGATCCAAGATTACGTGACCCACTGCCATTGGAACGCGGATTCCCGGAAAACAGTTGATCAGTTTGTAGACCCTGTTCTGGATGGTCTTTTTTACTGAAATTTCGAAAAATACTGGGCAAACGCACCCTGAAAATTTAGCGAAGCTCTTGCGTGATCTCTTATAAAATCCATACTAAATTAATATATTCCCCGTGTCTGTGATTCTTATATTTTTCAAGGCAGTGTTTTCAAGTTGTCCGCAATGTTCTTTGCATAGTTTACCATGTCCTGAAAATAAAGAAACGTAAAAAATATGATTTAGAGCAATGGTTCATTAAATTGAATTCCTACGGATAAACCATACCTCGCAATCTTCGTTTTGCTTGTTATTTGAAATTATTTGTGCCAAAATAAGGTCCAAATCTTTGCGTTTCTCCGCCGACAGCTTCAAATTCGAATTTAATGAGAGGGTGGAACATGCATAAAGTGTGGTCTCCTGTTTCACATCAAAGTCATCGACGGGCTTTAAGTTTTCCAATAATATAGAAAATGCGTCGGCCTTTAAAAATGCATCTACAAACGAAATGGTATTTAAATGTCTTACATTTTGTATTTGAATGAACGTTCTTACCTCTAAGAGACTTATCCAGCGAGCATAGGGATGCTATGAGAAATGCTGCTTTTATATAGACATCTGAATTGGAGGACTTCAGGCACGGCAACAGAGCCTTAACTCCATTTATTCGCTTGAATTCGTTCATGCCTGGCTGAAAGCTTCGTATTATCGATGATATGGCATAGATGGAACACCGAACTATATTCTCATTCGCTTCACTCAAATTTCGTGCAAGCGCTGGCAAAAATTTCTCCTTGGTGAAAATGTCCTGGCAAAATATGTTATTTTGTGCCATTTCAGCGACAATATTAATGGACAATGCCTGCAGCTCCTTTTCCGGCACTGTTATATATCGGATTAAAGTCTTTGTGCCGCCCATTTTGGCTAGGGAATTCGCCAGATCGATGTCATCAATGTGGCTTCTCAGATGATTCAGACTTTCCTCTTTTTCCTCTATGCTAGTCTCTAAGCTGTCTAGAATTTCTAATGCGGTTTTAAAGTCATTTGATGCGCCGACTGTGAGTGAATTTATTGCACCCTCTAGGAATCGACTTTTCTGAAAGAAAAATATAAGTGTTTAGTCTTGTTTGTCTCCATTTACTAAAGAAATACAATATATTTTCACGCCAAATCTATAAACATCCGACTCAAAGCTTCTGGCACCCCTTACTTTTAGAGTTTCCGAGAATTGCAATATAAACAACGAGAATTCTCTTTTCGGTCTGTGTTTACTCAGACCGAAATGCGATCTAAAGTCAGACCCAAAGGCGGGATTGGTCAAATAAACAATTGATTGAACAATAATTTCTGTGGGCGTCTTGGAGTTCGTGATGGTGCGACTTCTATGGATCCTTCTAGATCACACCCGAAACCGAGTTCCTTGACAACTGGGAAAACTGATTGAATTTTACCGACTGAGTCTGCAGAACTTTCTTTGATGGAAAAATGTTGTATCTCTTACGGGGGGATTAAAATGTCATAATTTATTGAAAGAATCACATACCTCTTCATCTAGATCGGTGCTTAGTTGTGCATCGGCGGCTTCTGCGTTGGCGGTGTGTTCGACAGAATATTTCAGCACACCCTACAAATCAAATACATCAGAAACTTTAGAGCATTCGACTCATGGATAAGTATATTTATTTGACTTGCCTGCAAATTTAAAGCCCTCCTCGAATTATCGGACATTTTCAAAAATTTGTATTTCAGCGGAGAACTTGTTGACGAACTTCACATGTTTTAGGTATGGAACTTATTGTCTATCGAACCTTGTCGAGATGATTGAGATGATACGAAAATATCGAACAATATATTTTTTCTTTATTGAAGTTTAATAGAAATTTTAATAGTCTCAAATTAGCAAGTAGCTTTGTTTAATTGTAAATTTATATTTCAGCTGTTTAAAGTTGTTTGAAATCTTCAGTTATTAAATAAATCTGATTCGCCAATTGTCTGATTCCATTCCACGTTCCCATTTATTGGTATAGGTGCAATATGACAGTTACCGTATTTACAACGTGTAAGTAGTTCCTATCATATGCTTGCAATTAGACTACACTCTTATGTTTGTTTGGAAAGAAGTAAAACATAAATATAAAGCCGTAACAGCGGCCGCGGTGATTCAATAACCATGTTAAGAGACCTTATAACGTGGGCCTTGAATACCTATCTGGGCAAATACCTGGAAAACTTGAATTCGGCGCAATTATCTGTTGCACTTCTGTCAGGTAACGGCACATACTCGCATATGTAATAATTAAATTTTGAAAGTGCATTTCTCTTGAAGGCGAGGTGGAGCTTGAGAACATACCGATACGGAAGGATGCACTACGAGCGCTCAACTTACCGGTGGAGGTGGCAGGTGGCAGCATACGCAAAATCAAGCTGCAAGTACCTGTCCGTCAGTTTCGAACCTCCCCGTGGTGCATATCGGTGGAGGGGCTCTTCTGTATCATTTGCCCAAAGAATCTGGAAAGCTGGGACTATACCAAAGAGAAACTACAGGATCTGGAATACAAGTTAGCGGTCTTGGACAATGCTGAGGCAGGCTGGCGATCCGAAAAGGGAATGCAAATGGAATCCTATTACTTTTCCTCCTACAACAACTGGCTGAAATATGGAACGAATATGGCCACCAATATTATAGACAATATTGAGCTGAAGATATTTGATGTCCACTTTCGATACGAAGACAGTGTTGATGTGGGAAAAACCAAAATAGCAACCGGCATCAAAATCGCATCGCTAACCGCCCAGACCTGCGATTCGAATTGGACGAGTGGTTCGTACAAAGCGGCCAACAACGAAATGAATTACAAGCTAGTGGAGCTGAAGGAGCTATCCGTATACTGGGATATTCTGCATGAAGACATTAGGTGCCAATCGTTCACCAATCAGGATATACTCAGCAAATTGCATTCAACCTGCGAGCTGCGGCCCCACAATTTTATCATTAAGCCAATATGCGCCACTGCACGATGGAAACGGGACAAGTGCCAACAGGTTATTCGCACAAAAGACAAGCCTAGAGTCTCGTGTGAGATTATAGTTCCTGAAGTAATTATAGATATATCTAAGGTATGTTTTCCCACTCCATCAGATCGCAGATTTTCTTCTATAAATATTTTTGTTTGTATATTTTTAGGACCAGCGCTTGCAAATGCTGGACAAACTTACAGGAATACGTAAAATTAAGGAAATCAGACAGTACAGACTAAAGAGGCCGACTTGTAGTGTGGCAGACGATCCGAAACTATGGTGGAAATATGCCCTAGTTTGTCATGGCTTTATATTCAAAAAGAGAGAAGAAAACTTTGCTATTCTAAGTGAAAATCTGCGCTACATGCTGCTCTACAAACTGATCATAGTAAATCCAAATGAGATCCTGTCCGACGCAGACAAAGAATTTAAAACGTTTATCGAAAGTGATCGAAATGTTTCGGATTTAAGCATTTTGCGACGCATATGCTTTGACAAAGTCTTTAGCAAAGGTCTCTCGTTTAAGTCGCACAATGTCAAGGGAAAGAATATGTTATTTCTTTGGTTTCCCAACTGGATGGGTTGGTACACTGTCAACTCAACGAGCACTGCGAACAATGAGCAGGATGAATCAATTAAACATTTGGAAGATGATATTTTAGTGGCCCTGGAGGATTCGCTGCAAAGTTCCTCCGACTTAAAGTGCGATGCTGTCTTTGGACACTTTGAGATTAAGCTACTGAAAGGCCTGCTAATCGTGCAGTCCGAGGAGGAGACGAATAAAAATGCTAAGAGCCGAAAATCAATGGAAATGCAATTCAATAATTTTTCATCGTTTCTTCAGTTAAGTCCGCTACTGACTTCCTACACTGTGGGCGTATCACTAGAAGAAGTTTATTTATTAGATAAAACCAGCAGCAATACCAAACACAAATACCTAATTAAGCCACAGACAGAGAACCCCCCGACTGTGAATAATACTCTCGAAAAGGATGTCCTATTTCAGCTACGATACGAAAACGCAAATCAATTGAGATTTCAACTGAATATTAAATCAAAGGGTTTGGATCTCATATACAACAAGGATGCGATTCACTGGATTCTGGACTTTATAACCGATTCAAGTAATGAAAATGCTTCAACAATAGTCACAAACCGTGTCGGCAAGCGAAGAAAGAACTTTTTGAAAAACTGGAATCAATTATTTATTGGAAATGAGGCAAGTACACAATATTATACACACTATATAACATATGTTTTGTAATTGCTATTTTTTAATCGCAGATTAATCGCAAGACCTGGCTGTTTGAGATTGAGATATTTGCACCACGGATAATATTTCTGGAAAACTACAAAGTTGGCAACTCTCTGATGGTTCTGTTGGACTTTGGAAAGTTTGAAATGAGAAAAATGGAGGCGAAAAAATGCCTGCCTGTAGTGGTAGTAGATCCTGCGGCAGAAAATCATCAGCAAACTAATCAGAATGATGATGATGATGACGATGATGAGGAAACTTATATGACGCCATGCTCTACGCCACCTGCATCGCAGAAAAGTGGTTCGGAATCGCCCACAATCCTTGAGAATCCGCAACATTTTCTCAATAAGAACGTAGAGCTGGAATATGTCTTGCACAATAAGATCTATGATAAATACTCGATTAACTTTTCAAATCTGCAAGTGCTGGTCTGCAAGTACGAGGAAAGATGGCAGGCTTGCTTAAAAACATCCTCGAACTTCCACCTAATTGACAAATTTGATATAACCCTGACGCTGGAGCAACGTAATATATTTACTGTGGATCCCGACTATCCGTCGTTCACGTTGTTTGGCTCCTGTCCCACAATCCTAATACACGGAAATGAAGTGCTCATCAATAACTTTTTTAGCATAATGAATCCCACGATCGATACCCTCAAAGATGTAAGCAAAGTGTATAAAGGAGGCAACCAAACGTATGCCAGCGAGCAAAGGGTCAACAGCGTTGCCAGCAATGACGACAACAGTCGAGTGGTTGTTGAGTTTGCCATTGGACAACTGGCCATAGAGATGCAGTCCAAAGAAAAGAGCATAGCAGAGCTGCAGATAATCGGCGCAAGAGCGGGTCTGATCAAGGAATCAAATGAAACAAATATAACAATGTCGGTGCATGGACTACTTTTGGTAGATGCCATACAGTCCTTTGGGCCGGACTTTGAGCTGTTAGTGGCCAGTCATCGACATGTTGGGTAGGTGCAGAAAACTTCTCCAATCAATGTTTTATTTTCATATTCTTTTTTCACTTTTAGAATGGATAGTTTTTCTGGCAGCCTAAAGCATAGTCCAATCGCTTCGCCTATTACTCCTGGATCACCATTACCTTTCTCATTTACAGAAAATTCAGTTAACAATATTCAAATGGGTATGAAAAAAACTGAAATCTTTATTTAAAGAACGAATTTTGAAGAGAATATTTTAGTAGATGATCCGATTGCTGCCTTCTGTGACGATGAGGAGTCTGCCTTAATTTCTGTAAAAGTGAAAATTGTTGCGCCCACTGCCAGCAATTCAACGCAACTTCACTCCACGGACATAACATTCAACAATTTGGATATAATTGCCAATCAGGATACCATTCTTGAGATTTTAAACTTTGCAAAACGAACAATTTTAAGTCAAAGTACGAGTAAATTGCAAAACGAAAGCTGTGGCGTCCAGGAAGAGGCCTCTGCAGAGCCAACTGAATTGGATGAGTGCGATGCCACTCAGCAAAACCATAACGAAATATTCTTTGACTTTTTTCGCCTGAATATTTTATTATTATATAAAATAAATCACGAAGGTCGCAAAGTTGGAACACTGACCTTGACGGAAGCCAAAATAAATGCTTCATTTCAGTCGGAACTAACCGTATTTGGATCACTGGGAGGCATACAGATCATCGACATAACACCAGAAGCCTTTTTCCTTCCAAGGATTCTGTCCGTCGGCCGCGATCAAATACTAAGAACTTCGGACCTAAGTAGGCAAACAGTTCCTCAACAGACTCTCGCATGAAATATACTCAAACAATTTGGATGCTGTGGATGAGATTGACGATGATGTGAAGTGCGGCGAAATCGATGCATTCAGTTTTAAAAGTCACTGGAGCGATAAAACCACATGCAGCGTCCAAATGCGAATGGCCTCGGTTTCATATACCCATTGTCCCAGATTTCTGCAAGATGTAAATGCATGTATTACGTATTTCAAACGAAGTTTGCGGTAAGTAAATCTACAAAATATATAAAATTACTTTTAAGAAGTTAAGCTTGAATATCATTGTATATATTTCAGAGAGTTTGTTACCTCCATTGGCAATAAGGCAACAGACATAGCCAAAGAATTTGTGCAACAAATCCGTGCCACGGATGTCAATGATCAAACACGACCAGTTAATCCCCAGAAGAATCGGCATGACAATCGGTAAGTACTCGTGCATATTCGCATTCGCATTCGCTAATTTCTTGCTTTGTATTTTAGACTGGATATCATTATAAACAGTCCGATTATTCTATTGCCAATATCGAGCACTAGCACGCACGTTCTAATTGCAAATTTGGGCAAGATGACCTGCTCCAATATGATTATAAATGACTCGAACGAGTTCGATGAATCCTACACCATAGAGATCAAAAACATATATGTCTATTCGATGACTATTGACGAGCGTGAAAACTGTTTCAATGTGCATCCCTCAAAGAATAAGGACGCCATTCCCATATTGCACGATACGGCCATCACATTGCAGCTTTCTGTGGGATATAACGATGGGAACGGGAATGGTGAAGAGCGAAAGCTTGATACCTTTTCAGTAAGTAGATTATTAATTATAGGAAAAATAGTAATTACTCTCTGTATATATTTTTGATAGATTGAAGGCAGCATGGTTGAAACCCTGAAGGTATCCCTTAATCGTAAACGATATGAGCTCCTCAATGAGTCCATTCAATATGCGACGAATTTTTCAAATGGCAAAGCAAATGAATCTGCACACCCCGATCCAAGTGGAGTAAGCATACCAGATTCGGAGGTAGCAGACGAGCACACCATTAGCACTATTATACAGTTTTCGGTGCCGGTTTTCCAAATCAATTTACAAAACCAACACCATGATGACCTGATAAATATTACCTTCAAGGACTTCAATGTTAAACATCGTGTTAAAGGCTATGACAAGGATATCGAAATAATATTAAAGTCCGTGCTGATGGAAGATCTAAAATCGGATAGCGCATCGCCATTCAGAAATATGGTGACATCCGTAAACCACGAAAAAGCCATCAAAAAGAAAGCATCGACGTCATCATCGTGCCCGGACATACCCACACACTGTAACTATCGGAAGAACAGATCCACCTCGGTGCCCTCATGCTTCCACGATAATAATCCATTTCAAAATCTTGACGGAGCCAAGAAGTCGGAGTTTTTGAAGAAAAACGATAAGGGAAACAAGAAGGGAGGCCAAACTTTAGTCACCTACAATTCGCATAGAGGGCGCCCCGCGAAAGGCTCCACCGAGATGGATCAATTCAGTTCAATTCAATTTAATTGCTTAAATTTGGCCATCTGCGTGGAGCGTTGGTACACCATATTCGACTTCTTCGGTCTGATATCCGCCGAGAGCGATAATCAAAAAGTAACACAGGAAAGGAAGCTGGTTAAAATAGGTAAGGAAAGTGTGGGCCCGAGCCTGGGGCTGCCTTCTGCCATTGATCCATTGATATTTTGGATACTTGAATTCTTTCTTTACAGATACAGACGATTTCTTTAGTACGCTGAATGTGTCAATAAGATCATTTAACTTTACGTTGATTCGAAATGACTCGTTATTGTCCAGAGTGAATGTGTCAAACGCGCTATTTAAAATAGTTAATGACCAATTTGGTAAATCCGTTGAGGGCCACTTGGGCTCCCTGTCGGTGTTTGACCTTACCCATTATGGCAACATTTACAAGCAAAAGTTTGTCACCAGCGGAACAGAAGCATTGAACTTCTTTTATAGGAAGTGAGTGTGGCCCGTCCTTGCCAAGTTTTATATTATTCATCGAACATTGTGTATTCACAGAAAGCCAAGCCAAGTACTAAACACGTTAGACGTGGATTCGACATTGAAGATTGGCATGTCGGCAGTACACTATATCCACACAAAGCGATTTGCCACAGAGCTACATTTATTTGTTAAGGATCTGCTGCAATTGCAAACGGTAACAGACAGAATATCCCAGTGATTTGATAACTTATAGCCTGTTCATTCATTTCTTTCAGCCTGTGATCCGAAAACTAAAGAAACAAAATGTGGAAAACGACGAAAGTCTGAGGCCAACAAAAATGAAACTTTTTATACAGGCGGACTCGCCAGTTATCGTGCTGCCGGCATCGTATAACAACAAACAAGTAATAATCGCCAATCTTGGGCAGCTTACGCTTACGAATAGCTTCCATTTGGCCAGCGAGCCATGTATCATAAGCAAGAAGTTGAACTCAGCGAAGACAAACGAAGTCTTGGACGTGATTCGCATCGATTTGGTCAACATCAATTTGTTCTCGGGCGAAAGAAGTTCCGTGAAATCAGTGGATCGAATTATCATCGCCAATATGAAGTTTGTACGGTTGGGGGAAGAGTTCTTTAAGGAATCCTGCTACCTTAATCTGCAGCTGGAGAGGAATCTGTCAACAGAGAGGATTCGCGTGTGCCCCGATATCAGTACGAAGGGAACCTTCTCCAAAGTAAATGGCGTGATCAACATTGAGCAATACAAGTTGATACGCAGCTTTCTGAATAACAATATTGGAGAACAAATTGACGATGTGTATATTAAGTACACCAACAATGTGTCCAGCTCCATTGAAATGCTATCCTCGATTAGTCTGGTGTCCAAGAGCGAAGTATCGCAGACCATTTTGAACTTGATTTCAATACAAATTCTACTCGAAGACGTCTCTATATTGCTGACTCTGAACACGACACAAAATACGCCCATAGAGCCATTGGCCTGCATTCACTTCATCAAGTCGACCCTGGAAATTGATTTATTCAGCGATGGTTCGCAAGATATTGATCTGATATCGACCAACATACTGATCGTGGACGAACGAAATGGCTCGGGTATAGGCACTGAGAATGTGTTTAGGAATATATTGCAGCCCTCGAAGAAGGACACGGCTAGTACGACGCCTAGAAATGCCGTTCAAGTGGAAATCCACTGCAGAAAGAATGCACATCTGTCAAAGTATACCATAATGTTGAACAATATGAGAGTGTTCGCCCTTATGGATATTCTGGAACAGCTCAAAGCATACTTGATGGAGGATTCGCCCACAGCAGATACTGGTGTGGCAAATCAAATACTGCAAAAGCCGCTGCCCCAGCCGATTTCTGTCACAGAATTCATTGTGAATATCACAGACTCTGAGATTATATTTACGGAGGACTGCAGTCGCCTGGACTCGGACGCAATCATTTTGAAAAGTACCACAGTGATTTCATACAAGCCCAGCAGTGTCTCCGTTCCGATATCTTTGAATATCAATCACTTGGAAATCTTTTCCTGCACACTGGATGCCGAAGACGACAGTGCTCTGTCCATCATTGATCCGTTCACATTAAACATGGAACTGCGCAGCAATTGCTTGAGCATCCTCGTGCAGAAACCCTTGAATATTCGACTATCCTATGTGGACGTTAAACTGTTCTCCAGAATGGCAAGACTCCTGCCCACGCAAACATCCAGAGTACAGAAGGTCGTATCCAAAGACGAGTCCGATCTGGAGAGAGTGGCGCCCCTTGTGGCCATGGGATTTCCGATCAATGATTGCCTGTACGCCATGCAAATAAACAATTGGAGAATCAACGATGCCGCCCTATGGCTGTCCCAACAGAAGCAAAATGCCAACCGAAACCCTGCGCTGGAACTGAAGGAGCTGGTGGTCGATGCGAATGTTATATCGGTCTTCATAATTGACGATTGCATGGATGCGGATGTGCCACTGCTGGAGATATCACTCTCCAAGGTTTTCTTCAAACTGACCTTGAAAGCAAAGGAACATCAGTCCCAAATGCAATACTATAGCTTGGCCAATGTCGACACCGAAGTGGCCCTCAACTATTATAATCGTCGCCTCAGCGGCTGGGAGCCGGTGGCCGAAACATGGGAGTGCAATGCCAAGTGTAAATACAGCAAAGGTCACGTGGAGAACAGGAAACGATTCGAGATTGGGATCTCCAGCAAGCAGTTGCTTAAGCTGAATATTACATCGACCTTTATAGAGCTTTTCCACATGGTGCTGAAGAACTGGACGAACGATTTCAATGACAATGGGGCCAAGAACTTCCGGCAACGCTCGCCGTTTATTCCGTTTGCCTTGCAAAATCTAACCGGCACGCCGCTGCTGTTCAAGCCCATTTACGCACCACTTGGGGACATGTCCTGCTCGGATGTGCACCAGTTGGAGATCATTAAGAACTGGCACTCTGTGCCGCCCAACGAGACGAAAACTTTCGATTTCATTCAAAAGAGTAAGCTGCGGCACATACACTCCCATCAGCTGAATTTGCACCAGATATTCGTGCAGATCCATGGCTGGACATTGATTGGACCCCTGTCAGTGGACAAAGTCGGTGTATTCTTTCGGACAACCAGCTTTGATTCCCTGGACTTGGCCACAAAATGTCGCATAATTTTCGATATCTCCCTGATTGGATCTGCACAGAAACTGATCAAAGTGAAATCATCGTTGGGGCTGATAAACAAGCTGGATCGAAGTGTTTTTCTGAAGACCTCGCTGAGGAGTGACTACGGCGATGGCCTCTCCGCTATAAGTGTAATCAAGCCCAACGATGAGCTGTCTCTGCCGCTTAAATTCATCGATGCTTCTATGTACATTGCGCATTGTTCCAGTGAGAATCAAGTGCTGTCTGGAAATTATACCGACGACATTGGCTTCAGCAATAAAGAAATTTTGTGGAAACTTTGCGGCAACGACAACATGCAGGAGCTGCAAGTGTGCTATGACAAAAATCGGAGCATATTATATACCCTAATCAGTATAAACAGGGAGATCTTTCACTGCAAGGAGGCTGGCTTGCCGGGCCACAAAATCACTCTGTTGCCCCCTTTGAAAATCAATAATATGCTCTGCTGCGATCTAATGTTTAAGATACACGAAAGCGCCACAGGGAGGATCAGTGCATCGGAGAGTACGAATATCTACAATGTGAATATATACGAGCCCTTCAACCTGAGCATCACACTCGACAATTTCCAGCTGTCGGGACACGTGAAAGTTCCCAGCAGGCACATCGGCATTGTGGAACCGAAATTAAAGCTGATCGACATCAAAAAGCGGGAGCTCCACTTGCGCATATCCATTCAATGTTTTCAAGGCAAGGGCATGGAGGTGTACATAAGTGCGCCGGTTTGGATCATTAACAAGACTGGGCTGCCTCTGATTTACAAGCAGGAGGGCACCAACAACACGGCGGCCGGACAATTCGATGAGCATGAGACAGCCCGACAAGTGGCGCCTCTAATGTTTTCGTTTTCGGATCAAGAGGGATCGCCTGCACTGGAAGTGCGCTTGGGCTGCGCCTTTGGCAACAACAATTTGGTATGCCAAAATGATTTCTATTTCTATATATTCAATTACTGTTGTTGTACTCAAATGTTGCAACTACTTTTGCAGTGGTGCAAGAGCTTTAGCATGCACAAGGACCTCAGTCACAGGGAATTGCGTGCCGAAAATACCAAGGGGAGCTATGCGATTGGCATAAGCGTACGACGTGGCAGAGGACTGTATGCCTGCACGACTTTCGTGACACTATCACCCAGATTCCATCTACACAACAGAAGTGGATACAAACTGGAATTTATACAACGCTGCGATATCGTAAGTAAATCGTAAATCAACTACAAACTTAATACTTTAAGGTCTCTTGGGATGTGTGTTTCAGGATCAGCCCAGTGCAAGGAATATTATTTCAGCGCCCATCGATTGCAATTTCGCCTTTCATTGGCCAAACTGGGATCAGGAGCAGTATATTTGTGTGCGCATACCGGATGTAGAGTGCTGCTGCTGGTCGAAAGGTATACCCATCAATGAGGTGCAAAGTCTGTACATAAATGTGCGCAATGATTGGAGTGAGATGTTTTTCCTGCGCCTGGAAGTCATTTCCAAAGATGCCACTTATATTCTATTGTTCACGGACGCTCGAACATTGCCGCCGCCGATACGCATTGATAATTGCTCGGAAGTTGCCATTAATTTCTCACAAATGGGCACCAGACCATCTTGGATAACGCCAGTTCGGGCCCAATCCTCGCTGGCCTATGTACTGGACGATCCCTCGGGCACACACACGTTGCTGGTGGAAGCGCCTGGCGGGAATATGGTAGAGTTTCCCATTAACAAGACGAACATCAAAAGATCCCTGACGTACTCAAACTTTATATACATCGCCTTTCACGACACATTCGACCGATCAAGCGAGCACGAGAGAAAACCCGATCAGATCTATCAGCAACTGGTCCTGGGTGTTCGGGGGAAGAAGGTTATCATAATGGAGAAGAATTCCGGTGATCGTTCGCAGCTGTGGCTCATGAACTCCAACGGTCAATTGGAGCACGAAGGATCCACGCCGCCAATACAGTCCAACGAGGCGCATGCTGTACGGCTTGTGCTAGATCTGGAGAGGCCGCCCAATCCCACAGAGTTTACCACTTTGGTGGTTCGAACACCGAATAAGCAGCGCGTCACCACCCAGACATGGAGATTCGAGAGTGGTCGATTAATGTGCCATGCCAACATGTGCGTGCAGGTAAGAGATTATCGTCAACCATTACGGATTAGCTCTGAAATATACTCTTGGCCCATTATTTTCAGTCACGCTGCCAAGGTGCCCAGGGTCTGCAGCCCAACTCTGAAGCGGTCCTGGGTCGCATTGAAAATACTAGTTTGAAAAGAAACAACCAAACCATTCCAATCGGACAACATATTGTGGCACAGAAGCTAAGACCGGGATCGGGTCAATTGGAGCTGTCAATGAAGATGGATGGTCCCATATGCACCATCGAGATAGGCGATATAAAAACCAAGCAAAATTCTGTGTATTTAGCACCGGATTTAATATGGATGCATGCCTCTCTGAACAACAGACAAATGGCCAATGAAGCGAATGTATCATCTCAGCATGAGTATCTGGTAAGTGGTTGAATGTTACCTTAACTCAAAATCCATCAAAATATACATAATTTCATATTTCAGATAAAGGTTGAGCTGCTCAAAGGCATTGGTATTTCGATAATATCGCGAAAACCCTGTGAGGAGATTATGTTCATCAGCCTGGAGCTCATACATTGTGACATTGTGCAGAGTGTCTTTGAGAATTCATTGGACTTGAACATTTCGTATATACAAATCGACAATCAGCTGCTGGATGCGGCCACCCAAGTGGCTCTGCACACGTATAATCCCACTAAACAGGATCAGCAAAATAGCGCTGTGATGCTGAAACTGAAAATTTTACCCTGCCCCAATAAGAACGCCATCATCTTCAAGTATCTCACGCTGGACTTGAAGCCGTCGATAGCGAATCTTGAGGAGAAGCTCATACTGAAGGTTGCCTCATTTCTCGGCTACGGAAAAGGCAACAGGCAAAGCTTAAGCGTTGCCTACGACTTCGAGAACTTTGAGGAGAAACTGATACTCAAAAATATGAAAAGATACTACTTTGAAAACTTAAATATTGGCTCAACTCAGGTGTGTATTAGTTTTGGCTTCATATACATTAATTTGTTACTCAGCACAATCTCTCCATAGGTGCGACTATCGGCGAGTACTTCCTCCAAGCTGCCCATCGAACTATCAGAAACCAAAAAGGTATTGGGACTTACGCTCATCAAGTTCGAAGATGCCCTCATAGAGCTCGACAGCTATTCGGATAAATTTCACTTTGAGACATTGAATGTGTACCTGAAGGGCATGAAAAGGCACTACATAAACCAACTCAAGTGGCACGCAGCTTCGATATTGGGTAGTGTGGATTTTCTGGGAAACCCCATGGGATTCGCCAACGATCTCTCCGAAGGTGTCTCTGGATTAATTTTCGAAGGCTCCGTCACGAGTCTAGTCAAGAATGTGGCCCATGGCCTATCCAATTCCACGGCAAAGCTCACAGAAACATTATCTGATAGTCTGGGCAAAGTGGTACTCGATGAGCATGACAATGAGACCCGATTACGAATCCTGGAACCACAGACAAACACTTCTGGCGGCCACCTGGCCGCAGGTTTGAAGGGATTCGGATTTGGTTTACTTGGAGGAGTCACCAGTATTGTTCGACACACCTACGATGGTGCGCAATCGGATGGCGTTCCTGGCTTTCTCAGTGGCCTTGGCAAAGGCTTGGTGGGCACCGTCACAAAGCCAATTATCGGAGTGCTTGACCTGGCCTCAGAAACAGCGAGTGCTGTGCGGGAAACCAGCCGGGGTACGGCTCGAATTTCTACGGAAAGAAAACGGCTACCCAGATGCGTGACTGGGGCCACTGGCGGACTTCTGCCCTTGTATTCGACTCGTCAGAGTAAGGGACAGCAGTATCTGTACCTTATCAATCGTCGCAACTTCGATGAGAAAATAATATCGTATGAAGCGTGTCTATGGAGCGATAAAGAGGCGAGATTGCGTTTGCTGGTTTCAACAGAATTCGTTCGCATATTCTCACTTAGTGACGGTAATCCAACCATTATGGTGCAGAACCATCTGAGTGAAATACTCTCATGCCATCCCGTGATTACCCCATCGACAAGCAGGCAATCTGGGGGGTCCAGCCATTACATTGAAATATCCACCAATCTTCCAAAGATAACGAGGCCAAGGATACGATGTCGATCGGAGGAGTGTGCTGAAGCTGCATCCAGATGCGTAAGTGAATTTAATTATTATTTTATACAAAAATATGAAACAATTTATTTATTAACACACAATAATACATTGGTTTTTTTTTTCTTTTAGATAAACTACGCAAAAAGTGTGTTTCATGAACATGAACATGCCGTTTTATAAAAAGCAATAAGCCTTTTCGTGATAATACAAATTAGAGCTAAAGAGTGTATATAATATATTTATGGTTGCAGCAATCATTTTTTTAATTTAAATTTAAATTTATTGTTATAATTTTGTAATCTAATCGGTTTACTTGATAATTGGAAAAGTACAATGTGATAGAAGAGCTAAGTTAAACAGATCCTTAGTTGTTTAAATAAATGAGAAAATATCAATAAAAACAGTGAACTTTAAAAGTGATCCAAGTTTCGCAAACAAACAAATAAAAGATCGGAAGAGATACGCAGTTACTTCTTTTCGGGTAATTTAAATTTACAATTTAATACGAAACTCTCTTTGGCTGTTTTTACATCTCTTTTGATCTCATTCTGATAAGAATAGCTCTATCTAAATCCGACCATTGGGTATACTAAATAATTTAATGAATAAAAATAAGGAACTGCATCAACCAAACCCAGATCCTAGGATAATCTTAGAGAGCTTTTGTCCTTGTAAGGTTAACCATTATTTGCATTAATGCGTTAGTTCCGCCCTTAAATGTACATAATGAAAATACATAATACTTAGGTACAATTTAACGTATTTAGTAATCGCTGTTTTTGTAGTGCTCCCTCCTGAACGCCGACAACTTAAGGCGCTGTGTCTGCAGCGCCTGTTCGGTTTCGAGAACTTTAACGTGAATTTCCATTTCCATGGTCTTTATTTGGGATGGTGTTAGGCTGGAGAGTTCCTTCTCGTTCAGTTCTTCCAGTTGGGCATTGCAATCTTTAACGGTGGCCACCAACGTACCAGTGGCCTGTGTGACGCTTCGCGAGGCTTTGGTCAGGTCCGTCAAATTTTGGCTATTACGATTAGCCTTGACTTTGCTGGCAATAACCATCTGGGCAGTGCAGGCAGCAATCTCCTGGGCAGCGACTATAAGCTCAAAGTTCTTCCCAGATTCACTTTCAATGGCATTATTGGCGGCATCGACCAGGTAATTTGCTGCCTTAGCCACGCTTTTTGAAGCCGATATCAGCCCGTCCGACCATTGACTGTTGCGCCTATAAAATTCATTAGCACTTGCGTTTCCTGCAACAAATTAAATCTGATTAGAACTATGGAACTATATAAAATGCAGCTGTGTGTCTTACCCTTTTTGCGAGGCGACAATTTCCTGCTGAAGCACACGCGATTTTAAAATTAGGACTTTAACACATTGCATGAGGGTGGTGCATGCATCCACAATTTTTCCATTGACTTCCAGATTGGTTTTGTCATCTTTCTCGCGTGCCTTTGCCAACAGGTTTATAATCTTGGATGCTGCCTCATCGATCGCACTATCCATTTCGCGAAGCTCTATTTCAAGCAGTTTATCGAAGTCGATCTTTTTCTCAAAGGTCTGTTTAATTTTATCAACTAATTTTCGTATATCCGACAGTTTCGATTCGACATCGTTTAAAGCCTTTTGCGTTTCCTTTTCCCTCGGTTCATCGATGAGAGAATATTGGAAAAAGATGCATATGTCTGAGCATATGGATGAGGCTTTCATTAAAATATCTAAAATTGGAAATTAATCAAAATAAAATAGTGAAACATCCAGTGCTTTACCGACGTACCTTGACCCGTCTCAATCTCTGTTGTAGATTTGTAGATGACATCGCACTGGTCATATAATTTAATGAATGTAAAGCCAAAATACATGGCAGCCTGCAATCCCTCAATGGATGCAGCCTTTTGTAAGGCAGGTGAGGAGATAAATCTAGCTATAAGCCCATCCATTTCGGTTGTAATTTTTGGTATAGCATCTAATGGCTGTTCGGCGGAATCGCTTAATTTGGAATTGCAAATATCCTTCACAGTTTGAACCACCAATTTTCTCACATCATTAAGATTGGAATGACAGTGTTGATAAGACTCCGTGATAGAATCCACTTGTTTCGTTGTTTGATGGAACTTCTCTTCCAGAGCCGCATGCTTGCCTTGTAAATCCTCGTATTGTTGAGTCACAGAAAGCTGTTCCTGCTTTAGTAGCGCCAGAGCACCTGTCGATTCCTGTGTGAAAGCATGCGTATGTAAGTAATTTTAATAAGAGAAGAGATTGTGTACGAATCTACCTGTAGCGATGTTTCCTTTTGCTTCAGGACACTTATAGTTTGCAATAATTCTTCATTTTGAGCCTCAGAGGTCGCCTTATGATCCAGTTTTAGTTGCTCAATCTGTGCTAAGAGCGTTTCCTTTTCCGTTTCATGCGCTTTCGAGTGCTGTAGTAGTTCCTCGCTTTTCTGCGTTATTTGGTTTTCTGCAAGTGAAACCTTTTCCTTGGCTTCATTTAGGGACGCATTCAGTTTCTCAATGACCAAACTATTTTCACTTAATCTCTCAGACGTCGAAACTGAAGCCAGCTCTTGTATCTCCTTTTGTTTTATTACGTTATTAAATTCCTGCTTTAGTAGCGCCAGAGCTTCTGTTAATTCCTGTGTGAAAGCATACGAATATAATTGAATGACCAAAAGAGATTATATACGAATCTACCTGTAGCGATGTTTCCTTTTGCTTCAGGACACTTATAGTTTGCAATAATTCTTCATTTTGAGCCTCAGAGGTCGCCTTATGCTCTAGTTTGAGTTGCTCAATCTGTGCTAAGAGCGTTTCCTTTTCCGTTTCATGCGCTTTCGAGTGCTGTAGTAGTTCCTCGCTTTTCTGCGTTATTTGGTTTTCTGCAAGTGAAACCTTTTCCTTGGCTTCATTTAGGGACGCATTCAGTTTCTCAATGACCAAACTATTTTCACTTAATCTCTCAGACGTCGAAATAGAATCCAGCTCTTGTATTTCCTTCTGCTTTACCACATTTTCAAATTGCTCCCTAATCTCATTTCTAACCGATTCAAGCTGCGAAAGCTGCTCCTTTTGGTCTTCTATCTGTTGTAGCAAATCAAAATTTATTTTATTCTTTTCATCAACATCGCCTTTTATCTTTAGTATCTCATCGTTGAGGGCTTTTGTTTGCAATAGTAGCTCAGAGCTTGATTGCCTCTCCTTATTTAAAACCTTTGTGGCTTCACTTTGCTGAAATGGGAAACAATTCAGAGATCATTTAGTACTTCTGTATGTTGGAAGGAAAGAAAGGCTGCTTACCTCACGCAATAATTTAATATGCTCATCCCGAACTTGTGTGTAAAGTGTTTTTAGTTTGTTAAACTTTTCTGAAGATTGTTTCTGCTTTTCCTCCTCTTCCATTACCTTTTCTGTAAAGTAGATTTATTTGTTGTCAGTTTCATATACAAACTATGGGTATTTGGGTATTTAATTACTTCTAGATTATTTGAATTACCTTTTTGATAAATACGTTTTTATTTTAATTTTAAACTAGCTGAACCCTCGGCGACATTTCAAATCTTTTTGATTCCAGACAATGCCTTCGGGGTCCGAATCCTGCCACGATATTGCATTGTTCCTTTTGTTCTTTATATGTACAATCATTTTATTTACACGCCTGAATATATTAATAGAAGATCTGAATTAAATTCTTTTTTGAAAACTCATAAAAGAGGAAACCTCCAGTGTCATCAGAAACAATATAATATAGAGATTTTAGAATAGTTAGTTGCATCCAAAAAAAACTGGCATATGATTATATTTGTCTGAGCTGCGTCGCGTCGGGTTCAGCTGGTGATTTATATCAGATATATATACCAATATATCAGATGGAAAAGACCTCTTGATGGTTGAATTTTAGTTATAAATATTTACAGACAAAAGCCGAGAGCCAGCTCTATAATGTATTTTGTATTTTCTAATATATAAAAGATACTTGTTACTCACGTATTAGCATGGGATTTTGGTTTATTTGCAGCTCAAGATCATCGTTTTGTATCCGTATGTTTTCACACATTTCCCGGGATATTAACAGATCGTTCGATAGGAGGGCATTCCTTTTCTGCATTTCGGCCACTTCGTGTTGATAGCTCTGCCCAAGCTCATCGAAATTTCGTTGCAATGAATTCAATCTGAATTTGAGCTCCTCAATCGAAGCGTCCTTCTCATTTATGATGCTCTCCAGTGTATTTAGCTGCAGCTGCGTTTGGCTATAATCTGGCTCTGAGGGACTGCTGGTCTCCACGAGATCTTCAACAACTGGATCGGGCTCTGGTTGCACATAGACTACTGGCGGTATATAGCTACTGAAATCCACTTGTGAACTAAAATTTGGACTGGACGCGGGCAATTCCGGAACCGAAATAAGGCTTTTGAAATACTGAAGCGGTCGCACATTCTCATAAAAGTCTTTCAACTTCAAAAATAAACCATTAAACCGATCCCTGTGGCCGCTCAGGACGTCGTTCGGAAGGTTTTCATGAAGTTTAAACATAATCCTTACACTATTATCGTAGAGAGAGTTTGAGTCTTGAATGAGACAAATCATGGGAGCCAGTCTACACTGACCCTGCTGGGTCATGGACGACATTCGGTAGGTATTTATGGAAGAAAATATTTGTAGCTGCAGTTCAATGATATCCTCCAAGTAATCAAAGATCTCCACACATAATTGAAAGCTGAAATAAACGATGTTAGGTGTTAATGATCGAAATCGAAATATCTGTATGAATATCATACAAGTAATTTAAATCCCGATCGGCAGCTTTAGATATTTCCTTAAACGAAATTATTAGCGATCCGGGAAATGGGTTTTTTTCATGGAAATTGAGTTTTGTGACCAGGAGCTTGCAGTAGGCGTTTATGCAGAGTCCAATATCGTCTTGCAGCAGGCCCCACATTTTTCCCACTTCCAATATCATTTTCCTGTGACTTTGAGAGTGTTTTATAGCACATGGATGAGCTTCTCTCAGGACCTTGTGCAGCAGATGACAAAACTTCCAGGCGGTGAATCTGCTCTGCATTAAGGACTGCCGGGAGATGGTGTTCCAAAATGATTTTGCCTCTTTGGTTTTATGTATCATAATAATAATAGATCGAGCATGTTTCGTTTTTAATGGTGCCTCTATACCATTTAAAGCTTTGTTCGTGCTGACAGTCTGTAATGGAATAAAAATATTTAAAATTTATAATCTCATTGATTAGAGCAGGGGTCAGAGGATCATAGGTCATAGTCGGGACTAGAGGGCGCCAACCCTTACACTTCTGGCCTGTTGCTACGTTTGTAAAAAAAAAATCATCCCCTAGCAGCTGGTTTCCAAGGTTCCCCGCAACGCACGATTGCCATCTACATATGTATGTATGTATGTACATGCATAGGACATTTGCGCAACCGCAATTGACGACCATCGATCATTCTATTGCTAGTTGCCCCCTTTGTTGATTTTGTAACCTTGGGTAGCACTATATTTGGGTCAGATGTTTTGTTTCCAAGGCATCGAATCCATCCATGTTGTTAGGCGAGATCGGGCCATAGCATTCCAATTGTAGGTTGCTATGACAACAGAGTTTCTGCTTCTTTTCGCTGTAGTTAATGAGCCTCAAAGTTTAAAGTATTCACTGCACTTTAAGCTGCATACAGACATGGCCCGATCGACTCGATTGTTGTTGATGATCCATATATACATACAGACATATGTATGGCACTAATAGCTTATTCCATTCGCATTTCATTCCCCATGCAAAAATGTAAATCGCGGGAAATTCATGGTTTTAACAAGTATATAGCTCGGCATGTCCAAATGTATTCTCTTGGCGCAGGAAAGTTGCATTAATTTAAACTGTACGGACTACGTACCAGCTGGTAAAAGTCCTTTTCGGCTAGAGTTGACATTGTGTTAATGGAATCCTTAGCGAACGTGTGGGCGTAGCGTATTGGGGTTGCTTGTGGTTTATTCGTCAGCTCATGAGTAAACTGCCGACTGTTTGTTCAAATCAATGAGAGTTATCTTATCTTATCACAATGCTTTCATTTGTTGTTCTGCAGAAATTCATATTAAACCGATGTGTGTGTGTGTGTGTGTGTAGGTATGTGAATCATAACAAGTGTTACCGTATCTGGAATTAGGGATGGGTATCGTATCGATATTTTGCATGTACTATTTGCAATTACCAAATTAATGTAGTCTTTTCAATAAAAACTCTACAAATTCTGCATATAAATGATAATTTAAATTTTGAGATGAGAGGCTTAATTAAAAGGTAATTTAAATGCATTATTTTCAGACCGGCATGCATGCCTGTGTACACTTTCAGGCCTAATTTCAAAATGTTACCGCCGATATCTTCAGCCTATCGCACAAATATACCGATATCGTTTTGCAACTAGCCCTGTAAAATATCGAAAAATAAGAAGAAGAGCATTTTAACAGTTATTCCCTATTAATTTATTTTAGAATTCGAAAGTTTTGAGTCACAAAGGTTAGTTCAATATTCTCATGTTTTAAATGGAAGTCCGAAATGAAAAGTTCGTGTCGGTTTTGTTCTATTATTTTGAAGGCTTCGGCGAGTGGAATCGTAGTGTTGTTTATGTAATACAAAAGATCCCCCTGAACTTTCTCTCTGCAGGTAAAACAAATGTTTAAGGAAGTGCAATACATAGAAATAGACTATATGTACTTACAGCAGATAAACTGTTTGGAATGCGTGCAACAGGAATGTAGTTATATTGGAAACTATTTCTTGCTCGCTTGGTTGAAATCGTACATTTCTGTAAGTATATTTTTATATTGGGGTACAGTACGGTACAATTATTTAAAAGTAATTGCTTACCTCACACTTTGCACTATCGCATGTGGTCTGACTTTTACCATTAATATCAATCCTGGCTTTAAACTATTTCGAAAGCTCTCTACAGAACCAATACCAATTACTTTGCCCCGGTTTAGCAGTGCCATTCGATTGCAAAGCGATTGAAAATCTTCAATATTGTTTGAGGATAATAGTATGGTGCTGCCACATTCGTTGACGCTTTTTAGCACATCCAAAACATCCGATCGATGCGCCCTCTCCACTCCAGCGGTTGGCTCATCCAATATAATAAGTGGCGGTGTTCCTATTACTGCAATTGCTGTGCTTAATTTTCGTCTGTCACTGACCGTATACTTCCCGGAAGATTTATCCAAATGCTCCCGAAAGTTGAGATTTTCGGCCAGTTCTTCGGATACTTCTCGCACTTTATATGCTCTTATGCCACGAATAAGACAAAATATTTTTAAATTTTCACGACCTGTAAATTTGGACTCAAAACAATCGGTTTGGGGGCAATATCCCATATATTTGTAGGCCTTGTAGCGGTTTATTTTCCTGCTGTGAACGTCGATGCCTTTGACTAGAACACGACCCGAAGATAGATTGATATCCGATACAATTACTTTATTAATACTAGTCTTTCCAGACCGTTCACCCACTAATCCAAGAACATCCATTCTATAAAAGAACAGATAAAGAACCATCAAGTAAATATGTATATTAACTTGCGGCTTGAGTCCAAATGTGACATCTCTCACTGGGCTTTTGAAGTGCCTTGTTTCCGCATTCTCCAATAGAAGTGTATGGTTTCTCAGCTCATTTCGGGTCATTCTCTGGACATCACAATAGTCGGGATGTTCACCGCCTGTATGCCTATCAGAAAACATAAATTATTACATGCACATATCCAAATATCCATATTTTAAGTCTTACCTTTGTCGTCTCTTGCAAAAGGATCCCCGCTCACGCAGCAAGAGTATGACATAAAACAACATGGCTGTGCCGATCAGTGCCAGTATGTTTGGGAGTCCAGCGTAAATGCAGCTCCAGTGTGGGTGAATCTCTGCAATACATTAGGTTAGGGCTCTGTTTTCAGAGGCAGTCGTATGATCATTCACCGCATCCTCCATACAGTTTGTCTGTTCTGTCCTTGCACACTCTATGCGACGATGCCTCCATGCAGATGGCATGGACCAATGCAATGGCCGAGTATGTGGGTATTAAATAAAGGAAACCAAATACTTTATCCGAGGCAGGCCACTCAAAGGGTATCGCTGGAAAGGGTAAGACAATCAAAGAAGCAATCTTTAACACCCAATATATGGGTGTACTAACCCAATATAAACAATATTAATACCGGTATAATCCATGCACAAATATCTCGCGTAAAGAACTGCATCAGCAGGTATAAAAATAGCAGCAGGGCGCAGCTAAACAGAATCAGGGCAATGGCATATGCCACTACAAAATAATTTATAATTTAATTAATTATGTTGCAAGATCAAGAGCTGGCCTATTACCTGCCTCATCATCGAAATTCTTTTGGAGAAGTAGCGTCATGGTTGTTACCAGCGACACGGACAAAATGGAAAGCAACATCCAGTCAACCAATAAGTGGGACAGCCAGAATGTTGTCATATTAATGCCCTGCACCTGTTGCATTAGCTTGTAGCCGATGCGCCGCTCTCTGACAATGTAGGCGGCAAAGAAGCCGCTGAAAATGCTAACGCACAACAGATTCAGATATAATGATCCACTCTCAAAGCAGTCGACTTGACGGACTGTGGAATTTTCGCTGTACTGAATTGATGGATACGGATGATTGTTGAAGTTGATGTTCTTTATAAGCATTGGCATTGCTCTATTTGGATCAGCGCAAAATAGACCCAAAAATCCACTAAAATTATTTGAAAATGGTTAAGTTATGCCTATGCTTTACGAGTTACGAGCTAAAATTATAAGTAAATAAATGCTCACCTGTTGGCCAAGTAGCCCATTATGGCTGCTGCAACGGCTTCCGAATGTAACCATTTTCGGCTGTAATATATTTGATATTCGCACTGTTTGATCTGTATGCCAAAGACATAGACATCGTTCAGGTAATTTGCACGTGCGTCCAATTCTTTCACCGATATATCATCTGCGATGCAGCCAGTTATTTTCATCTTTAGTAGTTGTATCAGTGGATTCTCATCGTTGAAGTCTCTGAGAAAAGCCACACGACAATTGGGTCCATATATGTCCAGCCTAAGCGGCATTAGGTCCTGCGATACGAAATCCATGCCTACCTCCGCACGGTATTTGTCTGCAATTGGCCAACTATAAAAGTACGTTTGCAGCGCCGAGATTGCGAAGATCAGCAGCGTGAAAAGCATAAGGAACACCACAAAATTATGCTTTATGTGATAGAACTTTTTCAGTAGCATCGCATGCCATTGATTGATGCACAATTTACAGCCATACAATAAACTTTCATCGGGTTCGGGGGAGCTGGCTGCACAATTTCCCCTGCTATTTTCCATGCCCGGCGAGGTGGCTTTTACGAATTTCTTTATAATGGGCGTAGTGCCAATGCCCAGGGCACCCATATTAAAACGATTGGCTCCATTCTCCAACACCTGAAGCAATGGCACAATGCTGCGACAATAGGATTGGGGTATGTTGTAGGCTATTTCAAATGGTTTGTCCGAGGATGCCGTCGTCTCTGGTATGTATTGCAATACCAATGATGTTAGCTGTGGCTCTTCACATATTTCACCTTGCGAACAGACCTGGCAAATAAATAAAAATAGCAGACGTATCATAAATAGAGTTTATAGCTTTACCAATTGATATCCAGAGCCATGGGTGTTTTTTAAAAATGTGGAAGTGCCATTGAAAAGCAGTTGACCATCGCATATAATGGCCAAACGGTCGCCCAGAACATCCGCCTCTTCGATGTGGTATGTGGTGATAATTAAAGTCCTGCATCGCTTCTCCGATTGCAGCAGATCCCACAGCAATCTGCGCTCGCAGGGCTCCAGGCCCTCGCTGGGTTCGTCCAGCACCACAATACGCGGATTGCCACAAAAGGCACAGGCCACAGACAATCGCCGCCGGTCGGCTCTACACAGGCAGCGGCTTTTCACGTTCCTCACTTGCCAGAGCTCGAGGGCCTTCAAATAGCTTTCCGTGGAACGAACTCTCACATGGGGGCTAATGCCTCGCAGAGCATAGAAGAAGTGCATGTTCTCTTTGACGCTCAGATTGGCGAATAATGGATTATGCTGGGGCGACAGTCCCACCACAGTTCTGCTCGCTCTCGCTATATCTCGGTCGTCAATTTTCACCCAACCCGCCTGGGGGGGAATGCTGCCCGAAATGGAATTGGCAACGGCGGATTTGCCCGAATCAGATAGTCCCAATATGGCCGTTATCTGATCATCATACATATTCATGGTGAAATTAGTCAGTGTCGGCTTTCCCCGTTGACTCCTCTGCAATATGCAGGCCTGCACAACGGCTGGGGACATTTGGCGAGTCCCCTGAAGGCTCTGCTGATAGCCCACGCCCTCTTGATTACTCCGACTGCGTAATCTGGACACTCCGTACCGGCCCGGGAAGCAGAGCTCCACAATTAAGCACAACAGCAGGCAGATGAATGCTGCCAACAGCATTAGGAGCGATATTATGGCAAAACCATTGTGGAAATTTCCTCTTAAGAAATGATCCCACTGCAGCCCCGTGTTATCGTGCTTTTCGTAGTAAAGTATTTTGCGAAGGCCAGCCAAGAATCCAAACTGGAACAACAGGCACAATGGATAGCGCACACCTAATGTTGTGGCATGCAAATAGATATATAGCAGGAAACATAATATCGAAAAGAACACAATCACAATCGCAGCTAGGGCTGCACTTCGCACTAAACTATACACTAAGAAGCAAAAGCAAATGCCGCACACTGTCCAAACGGTAAAAAAACACCAAACGGCTGTGAAACTCGAACAGTTTAAAATGTTACCATGTTTGCATAGCGGTGCCTACAAGAGGTAAACGAATTATGGTTCAGTTTAGGGCTGTATGGATACCCTACCGTTAGTAAGAAAATGGTCAATAAGTTAATCACAGTAGCCAAAATGAAGGTAGATAAAAACCAAGAGATATGCTGGCTAATCCGCCCTGCACTGGAAATACTCATCAGATCCTTTAGTTGCAGAGACTTTTCCCTTACCATATGCTATGTATAAATGAAATCTATATTTTAGATAGTAAACTCCATTGTGCACGTACCATAGCCAAACGAACAAATGGATACATGTAGAGAGAGCTCAAATAAAATGGCAATATATTGCCCAGAGCAGTTGCCATTGGGTCAAGTATTAGGGGATCGAAGAATTCATTATAATGGGCATCGTTAACAAATGGCTTTGACACAATCGTTACGCCATCATCCTTATACTTTTTGGTTATATTGCTGACAGCAGGATATGAGAGAAATGCCACAATTGCGTACATTATCTGTAAGAATCCTTCATTCATATAGAGCGGCCGGGGCGTGTTCTCCTCGTGTCTGACTTGATTTGTATGCCACAACTCAGTTGGCATCGTTCGCAGTGCACTGGGAAATCGAATAGTAACGTCCGTGTTCTCAACGTTTTGACCACCATGTACCTTCCAAATAATACCGCCCAACAAGTGGCCGTTTATCAGGGTATTTTCCATATCAACTTCAGAGGTGACCCGCTCCACAGATCTCAGCTTTAGTACATTAAATAATGCTGCTGTTAGTGGCTGCACTATATGATCCTTGTTTGTAAATAGTAACAGTGTTTTTTCAGGCGTTTCATCGGCAATAATTTCCATTATATTACTAAAGTGTTTGAATTTACAATTAAAAAAAGGACAAGCAATCGAAGAGCAGTAAATTAGCTGGATATTCAAGATAACAAAACTAAAAAAAAATACAAAAATAAAACTCACTACAATGGACTTAGTTTTACATTATCCCCAAGTGTTCCATTTCGCCGTAGGAAGCAATGTGACGAATTCTCTTGATTTACAGAACATCTCAAATACACCAAGTGTGTCATTAGCAGTGGCAGCAACAGACACATTAAAATCTCTAATCTTGTATAACTCTTAAAGTTCTTTAGCAATAGAACACATAATTGGGGTGCCATAACGCATCAATGCAAAAATTATTACTTTTTATTTATTTACTTTTAAAATACTTGTGTATCATGACATGCTAGTCTTACGATACATATATGCATCAAGGGTAAATCCCTAAAATTTATTAACCTTGTACTTTTTATTACTCACCTATCAAAAAGCAAAAAGCAAACATTTGATTAGTTGTTTTAATTCCGAATTTTGAGGACAAGTGACGTATTGGGTTAGACACATAATAAAACATATGTTAGGCAAAAGAATTGGCACGATATTTGCCAAAAAAATTTTACTACAAAAGGGGCCCCCAGCAGATCAGTCAGCATCGAAAGCACTTCAAGCAACAACCAAACACGAAATATGCAGTCTAACAAAGTTGTCTTCCTTGTCTTTGGTGAGTTGAAAGGGAACGAACTTCGAGCTATAGGACGGAGCACTCATATCTAACACTATATTATAGGTGTCCTGGCACTGGTTTTATCCGCCAGCCTATCTGCTGAGGCTGTGGAGCAGGAAAGCGAAGGTATCAGTGATCGTCGCTATCGTTGGGCTTCTGAAGAGGACAACTCCGAGGACTCCCAAGACTTGGAAGATGCCGAAGATCAGGGTAACAATCCTAGTGAGGATGGCACCTGGGAAGAGGCGATCATCGAATATGTACCAGCCGGAACAACCTGGGAAGATCTGGAGAGTGGATCTGCTGAAGCTTAAATCTATTTAAATGTTTGTCAATATTGTTTTTAATTTATATATGTATTTATTTGTTTTTATGAAGAATCCACCAATTAAATTTGAAAACCATTTAAATCTATATGTTTTCGGGGGCTATTAGAATGCCCTTTAATGGTTTTCGGAAATAAAAACCAGATTCTGGTTTGTATAATTTATTTTATTTAACATAATTTAAAGTATGTATAATTCAATTTTAATATGGTTCACATACAATATTTATAGTTTGATTTTGCATTAATTTAAACATTTTAGTATTATGCATTTAAATATATTTTAAGGTATATATTTAAACTATGACTAAACATAAATTTTACACGATTCTCTTTCCACACGCCTACCACCTCGCTAGTGATGTCGCTCAGTAATTTATTTCTGCAATTTCTACTAAGTTGAAAACAATAATTTTGGAATGATACGACACAGGCAACACAATAAATAGATAGGACACCGAAATACGAGAAATACTTTCAAATAACACAAATACATTCATACATTTAATGCAAAATAGTTTACACATCTGATCTGATACATCTTGAATTGCTCTAGAATGAGAGATCAGAGCTAATTGATCTGATTAACATATAGTATGTGTGTTTCTCTTATTTTTGTTTGGACGTGTGTTAGTCATTGAATAATTGGGAATTGCACTTGATTATGTAAATTGCCTGCTGATGTTCTCTTTTGTAGTAGTTTTGCCCCCTCAAATGTTGCGCGTTTTGAGTCTTGTTTTCTCACGGCACACCCCCAGCTCCTCGCAATCCGCTTTCCTATCCGCTGTTACAATCACACATTGCTGTCCGTTCCAACGGCACCGGTGAAGGAGAAGGGCTGGGCATTGTTCACAATCCCCGCCCTATCGTTGGTGGTCGACGCGGCTGTGCCATTGCCTCCATAACCAGTTTGTTGTGCAGCTGCCCGCATATCCTCGGCGGATGCTCTGTAGTAAGTAGAGAAAAAGGGTTTAATAATTGTTGAAATAAATATGTTGAATACTAAAATTATAAATAGAGAAATTAAATAGTATTTATGTGCTCAGCTAGGGATTTGTGTGTGTGTGTCTTTGTGCCTACATAGAGAAACCAAAAAGTATCAATTTCAAAGTTCGGGTACTACAGGAATTACAACTAATTCAGTTACAATTTGTCGCAAATCAACTCAAAATGTACATAAAATAATTGGATACTGAACTACATTCAAAAGTTTTTGCAATTCTACACACTTAAAAACAAATATAGTGCGTTTTCGGACATCCAGACAGTTGCAAGATCTAAGGGAATATCACATTTTAAGTGGGTTCTTCGATGCAACTGTCTCAGTGTCAGTGAAACGCACTTGGTATATTGATTACATTCATAGAAGCTAATACAAATTTATTTGCCTTTTGTTGTTTCTTGGAGGCAGCAAAGTGTTAAACGAGTTGTTTGCTGTTGTGGGCTATCGCCGTTGCAGTTGCTGTAGACCAGTCGATGTTGTAATTAGCTTTGACTGCTCTTGGACTGCTCATGGACAGTTTTGGATGTGGTGCGTTTAAAATCTTAAGTCTGATACTTAATTCGGGCGCAAAAAAAAAGAATTTACATTACATATTTAATTTTTAGTGTTGCCGCTCATCGACTTAACAAATTTATTCAACTTTTACGATTAGTTCAGGTGAGATTTCTCTGTTTGGTTTGCTTGCGAAGGCTCTATTATTAACAAGTTCTGGCAAGTATTTTTTGAACGTTTTTTCATACTTAAAAAACTTAAAAAAATTATGATAAAATAAATATATAAATTAAATGTATAGATTTTGGAATGGAATGCATCTTGAAAGGAATTGTGCCCACAGGGCTACAATAAACAACAACAGAGTGAGAACTCTAACAGACTTGGAAAAACGAATTAATTAATTAAAAATTATGAATGCAAAATGAATTTAATTTACAACATTTAAAAAACACAAACACGGTACTTGTGTGTATATGTATATATATATATATTGTATATTTGTATATTTTAATATGTCTAATGCTTGATTATGTTCAATTTCAATTCGTGGACTATCTTGTGAGCAAAATCAATTCTCAAATAACGTTAACATTTTTTGTTTTATTTTATGGTTTACACTCAAGCAAAGCATATCGTGTTAATACTTCTTCTGAGTTGTACATATTGCTCTATAGGTTGTTCTTTCTTGATTCTCACTTTTTTATAGTATTATTTATATATTTGTTTTGTTGTGTGTAATTATGTATTTAAGCTGTGTGTACATGTGTGTGTGTGTGTGTGGAAGCTTGTGGTTTCTGTTTAAATAAGTTTTTTATTGTTATTGTTTATGTTTGCATTCGGGTTAGCTTTCAATATAGTTTCTCACTAAAAATATATTCTTGCTGCAGTTTCGACATATGCATGTATGTTTGTATGTATCAATGTATGTATCTCTTCAGTATTTGCTCTATGTACTATATAATATATTTAACTGTAGTTTTTAACAACACCAACCGTTCGACGAAAGACATTTAAAAATGGAAATACGAATTACATGCACAAAAGGGACAAAGACAATGGGGCCAAAATGACGAAAATGCATTTGGCCCCAAAAAACACTTTGGTTATTAACAAACGTATGTTTTCAAGCAACAACAATTACATATGAGAATTTCGTTTCATTTCATTTCATTTAATTTCTTTTGTATTTGGTGGGGTGTTCTTCTGTATTCTATATTCTCAGATGCCCTATAACGCTGCTTCTCAATCAATTTCTGTTGGCGTTTTTCTGCGCTTCTAGTGGAGTGCATTGGAGTGGAGTGTGTGTAGATGTGTGGCTGTGTGTCTGTCTTGTGGAGTGTCTTGTGGTTTGGCAGTTACTAATTTCGCAATTAGGCATTTATGTGGGACGCCAGACATCGGGATCTTCCATGAGTGTGATATGCTGATCGCCGCCCATTTGCATTTGGCCTCCCGCCTGACCGCCGGCCATCTGTGTGGGCGATGTGGCGGCAGCGGCCATATCCTCACGCGAAGCTCTACATAGCATTTCGTGTATCGTAATTGTATTGGTTTATTTTTTTTTTTTAGTTTTGTGTTAAATTTAAGCATTATCACAGTGGTAAGCACATTGAAGGAAAATAGAGAAAACATTGGTTTCGATTAGCAAAAATGCACTTGGCCAAGTTCTAACTAAGTTCCCGCTCTAACTTAGAAGCTAAACAGATCCAGCAGAACCCCTCTGGATCCTCAATACTCACTTCTTGCCTAACGCCATCATGGCGTACACGGCGCCGGTTGCAAAGATGAGGCCACTGCCGAATAAGCTGGCCAGTCCGAAGCACATGAAGATTGGCGGAACGGCCAAGCTATACGGGCAGATACATCCCAGTTAGATAAACGAGCTCTTTAGTTTTATATTCGATTTGATACTCACGCGCAATAGAGCCCGGCCCGGAAGTACATGGGCTTGGCATCCACCTTATCCGCAATGCCGTTCACCTGCTCGATGCACACAAAGCAGCAGGGCGCCTCCAGGACCATGACTATAAAGCCGGCTATCATCTGGATAATGCCCGCCACCAGGCAGGAGACACTGAGTGTGATGATTGAGAGCACATTCCAGAGCCCAAAGAGTATGGCAACTAAAAGAAAAGACCACGTTAATAAAAGCTACTATCAAATCAAATAAAAATATATACAAATAATTAAAAGGCGTTTCCCAACTCTTCTATAAATTTATGCACAGATATGCACACATTTTAATCGCAAACGCCCACTAAATATATGGCCTCATTATCTTACCGAATCACTTCACAAAACGAAGCCCATTTGAAAACGAAATCTAATCAACATCGCTGACTCATTCGGTGTGCCAATTTTTCGCTTTTATTTATAATAAAAGTATAGCAACAACAATAAACCAGACCAGCCACAGAAGCGTGACAATTTAGTGAACACAGTGGGTCGAATTGTCAGTTGCGACTTGAGAGTAGAGAGTACGGGTAATATGTTCCCATTTCAGTGCTTTAAGCTCTAGTTTTAGAAATGATAACGGAATGAGACCTAAAACAAATTACATTCAAATATTTTATCAGCTGGCGTTTTTGATAAAAACTAAGTAAACAAGACACAAGCAAACAGCTCTGCTCTCTATGCGATAAATGCCTAGAAGAATATTGCGAAAGATCTTCTTTTTTGTTTTTGGCGTAGGGCAGCGGAGTGTAGTATAATATTATTCAGCATTTCCTCGGGCTTCTTTAGCTTATCTCAACAAAATATTTCTACTAGAATTTCATGATCTTTAGTCTACTGCTCTTCTCCCTTATTCTCTCTTTTCCCAGTTTCGTTTTACTTTAAAGCGAAACGCGATCGCAGCTTTGAGGTTACTGCGGTTCATAAAGCTCGTCAAAACAGACTCAACGGAGTCGATGTGCTGTGTGTTGTACGAACCGGCACAAAAGACATTTATTAATTATAGACTTTTGGTTTTAATTTACAATAAAACGAAAAGCAAAACTGGTTTATGGATGGAGAAGCCGCATGAATGAATATGTCTATTTTTCTCCTTAAATTTGTCTGAGTGTCCCGATAAAGTCCCTCAAATCGCCGAAACTCATACATATCTCAAAATCCCACTGCAGTGGTAGATATCATTGAGAAAAAAAGAAAAGTTCAATGTCATTGCAGAGAGAGAGAGAGGTTAAAGCATAGCGCGTAACAAAGAAAAAATGCAATCAGGCGTAATCAAGTGAAAGCAGAGAGCGAAAATACGGAAGAGAGGAGCTCTCCCTCGCCCGCTTCCGCACTGCACTGCACTGCACTGTAGTGCTGATAATAAAAACAGCATGCAAAATTACTGCTTGATGGGCATTCTCTTTAGCATATGTAGAATATTGGTAATAAAATGGAAAAGGAAGCAAAAAATAACGAATTAAAGCGCCAAACTTGACACAGAAAAAGCTCCTTTTGTCTCCTTCTCACTCTTCCACACCCACACCCTACATGCATACATATGTATCTATACAAATTTCTGTATCCTTTTGTTACGTTTCCTACTACTGCTTCTTCTGCTTCTTATTTTCACTGTTATGCTGCCGTGCTGTTGGTTGTTGTTGCTTTCTTTCTTCCTTTATCAATGTCAGAGCGTGCGTATTGTGGGAGGCGATACACACACACACCCACAGGGACACACACATATGGAAAACGTAACAGCAACAACAAAAGGTACACAAAAATCGATGCCCAATATTTATGGGGCACATAATCTTACATGAATTGGTGGGTCTAGAGTTAAATTCAATGTTTTCCTTGGATAAAACTTACAAAAGGCGGCCACAATGCCCAGCAATCGACTGCCATATTTGAGATACCAAGGCTGCTCCGGTCCCACAGGATCCTGTTGATTTGGACGCGCCAGCAGCCCCGTGATTTTTTCCGCAAACGACTGTGATGCACATTTAAAAAATATAAGATGCAATTAAGATAATTGGAAAAAATCGAAGCAGCACAATTTATATTGTGACGCGGCGGCAGCTTCTTTACCACGCACACACGCGCCAACACCACACGTACACAACACACACGAAAACACAGGTGAAGCGCAATATTCACTTCGTCAGCAAGAACGAAAACTGTTTGACACAATCATTTACATACCATTTTCTGTTTTGCTCTAAATTACACTTAAACTAGCTGGACAAGTATTTATTTTATACACTTTTTCACGTCTCAGAGGGACAGAATTTGTTGTACTTTGCGTTCTAGTTAGAGCTGGCAGAGCGTCGATATCACCAAGTGTTGCGATTTCTGACATCGATTTTTCGTGCAACTAACCATCGATGTTTTCCGAGCTTAAAACAGCTCGAACAAGAAGCGCAGCAGGTACTAAGTGGAGATATTTAAATAAAACTGTGTGTTTCAATTAGTGTCATGCATATCAACGATGAAGTTGATGAATCTTTGTTTAAAAAAAAACTATGCTATCTTTAAAACCAATCGAAAAATCGTTTGTAGTCATCGATGTTTGGCAAGCTTAGTTCTGGTGCAAGCGACTAAATTTCCCGCGGAACGAATGAAAACGGCTAGTCACCGGAAAACTGAGATTCAAACGCATTCTTTTAGCTTGGTTAAGCTTGCAGACACCAATTGGAAGGATTTGGTATAGAGTTTCAAGAACGGAAGTCCTTGTCGATATTTACCAAACAAAATTGTGAAAAATTATCGATAGTGGACATGATTTCATCGATTGTTTGTCGATTGTTGCTGCGATTTTGGTGCTGCGTATTTTTCTCTTTTCTGTAAAATAATTTCAAAAAACAAATTTATGGACGACGAACGTTTGTGCCAGTTGTGCCAAGACAACCTGGCGGTTGGTATCAAGCTCGAAACTGAAGTGATCGAAAACTCAAAGGATCTGCTCGAAAAGCTGGTTGTGTGGTACAATATTGATGTAAGCACCTTCACATTGCCGTACATACATACACACATGTATATGTCACATTCTGGAAATTCTTTCATAGCCTTGTATACTGGAGAAAAAGTCGTGCCTCTGTCAGCCCTGCTTAGATCAGGTGCTCAGCATTAGCACAACCATCCGGGCTTGGACCGCCGCTCAGCCAAAGACGGACTTAAATGAATCCTCTGACTCTACAATTAAGGAGGAAAGCCCCCTGGAAATAGATGGCTGGGAGAACATTGAATTAATGCCCGAACAGACTATGGCTCTGCCCTCTGGACGTGATGAAGAGGAGGAGCTTGCGGCAGTCGTACCAAAAAAGGATGCCACCGTTAAGCCATCCCGTGAAAACTTCGCCATCGCAGTACGACACGATGGCCTTATATTGGCCAAATTGTACAGGGACAATACCACGGCGACCAAGATTATCTGCACCTGTTGCAACATCGAGTTGACTGTCATTTCCCACATACGCACGCACAGCTTAATGCTTCGTCCGGATCCCCACTACATTTGTCGTCGGTGTAACAAAACATTTACCAGTCCAACGGGGCTACAGCAACACGAGCAGGCCGAGGGCCACAACGTCATCTGGTGTCGTTCAAAGGGCTTTGACTTCCGTTGTGTGGAATGCGGCAAAGTCTTCGATCGCTACCATGGGGTCACACGACACGCATCTTTTATGCACATCCCCAGTAGATTTTACTGCACCTTTTCCAAGTGTTCGTACACCTTCGATAAGCGGGGCGACCTGGATATTCATTTGAAATCGCACGAAGTGCCGGTATATCACGCCTCACCATTGTTCATGTGCCATGTAGCCCATTGTGGGCAGTCGTACTATCTGGAAACTCACTACGTCAAGCACATGAAGACCTTTCACGGAATAAACGTATACTCCAAAGCCGGCTGCGACAAAGCTCTCAGCAATGCCAACCAAGCTCACTACTCAAATAATCACTCCAGAGATCGCAATGGAAACAATCTTTCTCATCAGGGTGAGTTTCTGTCGATGGAGACGTCACTACCGCGTAAACGGAGATTCTCATATTCTCCGCCCAACGACAATAATGCGGGCAAATTCATAAGCCTACCAAAGCAGTTAACATTGAAATGAAAATGTTTAAGAGTCGAGTGTACAATACTCAGTCCTGTACAATGTACATATCATCACCCGTAATTTAGTTGGAAAAAATAAAGAAAAATTATATGTCGACGATGATTTGAAATCGAAAACATCGATGGTCGCCACAGAAAACCAAATGAACTAGTTCACCAGAACTGTAAATAGCTACTAACTAATCACACGTATAAGTACGTTCGATAAAATATAATTTAAGCTGCGGAAGAAGAACAATAAAAGAGCGATAATTAAAACTTGATACATCAATTTATTGCCGGATTTATTAAAGGGGGGGAGGGAAAATATCGGAAATATATTTTGCCACAAATAAGTTATTTGATTTTGATAATCTTTACGTTACAATTTTTCATGATTGGAGATTTAAGTTGGGTTTTATCTTTTCTTGTTTTTGGTATAAAGTCAACAAATTGTGTGTTTTTGATATTGTATGATTTATAAGGAAGTGCTAGCACCAGAATAGATTTGTATTTAACTGATGAGTTATTCTTCACGGTGATTGCCTTCACCGAGTTCCAGTTTCTTCTGCCAATCTATTTGGGTCTGGAGTCTAGGACGCACCTTAAGTTCTCGTTTTGGACGTGTTGTTTTTCGTTTTGTCGGATTTTTGTCGGTCTAAAATGCTTAACAATGTCAGCTCAGAGTGAGGCGAGTCCTAGATTTTGTTTAGACCTAATGGTGGCGTCCAACACCACTCGCTTTAATGAACTCGCGTTTATCCAGGATCCCATTCATGATGGTCACATATTGCCATGGGTATGGTATGGTTGGTTGTTCACAAATAAATGAAAACGAACATCAACTTTAGTATTGTTTTGAAGCTCAAAATGTAAACATAAAATGTACAAATTAATATGGCTTTTCAAAAAGCTTTAAAGGTCAAAATTTTAGAAATTTATAAGCAAATGCAAACATTGTTTTGGTTGAAGTTACAGAATTATCAAGCGAATTATAAGCAAAAGGCCATCTTAAGGGAATGTTTTTCTAGCTTTTCGGGTTCTTGTGTTGTTGTTATTTGGAGTGAGGACCGTGTGGAGACGGAGACTCTGCTTAGTGACTTAGTCTAAAGATTGGACACATTGGAGACTATGCTTGGTGGAGAGAGAACGAACCCCGTTGGACATGCTTCGGGCATGCTTATGAATTATAGGAAACTTGGCTTTGACAGTGAAACGTGAACGAAGTCTACGGATACATTATTATCAAAAGGCTTAACACATTTCTTGAAGGTTTCGTTTCTGCTGTTTCCCCTCCTCTATCACTTACGCACTAGTGGCTCACAAAAATATAGCTACATCCTCTTCTGCTTTACAAATCGTTTAAATAATTTTTTAACCTTGCTGCCTATATAATTTTTAATCATTCAAATTTAAACTAATTTAAATTCGTTAAATGTTTGTCATTCATCATCATCATCCATTCGCAGCATTCCCCACAAAACATTTGAGTTGTGTTTTTTTTTTTGTTGTTGTGTATTTTATTGGCGCTCCTTTTGCCATGCCTGAAGATATGCCTAATAATTGCCACTCATTGTGGGTCACTCAATCGCCTGCCTGTGTTTGTTTTCGTCTCTCGATTTTAAAGGGGAGCAATTTTGATTGATTTGTTTAAAAATGTTCTCACGTTTCGCTTATAAAAGTTTGTTGTTTTGTTGTTGCACGTAGTAGCTAGCCGTTTTGTTTAGTTAAGATCACAATTGTGCTAAGAAATACGATATCACAATTTAATTATTTACATTGTTATTATTTGTATTCTTCTCTACACATCTCTCTCTTAGGTGGGGGCGGGGGGGCGGGCAGTAAGTATAGCGGCCCAGAAATTCCAATTATTTGTAATTGTTCTTGCCCGCAAACACGGTTTGCCCCCACATCATTTAATCCATCCCGTATCCAGGTCTAAGTCTCTAAAGGACTTCAATAAGAATACTTGCACAGCAAACTGGGGGCGGGGGGCGGCTGTAAACCATTCGGTGTTAGGGTGTGTGTGTTTTTGGGCGTATTAAAGCTACGCTTTAGTTAAGTTTAGTTTTGTTGATTTTGTCTAAAAATACGTTTGAACGGCGCACACGGCTCGAAGTAGGGGCTTGGTTCACGCACACAATAAACGTTTGGCTGTTTCTAAGGACTCTTAACAATATTCATAATAATTAGTAATTGTATTGTACTTCAATCTCAATGTCGGTCTCTTTTTTGTGTCCTTGTCCATAGAAAAATAAGCGCTACGTTACGTATGTGTGTGCGTGTGTGTGTGCTGAGCGGAAGACTCGAGTTTTTTTTTGTATGAAAATCATTTTTCATGCCTGCTGTACCCTCTATACATATAATGTATGTAGAATATATATGTACATATTTATATATGTGGAAAAGTGCGATTTCTCCTGTGAGAGATCATAAAAGTTCTTGAAGCTAACACTATACATAGTCTCCAAAGCCTAGGACTAGACATGATTAGTTGTCTATAGAGTTGGTTGTTGGTACGTTCTTTTAGGTTTAGTTTTTGTTTGTTTAAACAAATGTGTACTTGTTAAATGCAATTGGCATGCTTTCTTTCTTACTGGCAGGGTCTCCAAAGGGTCTCTCTCATCTCATTGCTCACAAAGCATCAACAAATATATCGTATTACATTCCCTGTAATCTGGCCTTTTGCTTGAAAATGCATTCAATCAGAAGTTTGATAGAAGGAGAAGAAAATAGTGTGAAAATGTTTAGCAAAAAACATTTGCTATCCAGTTTTTGGTGAATGTGAAATTCGTCCACGAATTAAAGTTGGGCGTAAAGTCCATTGGCCCTAAAGCAGGCGTGCCCACGCCTACCTGAACCTGACTCGGCTGCTGCTGCTGCTGCTGAAGTTGTTGAAGTTGCAGCTGCTGCGACGGCTGCTGAGATTGGGCTCTCTTCAGTACCCTCAAATTAGTGCCCGAGGGCATGCGCTGCAGCTGGTTCTGCTGCTGCTGCTGCTGCTGTGATGGGGATCCTAAGGTTGGGGATCCCACAAAGTTTAGCGAAACCGATGCTGGCCGTGGTCGTGGCTGTTCCGCTTTTGGTGTCTTTTGCTGAGCTGCCGCCGCAGCCGATAGCATGGCTATCAAATCCATGCCCGTTGTGGGCTGTTGCTGTTGTTGTTGTTGCTGTTGCTGTACCATGTTCTTCTTGGCCAGCAGCTGTGGTTGTTGTTGTTGTTGCTGTTGCTGCTGCTGATGATTTACTTGCTTCTCACCTTGCGACACTTTGGGGCGCAAGCCTTGCAACAGTTGTTGTTGGTGCTGTTGTGCCTGGTGCTGCTTCTGCAACTTGGCTGCCCTAAGTAGCTGCTGCTTCTCCTTGCGTATCAAATCAAAGGAGCTGACCACCTGAATGGAATGGATATTGCAAATGGTTTAGCCAGGAGAATACAAGGAAATACTAGCGGAAATTACCTTCTCACTGCCATTAAAGCCCTGCTGCTGCTGTTGCTGCTGTGCATCATTTTGACTTTGGCTATGGAACAGTTGACGCTTTGATGATATAGCTGCTCCTCCAGCACCACCACCTACTCCTCCTCCTCCTCCTCCTGCCCCGGGAGTTGCGGCTGGCGTAGTGTTTGTGGCCGTTGATAGTGGCGTTGTTTGATTGCTGCCCGCAGCCCCGTTTTGCTTATTGCGTTTGTTGCTATTGCATATGTTCATGGTGCCCGTGGTGGTGGTGGTGGCCGATGCACAAGCCACCGGCCCAGAACCGGCTACCGGTTTTCCATTGAGATTATTTAACTTGACACCATCCAAATCCCCCATTGACTTGTGTCGCTGACGTTGCGAGGCAGCAGCATCCTTCTTGCAGCTGCTGCTCCCACCATTGCCATTCCCATTCACATTCAGATTGGTTGGCGAGGCCGCTTTGGGACTCTGCTGACCAGAGCATTTGCGTCGACGGGGCCCGATGCCCGCCTGACGTTCGCTCACCCACTTCTTGAGGCGCTTAACAAAGGGTATAATCATAAAGAAGGAATTGGCATTCTTGCCCAGTTTGGCTTTCGATATGGCATCATTCTTGTTGACCGGCAGATCGTTAATACGGAACCAGTCACAACACTTGATCTCGTTGCGTGTGCGCGGTGCGAACTGCGTGTCCATCGGTATATTCCGCACGACATACAGCCGCGTATATTGATAGTTGATAAAAGCCTCAATATAATCATTGGCATCGATACTGTCGGTGATGTCGAACCCAGTCTCCTCATAAACCTAACAACAAAGTAACAGAAAATAAATGAAAACTCCTTGGTCAATGCCAGCCAGCCAGGGACTCACCTCTCTTGTGGCACAATGGGCTGGATCCTCGTTTTCATTGATTTTCCCCTTGGGAAAGCCCCACGAGTTGCGTGCAAAATAGGACTGCACTAGCAAGCAATGATTGTGATCCTCAGAGACCAAAATGGCACCATATGTGGGCACCGACATCTTGTAGTTCTTCCAATCTTGCAGTATTTGCTCCACAGTGCCAAAATGTTTGTTCAGGAAGGGAATGTGCTGTGGCAACACATACAAAATTCCACATTAGAGAGTTACTGGAGAAAGGGGGAGAACAGACAACACTTACTTGGAACAATTGCATGGCAAACTGTTTGATGCCCACCGCTGGCAGCTTGCGCTGCACAATCGCTGGCACACCATCTTCATTTAATTCTGGGGCACAAAAGAAGTCCAGATAGAACCAGTGGGCCAATTCGATTTGAAAGCATATTCTTATTAGATTGTTTAGCTCCATGTCCGGTACATTGATTATAAATCTACTGGCCAGATCATCAAGTATATCGGACGGAATTTTCGATTTCTCTGGCAATTTAATGCTGGACGCCTTTACGGTTGCTGTGCTTCCCGATCCTGTTGCTGTTCCTTGGGTCTTCCTGCTGCTGCTGACGCTAGTGCTGGTCCCGGCCACAAGTACATCTTCGGAGGAGGAGCTGCCATAGGAGGAGTTCGTTGATGTCGATGAATGTGTGGATGATATGGATGAATTTAGGCGTTGCTTCTGCGCGCTACTTTGTTGCTGCTGTTGTTTCTGCTGCTGTTGCTGCTGCTGTTGTTGCTGCTGATGCTGTTGCTGCTGCTGTTGCTGCTGCTGGTGCTGCAGATGTGCATACTGAGACTGCTGCTGATGCTGTTGCTGCTGGTTCTGCCTTTTCTTCTCAATGGTTATGGGGGCTGTGGACTGTGTTTTGGTGAAAACAGCACCATTTTTAAGCAATTGATTTAATACATCAGTCTCAGCTTGAAAAGCGAGGTTTCGTCGTTGTTGTTCATTTAGCTTTATGCCACCAGCCCCGCTATTGCTGCCGCTGTTGCTATTATTATTATTATTATTGTTGATATTCAGCACTTTCTGAAGCGTCAGCGAAGCTAAGAGCGCCAGATTGTTGACTTGAAAATAAAAGAAAAAAAGAAAACAGAAACTCTAGAGATAAGCAAAGGGCAAACGCAAACAAATACTGATGATACGATAGCCCCCACCCCGGGGGATATTTTATTATCATAGTCTACAAAGCCCCCTATATTAACAGGTTGTTCTCAAGTTTTGGCAAACTGTATAAAAGTGTTATCTATCTGAGAGCAGCATGTAATGTTAATTAATACTGAGGCTGCTATTTGTGCTAGGGGTAGACAAGTACCGATTAAATATATATCCTAAAACGACCTTTAAACTGTGTGCTGCCATGCTGTCTATCCACTCGTAAATGTGTATGTGGCGATTGGAGCACCTTGGCAAACTGCTGACTAAGCGCCTGGGCAATGATCTGCGCCAGCGTAAATTGCGCAACAACATTCAGAAAAAAAAAAAACTATTACTATTTGTATTGTTATTGTTGTTGTCGCTACACTCCGTTGGCCTCTAAAAGAATTGAAAGAAATATGGTATGGCTGTGTGGCTCGGTTCAGCGACCTCCTCCTCCTCTAAAAGTGTTGCAACTTGCCAAGCGACTGCGCTGCGGTGCACATTGCACACATACAATTACATAGAATGTACTACTGCATACATGCATGGAAAACTACTGGCAGGCAGAGAGAGAGAGATAGAGAGTTGTGGCGAGAGAGGAGTGATGTGTACACAGAGGGGGGGGACAGAATAATTGTATAATCTATACAATGTTTTGCTTATTTATTTTGATGATGACTTTGTTGTGAATCTATTTTGGGACATTTTCGCTTATCAATCTTACCATTATCGTTTTCCTTGCTGCTACTGTCTCTGCTGGTTCGGCTCTCGCTCTCGTAAGCGTAAGTGGACGAGGTAGAGGCTGAGACGGCAGCGACGGCTGCAGCGGCTGCGTTGCTAATCAATGGTGCGATTTCCATAATATTTCGATATCAAACTGATGCGCTGTGTTTGTTTATGTAATACACGTTTGTTGAATTTTCGGGTGGCTGTCTTTTGCGCAAAATATTTCTTATTTGTTTGTTTGTTTGTTAATTCACATTTGCGTTTCTCCCCTTCTCAGTCTCTCTCAAGCACGCTGTACGTGTGCAAATGTGATTGTGTGTGTGTGTTAGTGTGGTTTTGTCACGTACTTTTACAACAGATTTGTTTTTGTAATAAATATGGCTGCCAAGTTTTGAAAATTTCTGCAGTCTTTAGCTTTTGTCGCACAAATTTCAATTTCCCATGCAATTTTTGTATCCTGCTAATGATTCTTTTACATTCTTTTGCTATTGTTCTATTGTTTTGTGTTTTTGTTGTTGTTGTTCGCTCAACATTTTCTGCATTTGTTAGTTTTGTTGTTGTATTGTGGAGAGCCATCCACAAATAAAAGTCCGCTCCACTTCAGGCGAATGAAAAAAAACTCGTTCGCACGCACACAGTCACACCTTTGGTTTTTTCACGTACTTTCTACTTGGTGTCGCATTAGGTTTTCTTATTCAATTCAAAGATTATTGTGTGCAATGGCGACCTGTATTGCTCTTCTTTACACTGCACTTGGTAACTATTTTGCACTATTTTATAGGGTTTTTATTTTTACAACTTTTGGAAAATCGCTTCCTCGTCAGCGTCGCGTAGGGATGTTAAAACATTGATATACCAATCTATCGATACATGTTGTTGTTGATATGATCAACATCGATATTTTTGTAGCGGAAGTGAAATTCGGCGGTTACAAATATTTTGAGAATATCTAAAATCAGAGGCGAGATTTCGTGATTTTTGTTTTAAATCATATTTTAAATGATTTCTCCACCCTTTTTCATAACTATAACTTTGATGTGTTTAAAAAATTGTGCCATCACATAAATATAAAGAGTAATTTATTTAACAACGAGCAAAGTTCGAGACGAACAATAGTATTAAGGATACATACTCTTGCAAGTGTCACTATACTATCGATAGAATATGCGATGGATACGATGTAATTGTGGATATAAATATTCGATATAAGTCATCGATACGGAGAATTACATAGCTACTTAGTTTCGATTTTTCCAGACCCAAATAATTTTTCTGTTTGCTAAAATAATACGCGCTTCTGTGCAACGAAAATTTTACAAATGTGGTCGCTTTAAGCAAGCAGCAAAATTGCATTTTCGAAATTTTCCGCCTGCAGCTGGCCCTGGACGTGCTTTGTATCCGTGGAGAACAGAGAAGCAAAGGTATTGGGACATCGCCAACGCCATGTGTGTGTGTACATGAGCGCCAGTGCCTGTGCCTGTGTGTGTGTGTTTATGTGTTACATTGTGTGTTTGTGTATGTGGGCGGTGGGGCACCAAGGCTGGGCAAAAAAGGCGCTGGAAAAACTATTATTGCTCCAAATTCAAGCAAATTTTCACGATTTTCTCGAATCCACAGATAGACGCCGTGTGGGGTTGGGTTGCTTCCGCCCCGCTGCGCTTAGCGGCGAACAGAATGGGCGACCTTCCGGGCTCCACGGGCGGAGGAAGTGGCCCAGCTGCAGTCGGAAATGCAAGTGGAAATGCTAACTCTGCAGGCAACACAGGCCTTGGTGTGGCCGGCACCACGGGCGTGGACCGTCCACCATCTCCGGCCCGCCTCTCCCACACATCCGAGAAGCATCCAAAGGTGACGCTGACCGAGCTGAATATGTTGCGGCGCCATCGCGAGCTCTGCGACGTTGTGCTCAATGTGGGCGGACGCAAGATCTTCGCCCATCGGGTCATACTCTCCGCCTGCAGCTCCTACTTCTGTGCAATGTTCACGGGCGAGCTGGAGGAGTCACGCCAAACAGAGGTCACCATACGCGACATCGACGAGAACGCCATGGAGCTGCTCATCGACTTTTGCTACACAGCCCACATCATTGTCGAGGAGTCCAACGTGCAGACTCTGCTGCCAGCCGCCTGCCTGCTTCAGCTTGTCGAGATCCAGGTTCGATTCACGATTGCTTTGCACATTCTGCGCTCTCCATTGAGTTTTGTTATCTTTTATTGCTAGGACATTTGCTGCGAGTTCCTCAAGCGCCAACTGGACCCGACCAACTGCCTGGGCATCCGGGCCTTTGCCGACACACACTCCTGCCGCGAGCTGCTTCGCATTGCCGACAAATTTACACAGCACAACTTCCAGGAGGTGATGGAGAGCGAGGAGTTCTTGCTGCTGCCCGTTGGCCAGCTGGTGGACATCATCTGCAGCGACGAGCTTAACGTCCGCTCCGAGGAGCAGGTCTTCAATGCGGTCATGTCCTGGCTGAAGTACAATGTGGCCGAGAGGCGCCAACATTTGGCCCAGGTTAGTTATCCCTCGATCTCCTGCATGTAACGTTCTAATGCCTCTGTGCTTCCATCTCTTAAAGGTACTGCAACACGTCCGTCTGCCTCTACTCTCTCCCAAGTTCCTGGTGGGCACTGTGGGCTCCGATCTGCTGGTCCGCAGCGACGAGGCTTGCCGGGATCTGGTGGATGAGGCCAAGAACTATCTGCTGCTGCCACAGGAGCGCCCTCTGATGCAGGGACCACGCACCCGACCCCGCAAGCCGACACGTCGCGGCGAGGTTCTCTTTGCCGTGGGTGGCTGGTGCTCCGGCGATGCTATTGCCTCAGTGGAGCGCTTCGATCCGCAGACCAACGACTGGAAAATGGTTGCACCCATGAGCAAGCGACGCTGCGGTGTGGGCGTGGCCGTCCTCAATGATCTGCTCTACGCTGTGGGTGGCCACGATGGTCAGAGCTACCTGAACAGCATCGAGCGCTACGATCCACAGACGAACCAATGGTCCTGTGATGTGGCACCCACCACCTCGTGCCGCACCAGTGTAGGCGTGGCCGTGCTAGATGGTTTCTTGTATGCGGTGGGTGGCCAGGACGGGGTCCAGTGCCTGAATCACGTGGAGCGCTACGATCCCAAGGAGAACAAATGGTCCAAGGTGGCCCCAATGACCACACGACGTCTAGGCGTCGCTGTGGCCGTCCTGGGCGGTTTTCTCTATGCGATTGGTGGCTCCGATGGCCAATGTCCATTGAATACAGTGGAGCGCTATGATCCTAGGTGAGTGCCTTAGTAACTTTCTCCACTGGATCCCTGAATCCTGAATCCCTGGATCAATGTTAAATTTCTGTGTGTGTTTTTGCAGGCAAAACAAATGGGTGGCCGTCAGTCCCATGTCGACGCGTCGCAAGCACCTGGGCTGTGCGGTGTTCAACAACTACATCTATGCCGTGGGCGGGCGAGATGATTGCATGGAGCTCTCGTCCGCTGAGCGCTACAATCCATTGACCAACACCTGGAGCCCCATTGTGGCCATGACCTCACGACGCAGCGGGGTGAGTGATGGAAACCCTCCATCCTAGAGCCTAAATTTAACTTAAATTTGTGTTTCGTGTTTCGTGTGTGCGTGTTTCAGGTCGGCCTGGCCGTGGTGAACGGACAACTGTACGCGGTGGGCGGCTTTGATGGCTCCGCCTATTTGAAGACCATCGAGGTGTACGATCCGGAGACGAATCAATGGCGTCTCTGTGGCTGCATGAACTACCGCCGCCTGGGCGGTGGCGTGGGCGTGATGCGTGCACCTCAGACTGAGAACTATATGTGGTGCGAAAACAGTTTTAAGCAGCAGCAACAGCAGCAGCAGCATACAAATAATCCCCCATCCCAATTAACATCGTAACTTGCTCGTTCCTTTCATTGATCATTCATCAAATGTTGTTGTTTGTTGTCTTTTGTCTTCTTCTTCTTTCCCCCCCTGCTTCCACACATGCTAACAAATGCGGGAAAACGCAGGATACGCAAGGATTCGGTTGTCTGATGGGAGAAGCATCCGCCGTCGTTGACGTTGCCCTCGCAAACGTTGCCGCCGCCGCATTTCTACTAACAATTGAAGCCAAATTTAAAAACCCCACACAAACCACACCACACTACACCACACCCATCCTCCCCACACCCAATCCATTGTTTAGCAGATTGTCTCTGAATGTACTATGTGTTAATTGTTTATGTGGTTAGATGAGCCTAAGCCTAGACTTCCTCCCCCATCCCCCCCCAGAATAGTATAAGAGTTATATAAGAGCCCCAACAGCCACCATCACCCAACCACATTCACTCCTGTACGTAATTAAATTATTGTAACTAATGATACACAAGTACACATATAGATGGTAAGCAGCTATTGATATTGATATTGATAGACAACTCGAAATCGTAATATTTAGAATGTTGCTGGTTGAAATTTCATGGAAATTGCTAGCCCCATGCCCCATGCCCCATGCCTTCTCTCGAAAACAAAGTTAAAACAAAACAAAACAAACGAAAATCAAATACTAAATTCAGTTAGTTATTAATTGAAAATCAATGAGCTCTAAAGTCAAGTAACAAATTGGTATTAACATAATTTAGTATTAAGCAAATTATTCAACGCCCTCCGGCCCTGTTTCGTATTATTTATTATTATTATTATTTTTACCCCCCGTCCCCCCCATCATCTACTTGAAATCGATCAATAGAAAAGTTCTTTAATAATTATATTATGAAGGGATTTCAAGTAGTCAAAAAGTATATATAAAATAAAATAAAATAAAGCCAGCTTCTCAAGCTTAAAAATAAATGAAAAAAACAAAAACAAAAACAAAATACAGTTGCAATGAACAAAAGTCTAAAGATAGCCCAAGAAACATTTCAATAGTAAAATTAAAGTTTAAAGTCTACGCCTAGTTCTAAGCCTACAAATTTTAATATTGTTAATCGTAGATTGAATGCCGATGAAACCCCTTGGCTGACGCAGCGTTGATCGAGTTTTAGAGTTTTATTGTTAAACCAAGTTTGACGACCTGCTGGCCGGCTGATGGAACGAACCAACTCGAAATTATTCGGTGGCAACCTCTTTTTTTTTTTGTTATATAAATTGAACTTTTATTTTATTTATTTACAAATTGATTATTTATTGTACGCTTTTGCATCTCATTGTATTGTATTGTATGTATGTATTTAGTTTTATTTTATTACTGTGCACCTTTGTCATTAATTTATACCTGTTGTTGAGCCGAAAGCCGAGAGCAAATCATATGGAACTTTGCTTCCAGATGACGAATAAGAATAGCATTTACAAAACGAAAACGAACCTTAATTATATGGTAGGATTAAGAAAAAACAAAAATAAACAAACACCCACACACCAAGCAAAGATTAAACAATAGAAATTACATTAAATGGAATACAAAATATAACGCAAAGATTAGCACAGTGTTCTAAATGTGAAAAGTTCATGATCAATGGAAACCGTACTAAGCGTAGGGAAATATATAATATTAAAATATATCTATACTAAATCAAAACATGACATTTCATTTCACTCGAAAAATTATTTCACGATTCAAATTTGAATTCGATTATTTTCAGTCCTTTTCAGTCGGGGCGCCACTAGCGACAGTGAAGCGAAGCTCTGCATTGATATCGATATACCCCCAGCTGTTCATTCTGGCGCTTGTTTACTATTTCTAATTTTTACAAAAAATATAAGTTGGGCCGTAGAAATGGCCGTGGCGGCGGATAAAAAGAGAATCCTGAGCAGCGTGAAATACGCGCAGATCTGTCAGTTTGTCCACGGGTTCCATGGACTGGCCATCGACTGTGAATTTGAATTAAGGACTCGCTTCTCTCCGGATGTGGATCCGATGGCCCTGACGTGCATTTTGCAGTCGGAGCTGTTCAACAGGTCGCGCGGCCAGCACTGGCGGCACGACCAGCGGGCAAAGAAGCTACTAAAGACGTAGGCGAATCCCCAGTCCAGTCTATTATCATTTGGTGGTTTAATCTATCGCATTTAATTTACAGATATGAGGAGCAAGCTCATCTGTACCACGACAATGCTCTGATCATACGCATGGCCTGTGCCGAGGGCGCCAATCCAGTGGCTCTGTGCCGCATCCTGCTGCAGGAGAAATACGATCTAAGGCAAAGGCCGCAGGTCTCCCGCCTGCTCAAGTATCCGCATTTGATCAGCGATCCCCGGCTGGCGGCCAATGTGCAGCAGTGTATGTACAGCGACAACCAAGAGGGACCCATCACAGATCTGCGTCGGCGCATAATTGGCGAGGAATACGAGCTGAAGCTGAAGCACCTGGCCAAGGAGGCCGGCATACACTTCTACGATGAGCACGACCTGCGCCGCATGGGCTACGACAAGACGCCCGACATCAAAATGATACTGCCATTCCTCTACAAGGGCACCGTTGTCAATTGGATCGAGAGCAAGGCCAATTTCGGCGATACCAAGAGCCACAAGTGGAACATTCATCAACAGTTGCAGAGCTATTGCAATCGGTATGTGGTTTATCTTTAGCTTGGTTCCTCCTACCTCACGCCGCTCATTCTCCTTAGCTTCGGCCCTGGCATCATCATATACTGGTTCGGCTATCAGGAGGAGACTCCTACGCTTCCAGACAACAATATAGGCATCACTGTACTGACGGACTTTCCAGCTAAAGAGGATTTGGTCTTCATGCTGCTACCGGAGGGACAAACCACAGCCAAAGAATCCATCGCCCCAAGTCCAGCTACTGTAGAAGCAGATCCGCATGCATCTGCGGCTCGGGAACAGTCTACGACAATCGCGAAAGGAGTTCCAAGCCCTTCATGAGGGGTAGGAATTGATTGATTGTCTTAAATAGTAGTGAGTAGTGAGCAGGCAAAGGTTATGATCTGCTGTTGTTTTGTCTTCTAGTTTTTTTTCTTTGTGTCAATTTTGTTTTAAATGCAAACGGAACAGTTTCAAATTTTTGGAAATAGCTTCAAGTTGGAATCAAGACGAATGCATTGCATTTAAGCTGTAATTTAAGTTTTAAATGTAGCTGTAAGGCCAACGCATGACATGACAATTGCTGCCAGCAGCAAAACTAATTTAGGTATATGTAATTTTTTTTAACAATTTTCTTTTTTATTATGTACTGATAAATTCTCATTTATACACGATTAAATTTACTCAATTTTTTATGGTACAAAAACTCATTGATTTCTCCTCGTTTCTGTCATTGTTTTTGATTTGTATAAACGTAAATCCCAAAAAGGTGGCAGAGCTGAGCAGAGTAATAATTATTGTTCTTAGAAAAAGAGAGGGGTGCTAAAAATTACAAATAAAAACAAAATCATAAATTATTCTATGTGCTTGGTTGTTGGTTTGTCTTGGTTTGTATAGTTTATGGGCCATTCGTTTAAACAATTGCATGCGCGCCTGTCTCGTGGCAATCTCCAATTCTAATTTAAAGAAATATCTAAACCAAAATCAAAATGTTAGCAGTTTGTATACAAAAAATTCAGCTGCGTTTCCTGCATTGGCAATAAGTCGTCTCCCAACAGCAGTTCTGGTTGATGATGTAAATTTATTGTTGCAAAGATTTCGTACTGGTAGGCAACTCGTCGATTCAGTTTCCGTTGATATTGGTGTCGTTTCGCGTCGTCTCAGACATCCTTCAGCTCCTCGGGCATGTCGTTCTTGGGATGCTTGTTCTCAAAGTGCTGTTTGTACGTCTTGGGATCGGGCATTTGCGACTGCAACGGACGCACACATAGATTAGATTGTGTCCGACAGTGACAGTGGCTCGGAATCGACTCGGAACACTTACCTTGCAGACGGCGCACACATGGACGAGCGCCTTTTGGGCCGCCTTCTTTTGGTCGGTGGCACTGTGGCCCTGTTGCTTCTTCATCTTGGCCTGCTTGTCGGCCGCCTTCGCCTGTGACTGGATCTTCTGATGTCCGCGTGCCATTGTGTGCTGCCAAATGATAATCAAAGTACACAATTATTCATTTATCAATTAATGCGCTGACTTGGCAACAAGCGACTGGCAGGCCGCCTCTTGCTTTTTGTTTGTTGTTGCGCTTAGGCGGGATTTACAACAAAGGCGGCAAACGGCAGCAGCTGCAGAAGCGCAGCATTGGCAACACTGAACTTTCTCTTTCTCGCCGAGCCAGCAACCCGACTGCTGGGGTTCACAATAAACGCGTTTATCTATCTACATCTAATGATCGTAAATAAAATTTTGCCGTGACACGAGTACCGTACCGCCACCGCCACTGATGCCGTTCCACCCCCGTCGCTCGGCAGACAAACGGTTTCCATGCTTGGCAAAATGAAAAATGTGGCCACCCGTTCTCTTTGGGGACATCTTCCTTACCTAATTTCTGTGTGTTTGGGTTTGGTTGTGTATGCGAAATGCAATTGCGCAGACTTTGGTTGTAGGTTACGTTGATTTTACGATAATTTTTCCACGTTTTAATGCCGAAATTTGTTGACGTTTTTTAACTGCGAAATTTTTAATAATAATTTGGAAGCAGTGTGACCGCGGCCAGAAACGATGTATCGATATGTGCGAGACACTATCGATTTTGCTGCCACTGTCTAGTATTCATAGAGATGAGTAATTGGTAGCGTGATTGAATTTGTATTTGTATTTTTCTCAAAGAGAGTAATTGGCCAAAAGAAAACTTTCAAGCCAAGAAACTAAGTTGATATGTTATATACACAATTACATTCGATGTGTTTTAACGACGCGAGATTAAAAGTCTAATTTAGCGTCTCTTACTAATTTCACGAGTTCCCTCATATGTATGTAGAAGGATATTTGCTTTAAACAAATCGTGCGTAGAGTTGTAATACTTAAATATTTTAAATTTACGTTTATTGGGATACCCATATGACCTGGCATCCAGTAGATGTCTACAGAGATTTATTCTGGCCATACCAGTAAGTTGTGAATATTTGCCACTGGATAGGCATCTGATTCTGAATTTTTATACCCGTACTCAAAAAAGAGTTAAGGGGTATATTAGATTTGTGGTAAAAGTGGATGTGTGCAACGCAGAGAGGAAACGTTTCGACCCCATAAAGTATATATTCTTGATCAGCATCAATAGCCGAGTCTGTATAGCCATGTCCGTCTGTCCGTCCGTCTGTCCGTCTTGATGAGCGCCTGGATCTAGACTGGCTAGAGAAACCAAATTTGGTTTCCAGACTCATGTGATATCACACTGCTAAGTGTATTCAAATCGCCCCGCCCCCTTCCGCCCACACAAAGGACGAAAATCTGTGGCAGGCACAGTTTTAAAGATACGATAAAACTAAAAACGCAGTATCGTAGAAAATGCCAATACTACCAGATTGCCGAATCTGAATCAGATCGGATCATAATTATAGCCAGAATGAAGAAATTAATTTTCAGTTGCTTCCCCTCCCCCTCCGCCGGACAACGCATCTCATTTTCCTTCTCGCCGCACATTCTGCCGCGTTCAGTGCGCGGCAACCCTAGGAGGAGATGTAGAATCTAATTTGAACATGTAAAATCTACATGTTAGATGTATAATATACATTGTATATGTAGATGTAGATATCATATGTAGCAAAAAAAAAATGTAAAATTTTTTTTTTCTAAAATTCTTAAAAATCATAAGCTCAAAAATGTATATACTGACTGAGTACGGGTATAAGTAGAGTCGCGTCCCCAGAAGCGACTCACACGTTCCTTCTCGTTTTTTAACATACATATATATAGCTGCTAAACTATCCGTAAATATAGCTTCTTTAGTTAGTCTTAATTGCTTGGCAATTGATTTGATCTGATTTAAATCTATAAGTCTTTTTTTTCTGTTTAGCCTAGTACTCAGATCGAACGAGAAGGAACGTGTGAGTCGCTTCTGGGGACGCGACTCTACTTATACCCGTACTCAGTCAGCATATACATTTTTAAGCATATAATTATTTGAACTTAAAAAAAAAGAAATTTTACATTTTTTTGCTACATCTGTTATCTACATCTACATATACTATTTATATTATACATCTAACATGTATATTTACATGTACCATTTAGATTCTACATCTCCATCGCGCACGAAAGGTGTGCGAGCGAGAAGGAAAATGAGTTGTGTTATTGTGTTCAGGAGGGGGCAGGGGAAGGAACAGAAAATTAATTTCTTCATTCTGGCTATAATTATGATCCGATCTAGTTCAGATTTGGCAATCTGGTGATATGGGCATTCTCTACGATACTGCGTTTTTAGTTTTATCGTATCTTTAAAATTGTGCCTGCCACAGATTTTCGTTCTTTGTGGGGGCGGGGGGGGGGGTAACACTTGTAGCAGGTGATATCACTGCTGGAAACCAAATTTGGTTTCGCTAGCCTTAAGCTTTGGATCCAGGCGCTCATCGAGACGGACAGACGGACAGACGGACGACGGACAGGACGACGGACATGGCTATATCGACTCGGCTATTGATGCTGTCAGAATATATATACTTTATGGGGTCGATTTTCCTTCTCTGCGTTACACATCCACTTTTACTAATACCCCTTAACTCTTTTTTGAGTACGGGTATAATAACTCTTTTTTGAGTACGGGTATAAAAAGAACACCTAGCGAACAGAATCAGTATGTAGCTCGTTAACAGTGGCACATTTTAATGGAGACCCCGTTAAGTTTTAACATTACAAATGAGTGAAAATGTATTTTTATTAGCGCGCGCAATAAAACAAAAACTGAGTTTGTTTCAAAAAATTTCTCAAAACCTGGACCGAACCACTAACCACTACACATTATACCATACCATATACCATATATGGTTAGTGGCCGAACGCTTCCAGACGAGTTTCTTCTATATTTACAATAAATTTGGGCCTATCATCTTGTTGGAGATTGAATTGGGACCTCCTGGAGAGTACGTCATAAAATTATGGTATAAACATAACATCGCCGTATAACTAATCATCTGAATAAACTGTTTACTCGCATTCGCATTATTTGTAATTTCGGGGGTTATTACACGACGTTCGACTTGAAGTTGAACTTTTGATTGCGCCGCAAGGATAAGGGTATAAGGTGTGACGTATGACGTGTGACGTATGAGGTCCTTACGAGGCCCTTAAAAAAAGTTTGGCCGTCTTAATACTGCGGCCATACCTTGCCATGACCCAGTCGAAAGAGAGCACTCAAAACGCTCTCCGGACTCATTTCTGCGTATAAATTGTGAGTCCCAGAAATATACCGTAAATATACCGCACATATACTGACAAAATGCGTTGATATACTTCGATTTTGATATTCCGTTTAATATTACTAGCTAGTTGGCCTTTCTCAGCCCTAAACAAATAATTTTATCCGATTCCTCAATGAATTTTGTTTAGGATTGGCTAGTTTTCAGAACTATTTGTAATGGGATTGTTTAGATAATAGGGTTCAAACAAAAACGGCCAAAGCATAAAACGTAAATGTTCGAAGCAGACCCGTCTCATTATCAAAATATACTGTAAATATACCGCCTTTATTCTTCAGAAGGTATGCAGATTGTTGCTTAAAATATCGAGCGGTACTAGCCATGCCAACTTGCCAATAAAAGGAACGGTAAAGTGGCGCGAACTAGAAATCTAAATATTGCCTTTTCAAAAAGCAAAAAGTTTAAAATTGTCAACATTCAATATTATATATTATATAATATAATGGCAAAGGAAATCACCCAGTAAGAATTTGTGATATATGTACACAACTATGCTCCCTTGCTCGGCTTTACACTTTCGTTCTTTGCTGTGTGACAAGGAGAGGAAGACAAGGAGAAACAAGTGCAGATTTCGAAGCCCGAGTTTTGGCTAGCCTTCGCTGATCTGCTCTCACACTCACACTCTCAGCAAAGCGCTTTTAACTTTTCGGGCCCACTTCAGAACATTGCACTAGCATCACAGTTAGTAGGAGGCTTAGGATCTCATCTAAGCACCACCCTTCTAGATTCTAGAACATTCGCTAAAGCTAGCTTTAGCAACTAAAAATACACACTCACACACATTGCAAAAGCAAAATCCTCTCTCAAATGTCTTTAAGTGGGAAGAGAGAGCAAAGTCAAATTTAAACTCCCGGCGCAGACGCATGTTTATTCATGTCGCGCAGCCAAAAGTGCAGTAAAAAGGTGTGATAGGAAGCAAGTGCCGGAAATCTGCCGGAAAAGTGGCAAAATATGTCGCAAAAACCCGGAAATGTGATTAGTTCAAATCAATCGCCATTTTTATGCTGATGGTCTCATCCACTCACTTTCCTTCTAGAATATTCGATAAAGTTACAACACACACACACAAACCTATTGCGAAAGCAAAGCTCTCTCTGATGCTCTCACTGATTGCAGTTCATCCACCTTCAAATGACTTTGAGTGGGAAGAGAGAGCAAAGTCAAATTTAAACTCCCGGCGCAGACGCATGTTTATTCATGTCGCGCAGCCAAAAGTGCAGTAAAAAGGTGTGATAGGTAGCAAATGCCGGAAATTCTTCCGGAAAGGTGGCAAAATATGTCGCAAAAACCCGGAAATGTGATTAGTTCAAATCAATCGCCATTTTTATGCTGATGGTCTCATCCACTCACTTTCCTTCTAGAACATTCGATAAAGTTACAACACACACACAAACCCATTGCGAAAGCAAAGCTCTCTCTGATGCTCTCACTGATTGCAGTTCATCCACCTTCAAATGACTTTGAGTGGGAAGAGAGAGCAAAGTCAAATTTAAACTCCCGGCGCAGACGCATGTTTCTTCATGTCGCGCAACAAAATATGCAGTAAAAAGGTGAAAGGAAGTTCGGAAAATTATGAAAAAACCCGTGTGATAAGTGTAGCAAGTGTTTAAAATAAAAGTCTGTTTAAAATAAAAGTCTGGCCAAAAAGTTGTGAAAAGTGTTATAAAAAGATCTGGAAAAATCCGGGAAAACGCAACTCCATGTGGGAGAAGAGCCAAAGCATTAGGGAAAAGTAGAAAAGGATCATATCAAGTGTAAAATCAATGATTTTCTCATATGGAAAACTGACCGAAAACGGCAATTGCGTCGTAGCGCAATTCCAGCGCACGTTTCCAGCTATTGGAATGAGTGTAAAGAAGGAAAGACTTAAAATAACGGCATCAGATGTGCCCTCCGCTTGAGTTTTTTTTTGGTGTTGAGTTTTTTTTCTGGGCTCAGCAAGGCGAGAGTGATGTACATAATGATCATTATGACGACAAGGTACAAGGCGGCAAGCAGTAACGGCATCATATGAGTGTTTTTTGTTTCTGTGAGAGTGAGATTGTGTGTTTGTGCAGGATGGTCATTATGACGGCAAGGAGTGCCAGGCGGTTTCGGCAAAAAGTGAGTGAAAGTTTTAAAGTGAAAATAAAATGCCCCGCAAAACTATAGAAAGCGCGGAAAAAGGCCCGCTGAACTAAAGAAAGAGCGGAAATAATAAAAGGCTTAGATGGCCAAAAGTGAGTGAAAGTGCAAGTGAAAATAAAATGCCAAGCAAAACTATAGAAAGCGCGGAAAAAGGCCCGCTGAACTAAAGAAAGAGCGGAAAAGTGAGTGAAAGTGCAAGTGAAAATAAAATGCCCCGCAAAACTATAGAAAGCGCGGAAAAAGGCCCGCTGAACTAAAGAAAGAGCGGAAATAATAAAAGGCTTAGATGGCCAAAAGTGAGTGAAAGTGCAGTGAAAATAAAATGCCCCGCAAAACTATAGAAAGAGCGGAAAAAGGCCCGCTGAACTAAAGAAAGAGCGGAAATAATAAAAGGCTTAGATGGCCAAAAGTGAGTGAAAGTGCAGTGAAAATAAAATGCCCCGCAAAACTATAGAAAGAGCGGAAAAAGGCCCGCTGAACTAAAGAAAGAGCGGAAATAATAAAAGGCTTAGATGGCCAAAAGTGAGTGAAAGTGCAAGTGGAAATAAAATACCCCGCAAAACTATAGAAAGAGCGGAAAAAGGCCCGCTGAACTAAAGAAAGAGCGGAAAAAAGGCTAGATTGCCAAAAAGTGAGTGAAAGTGCAAGTGAAAATAAAATGCCCCGCAAAACTATGGAAAGAGCGGAAAAAGGCCCGCTGAACTAAAGAAAGAGCGGAAATAATAAAAGGCTTAGATGGCCAAAAGTGAGTGAAAGTTCAAGTGAAAATAAAATGCCCCGCAAAACTATAGAAAGAGCGGAAAAAGGCCCGCTGAACTAAAGAAAGAGCGGAAAAAATAAAAGGCTAGATTGCCAAAAGTGAGTGAAAGTGCAAGTGAAAATAAAATGCCCCGCAAAACTATAGAAAGAGCGGAAAAAGGCCCGCTGAACTAAAGAAAGAGCGGAAATAATAAAAGGCTTAGATGGCCAAAAGTGAGTGAAAGTGCAGTGAAAATAAAATGCCCCGCAAAACTATAGAAAGAGCGGAAAAAGGCCCGCTGAACTAAAGAAAGAGCGGAAATAATAAAAGGCTTAGATGGCCAAAAGTGAGTGAAAGTGCAAGTGGAAATAAAATACCCCGCAAAACTATAGAAGAGCGGAAAAAGGCCCGTGACTAAAGGGCGGAAGGTAGATGCCAAAAGTGAAAGTGCAGTAATAAATGCCCGCTAAACTTGAAGAGGGGGCCGCTGTGCGGAATAAATGGCTACTGGCCATGTGAGTGAAGTGCAAGTGAAAATAAAATGCCCCGCAACTATGGAAGAGCGGAAAAAGGCCCGCTGAACTAAAGAAAGAGCGGAAATAATAAAAGGCTTAGATGGCCAAAAGTGAGTGAAAGTTCAAGTGAAAATAAAATGCCCCGCAAAACTATAGAAAGAGCGGAAAAAGGCCCGCTGAACTAAAGAAAGAGCGGAAAAAATAAAAGGCTAGATTGCCAAAAAGTGAGTGAAAGTGCAAGTGAAAATAAAATGCCCCGCAAAACTATAGAAAGAGCGGAAAAAGGCCCGCTGAACTAAAGAAAGAGCGGAAATAATAAAAGGCTTAGATGGCCAAAAGTGAGTGAAAGTGCAAGTGAAAATAAAATGCCCCGCAAAACTATAGAAAGAGCGGAAAAAGGCCCGCTGAACTAAAGAAAGAGCGGAAATAATAAAAGGCTTAGATGGCCAAAAGTGAGTGAAAGTTCAAGTGAAAATAAAATGCCCCGCAAAACTATAGAAAGCGCGGAAAAAGGCCCGCTGAACTAAAGAAAGAGCGGAAAAAATAAAAGGCTAGATTGCCAAAAAGTGAGTGAAAGTGCAAGTGAAAATAAAATGCCCCGCAAAACTATAGAAAGAGCGGAAAAAGGCCCCGCATAACTATGGAAAGAGCGGAAAATAATATACATCATATAAGTGAAGGTTGGTCAATATGACGGCAAGGGGTGCCAGGCGGTTTCGGCAAAAAGTGAGTAAAACTTAAAATGCGTGTAAAAAGAAAAACAGTTGAATGTCTCGCAAAAATATAAAAGAAGACTAGGTGGACAAAAAAGTGAATAAAAGCGATAACGGGAGATTAAATGCGAGTAAAATAAAAACAATTATATCCTCCGCAAATAATGTATGTAACTCTACGATATTTACAGCTCAAATAATATTAGACGCTAAAGCATTATGGGAACCGGTGAGTACTTCTGTTTTGGTTATATATTTCTTATTTCTTTCTACTTATATTTTCTTAGAATTTTTTATATTCTTTCTATAATTAAATTTTCTATATTTCTTTTTATATTTCGTATTTCCTTCTTTCCTCATTTTTAATTTTTATTGGAATTTTTTATTTGTATTCGATCAGTGAATTTCTTCGGTTTGATAGTTATCTGTTTTGATTGTCAGGCAATATCTGCTGTATACTGGTACTGAATTGGAAAATGTGGAACTATTTGATGGATTTTTTTTTTTTACCATTTGTAGTGGAATTTTAAGTTGGATCATCGCATTACGTATTAACCGGGGCTACATGTGTATACATTTTGGCTGTGATTTTCTTGGAAATACATTTCCAGTTTGCATCTCCTCCCGCTTTCCAAGCATTCATCTCACATATCTATCTCAATTTTTGTGTAATATTAACGAAATTTACGTGCGGGTCCCCTATTATGTCTAGACAAAGCTGAAACCCGGCTTTACATCGGCATATTCCCTGGTCCATTAACGTCTGTCCAACAGTAGGAAAGAAGCGGTGGCGGAGACGACGCACGTGTCCATGTCCATGCGGCCTATGGCTTCGCTGGTTGTCCGCCATATGAAAATAAACCAATTTGCATATATTTTATAAAAAGATAAATACATTGATACTCCACTGGCAGTGGAGAGTTCGTGGAAAGCAACGAAAAATAAAATCTGTAGGAGATCACTCATACGCACCGTGTGCCACAGGTTGTACGGGTGTAGGAAAAATCTTCAAAGAAAATACAAACAAACACAAATCTCACTGCCTCATCTGTGACCCGGGGGGGAGTTGAAATCGCTGGCGGTTTCAGTTGTCTTGGCCTGGCTAATTGTTCCGCTGCTCTCACTGGTAGTGTCCGTAATTATAAATCAATTGCTTGCAGGGTGCTCTGTATTTGGCTTTTGCTTCCCTCCAGCTTGTGCCAGTCCTAGCTCTGGAAGAAAGTTGCTTGACATTTGGCAAATCCTTCGGGCAGTTTTCCACAGTCTGAGCATCGGTGTGCCAATGACATTTTTGTAAAGAGAAGATCAATAGAGGAAATATTCCGGAAGCGAGTCAAGTGAAATTGATACATTATTAAATCTCCGACCACAGTAGATATCGCTCGCAGAAAATGCAACCTTTAAATTAATTTTTCCATGACCAAATTATACTCAACAAATATTAGTTTTATATAGAAATCGTAAGTATATGCATAAATATGGCTTTATTGGGTAGTATGTAAAACTTAACAAGATCCAACTATATGATATAAATATAAATAATTAAACCAACATGCTTGCGTTATTGTCGCAAAACTCATAAATATTATCAACAAATTGCATTTCGAGTGGATTTTTAGCAGCTTGAGGTGTTTCTCCTTTCTGTGGTGGTGGATCTTCGGATGCTTTTCTGGATGCTGCCACGCCCACACCGCAGACATTTGCTGCTACTTCCGTCTCCTCCATTGTCATCCGCTTGAGGTTATTGATCAGGGATATGTCATGTTTCATTTCGTTCTTCAAGTCGAGCAGCTCATGCTCCGTTTTGATGATGTCCTCGGCATAGGCTTCGATGTTTTGCTGTAGCTGTCCCACGGAAACCTCCATTTCTGGTCCCTTATAGCGTTCGTTCTGAATCCTATACATTCGGCACTTCTCAGACAGTTGTCGTGTCAGTGCGTATTCCCTTTCGTAGCGAAGGTTCATGTCAGCGTGCAGGGATGCCAGCTTATTGCGAACACTGTTGCGCAACGGTCGATCCTTGCGCCTGCGTATATAATTATTCACGTTATTCACGTTATTATTGCATTCGTTGGGATTTTCTGCCGTGGCTGCTGTTGAGTTTGCTGGCTTCGGTTCGTGGCGGCTTCGTCGACGTCGTCGCTGCTGCTTGGAGACCCGATTTTCGGCCAGTTTGTACAGCTTTCCCTTCGGGCAGTTCTCCGTGCCTTTGTACAATTGGTCCGGCATGATGACCAGCAGCAGCTCATCGGCCGCCGCTCGTCTGTCGCCTTTGTTGAGCTTTTGACACTTTTCTTTTATCTTGTTGGGCACCTTGGGAGGAGTATTTGTGGGTTTTGTGGGCATATCCTTTTTTCTTTTGCTCAGATGCATGAGTTTCTTGAGCCATTTGATCATGGAAAAGCTGGCAGTGGGAGGAGCATGCGGCATCAACTGCAGCGTCATGGGATCCCTGAAGTTCTCCCGGTGCTTGAGCGACAGGCGCAGCTGTAAGTAGAGTGGGAAAAAGTAAGAGATTGTAATGTACTGAATAATATTTGTTTCAGAAACTACTCCATTAGGAAACCATTAGGACGAAAGGCCCATGCTAATGGGGGCTCGATCATAAAAAATTTACAACATAATTACCCCCCCAAATGTAAACATGAACTTTAATACAAAAATCAATAAGCAAATTGATTTCGTTTGGTGCGTCATAGGGAAATACGGAAATACCAAATGAAAAGGCTCAGAGAGCATAAGTCAAATACGAGCACAATCAAACAAACATACAAAAGTATACATACATATGTATGCGGCGGGGGGGTGTGACCAAAGGGGAAAGGGAGTAGGAGTAGGAGCAGAAGTGGGTGTTCGGGTGGTCGGGCGCCGACATGAATTTCACATTTCTTGGCTTGCGTGTGGCGCCAGGACGACCAAGCAAAAGAGTGGGAGAGAGAGAGAGAGAAAAAACGCTTATTATGCAATCACTGTAGACGTTTTTTTCTGTTTTTTCTGTTTTTTTTTTTTTTCGTTTGTGTTTATCCGCTTTTGGGCTCAGTTTTTGCACGCCAGGTGGGCGCACAGTCAGGAGAGGAGAAAGGAGAGGGGTAAAAGGGGAACTGGCTGCCTCTTATTACCTCATTGTGTACACGACTCCAAGCGCGCCAAACGGGCAAAATGGCCATGTTGCCGTCGTAGCTTCGCTCTATGCCGCCCCAACTTTCCGTTATAATGTAATCGCTGTAGTCACGCGATGCTGCCGCTGCCACTGCCACTGCCATCGCCGTTTCCTTTGTAGTTGCCCTCTGGCCGCCATCTTGTGTTTTTCAAAACGGAACCCAACGGAAAAAAAAGAAACGTAAGAAAAGAGAAAGAACAAAAAAAAAAAAAAAATACATATAATAATTGTAAATAAAAAGGAACATAAATAAATAAAAAGGCAAATTGTGAAATAGAAATGAACAAAACCTGCAGTCACGTCACCAACAAGATCCACTCGCTGTCTGTCTGTCTGTATGTCTGTCTGTCTGTATATACATATGTACTGCTACATTTTGCTTTTTCACAGCTGTCACAGTGTGGATTCACATCTACAGCCCCCTCCCCCCCCCTGTACGTGGATAAATATTGACTTACCTTTGGCATCAACACTGCTGCAGTGTTGCCCAGTACCAGCAACGTTGCTCAGCTCGTCATCAATCAGGGCCTTGATTATGTCATTGCATGTGGTTTTGTTGGTTACACCCGATACGTAGCGCGGCTCGCCATCGTCCATCCAAATGGGTATTTCCTTATGGCCTTGCTCCTGTTTTGTGTTAAGGGACAAACAAAGAGAGGTAGCGAAGACAAGCATTAATCATTTGTTGACCCATACTTCAGTAGAGCTTTTAATTACAGTCGAATTTAGTTGATGGATGGGGTTAGTAGCTGGTTAATGGTATTGGGAATCAACTATTGGATATACACAGCAAGCAGTTTCTTTATATATATATGTATATGTATATTTATATATATAAATCTTTGAAAAATTCTATTTCATCAATTGATCGTTTTTTATTGAGGGTAAAAGATTGCCTGCCAGTCAATTCGTTTCACAACCAAAGAATTATAATAGCAATTTCCTAGCTGCCTTGCAAACACTATTTCCCCGGAAGAACTGTACCAGGTGCTGGTGCCGAGTGCCGGGTGCCGGGTGCCCTGTCTATGCATATGACTAACCAAACACACTACCGACTCCTCACCACCTGGCCCTGTGCTAGTGCCAGTGCCACTGACTGTGCCTGTGCCTGCCCACCCAATTAGATGATTTGTTTGATTTCAGTGGAAAAAGCTGCCACTGCCGCCGAAATGCAGGGGAAACGCGTGAGGTGAGAGGAGCTGGAATGGAGGCACTTACCACAGTGCTATTAACGCCGTAGAGGGAAATGGAACGATGGCGACGACTGGCCGGGGGGCCGCCACCGTTTCCGTTTGCCTTGCTGTGTTTATTTTTGCATGGTGGTTGTGGTGCTGGTGCTGGTGCTGTGGCTGTGGCTGCGACTGCGTCCACCAAACGCTCCTCGAATGCAACCTGCTTATTATTATGGTGGTTATTGTTGCTGTCTTGATTTTGACATCGCCTCGTGGGCAGTATGGGGCTCTCGGGCAGATTCAATAGCGATGGACAGCTGTCCAGATTATCGTCGATGAATGTCGAATTCTGTTGTTGCGGTGCCATGTTTGTTCTCCTTCCCTCCGTTCGTTCAGGTATTTCTTTTTTAAAAACTCTCTCGTTAATTGGCACTGCAAGGATACAAGGATACAATGTTAAGGGTATGTAGGTATGGTAATGGTATAGGTATTGGTATTGGTATCGTATAGCAGTGTGGAAAACATGCAATATCCTTGTCAGACATTTTGTTGTTTTCGTTTTTTTGTTCCTGTGTTCGCCTACGTCTAACGATCAATTTAGATTTGTTGCTGGCGATTAAATAAATTATGCACGAGCCTTCTACCACTGTACTGCCACATATGGACGAAGGATATGTACATATATGCGTGTGTGTGTGTATCTATAGTTGCAGCACCTCCCCATAGACACTAAACACCCACCCACCAAACCAAGCAATCCATCCACCCCATCTACATAGATTCCTAGAAAATTGGCTACCAACGCTACCAGTTGGCGCCGCTAGGCCCATTATTCAGGACTGTTGCCGGCATTTAGCCTGTTTGCTGCTGCTGTCCCTCACATCACTCTGCCCCAGCCCAAGTCGTAGCGTACCTTCTGCTATCCTGACGCGGCACTCCACGTAATTTGTTGGTGCTTTTGATTGTAGTTCCAGGGCGTTGTTCGGAGGAGCCTTGCACTTTGTATGCAAATTTTAGCTGTAGCCGAAAAACATTTTTGCATTGCATTTGCGGACTACCACTGCCACTTTCCACTGACTTATGAATTAATGCTAATTTATGCCATGCCGCCGGAAAATGCAGGCAAGAAGGAGCCTCTCAAATTATATACATATAGTATATTGTCTGCGGAGAGTGGAAAATTATAGGGCTCTAATTGAGTGGCACAGAAATAGCTGCTGGGGCATAAATTTTTTTCCAATATAGTAGACCCAGAAGTAAGGGAGATTTGCTGAGCTAATCTTTAGTTCTTGCTGTCTACAATCGTAATATTTTTTTTTATACAGAACCTCCGCTTCATCAAATATTTATTTGCGCTTCTCTGGCCAGGTGTCTGCGCCATGGTACACGCCCCTTTCTGGGCTATTAGGCAAATGAATTATGAGTGAGGCAATTTGCAAAGGGATTTGCCATTTGTACGAGTATCCGTGAGGGTGTAGTGCTGTATTTGATTACGATGGACGCCTGGACAGGCCAACATTCGTTTAAAAATGTAGTTTCCAATCAAGATAAGTTCAAATGTAAATTTCCCTTTGGCGAGGTCAATTACTGTACTGCCCCTTGGGTGGTGCACGCTTAATTGTTTCAGTGCAGTAGCGCCAACCCACCAACCCACCCACAATCCACAACCCATACCCATTATACATTTATGACCGAAGCTATTGGCCAAGTTTTCAAAATACCTTTGACCCCAAAAGTTCAATGTCTTTCAAGTTTAGCCGACTTGAAGCCGACTTAGCCGACTTTAGACTTGAAGGCTCAAGTTTCCCTCTTTCGGAATAATATATTTTCAAGTGCTTCAAAATGTTTGTGCCCCCCCCGCCCCTTAAATAATAGTCTGAGCATTTTCCTCCTTCTTTAATATTTATTTTCATTGCGTGTGGAGAAGAAATTAATTTTGTTTTGGTATTGCGCATTGGTTCTCGAACAAGAGAAACAATGCGCGATATGACGTTAGTCGTTGGGAGTGTAAGAATGGGCTGGGCTGGACTGGTGGGGCGTATGAGTAATATTGAGATTGCTGTGATTTGATAGCAAAGAAATTGATCCGAAAAAACCCAACCTTTTTGCGGTGAAATCTCTAGGGAATATCAAATTTATGGCTTTAGCTTTGGGTTTAATTTATCAAATGATTTTCAGAGAAAGAGATCTTTACCGAATTCGGAGGATCCTAGAATTTTGTTAATCTGCGATCTGTTCTAACCTTTGAACATAATACATTGAAGGAAATAAATTCTATATAGATGATTACGATTTTTACCCTATTTTATGTATGTTTCTCATATATTTTTTGTTGTAGGCTGAAACTTTCCAGCTGCTGTTTTGAGCCGTGCACTCGATTTTGGCACCCGCAGAACCACAGAATATACTAAAATCAACTGTGAATTCTCCCAGTGCCAAGAACCAATGCCAGCAATAATGATTGATCGCAGTGGACGTTAATCTCTAACTAAGGGCACACTAAGCGAGGAACAACTTTGGGCTTACCTCTGCTGGATGCTCTCCAGATCTACGCTTCTGCGCGTTTCGATTCTGCAACGATGCGGCGGCTTCCACGTTTTGTTTCGAATGATCCTTTGGCCACTGGATGGATGAAGATTGTTTAGCTGTCTCTGTTCACACTATTGGCTATTGGCTACTGGCTACCAGTTCTCATGCTGCAGCCGCAAGGACATGTTAATCCTTTGAGCTTTGACACTTGACTGAAGTTCAAATTTGAATTTGCGGCTATGTAAGGTGAGCCCAGGCGGCTGGCGACGGCGACGTCGATGCCGCTAACAGTTAGCAGCTAGCGGCTAGCAGCGCTGCCTCGTACGTATATAGGAGAAAATTGTTCTAGATCTAGACAGGTGCTAATGGTGCTGTCCTTGTCTGGCAGGCACTGGAAACCCTTTGCTCGCATTCAAATTTTCCCCACACACACACACACACACACAGCGAAACACAGAGAAAACACGGGGGTACGTAATGCAGCAGGTCCCTGCTCGGTTCGTTGCCAGGGAGAGGAACGTTGCACAACAAATAACTGAACGGCGTATCCTTGACGACGGCATGTGACTAACTAAAATTTTATTTGCTACCACACAAAACTTTAAACCAAAAAAAGAACAGAACCAACTCCAAGAAACGTCGAGCCACCACGCACACACATGCATACATATGTACATATACCAACATGATGGACACAAACACACACCTGGCCAAGACACAGAGACAGAGAGAGAGAAAGAGAGAGAGAGGAGAGTGAACAGGAACTAGAGGGTAGGTTCCCCTGTGCCCCTGCTCCCCCTGACAGGGCTATTGGTGTTTGCTGCTGTCGTCATCATTATCATCCTCCTTCTGCCTGTCTTTGACCAACCAGCAGGCAACGCAACCACCAAAAAAAAAGAAACACTGTGAATAAAAATGCTGTACTACCAATTTCCACTAGCCCTAGCTCCGCGCTAGACCTTCTCTCGACCACTCCCTCGATTCGGGCTGCAGTTTCAGTTATTTCATAAGCGAACTATAGCGTGTGCTGCCCGACAATACATACATATGGTATCTATATGTATACGAATACCAACCCAACGACGGGGCAACACCAACACCACACCAACACCACACCACACGAATGCCATGACGCGCACTTTGCGTTATTTGGTAAAACGAGATTGTTGATAAGGTGCCACCAGCAACAGCAACAACAGCGAACAGCTAACTATGAAAAGAACTCGCGGTACATAAAAAACGAATTTCTGCCTTGTTTTTTCGTCCCCCCCGCTTGGGTACTCCTGCTCCTGCACAACACCCACCGCCTCCCCCCCCGGGGATGGAGCCGCTATACATTTGGCTTTTTGTATTTTATTGTTAATGGGTAGCATTTGCTTTTCGATTCGATTTTGTTGTAGTTTGCTTTTTTGGTTGTACTTTTTATTCCTTTTTTTTTGGATGGGCACAAATTGTACATGGCTAAGGATAAAAGAGAAAGAGAGAGGGAAGGACAGAGAGAGAGAGCGAGAGGTGGGGAGAAAAAGCCTACATAGGCTTATATAGTTTTGTACCTGGAAAGCGGGCAGGGGGGACAATCCATTGAAGAAATCAAAAGAAATAGTGCTAAAGGCTTTTAGCTGAATGCATTCTTTGATTATGCTCGTAATATACGAGAAAGTAAAAGGGTTTTATTTATGATAGTTATAAGATCAAACTATGCAATCCACAATATTCATCTTTGAAAGAAAGTACTGGAGAAAATACTGGCAAAACCTTTCGAGGTGCCTGGATCCAGTTTCTATCAGATGTTTAACCTTTTAACCAACATTTCCTGTCCCACTCCCATTTTGGATTCCATAGATAGATGCTCTCTGACATTTGGATGGTATATATTTAATGTTTAGGAAATATTTCTCTGTTAATACTAGTCCTGGCCTGATTAGAATGCGTCAATTCAATAATGTTCACGCTCATTAGTAATCGATTGCATATACTATACACTTATGGATCGATCCTCCCAACCCACACTAGCCAGTTTGGATGGCAGGTGCCAACTTATATCTGTGTGTAATAGAGAAATTTCCACTGGCTGCCAGTCATTCAAAGTGTGCTTAGTAATGCCCCATGAATTGCAACTGGAATTGGGTCCATATATATGAACATACATACTATATGTAGTAGATGTACTACAACAAACCCTCGTCGCTATAACCAATCTACAAAAATTCTCAAAAAATACATACATAAACAATTAAAAACACGCCACTTGCCCATTTCTGTGGCAAAGCGCGTGAAATTCTGACGCGTTGTGGGCCAATGGCGAGCGAATGGCGATTATGTAAATGATTGATTTCAAGTCCGGACCGGGTTAGGCTGTACTTTTTTCCGACTGCTAGCACCGACTAGGGGTGGCTAAGTCCTGCCGTTGCGGTTCAGCGCTTTCACGGTACACGGCGCCGTCCCCCGTAATAAACAAACATAATGCTCATAATATCCTTATAATGGCACAGGCACCAGCAGCAGCACCAGCACCAGTCAGCCAGCGGGCAACTCTCCAGGGGGATTATTATTACAGCTACGACGCGTCCTGCAAGTGTGGGAACTCGGGCCAACCAATTGCTGTTGGTTATTAATTTTTATTTGGATTTCTCTTTGGCCATCGCAGCAATTAATGCTCGCACATGGAGAACGACTAATTGCAACGCCTCCCACAAGCTTTAGGTGCCTAATTTGGCAAGTCCCATGTCCAGTCTTTCCACACCTCCCACACACCGTACACCCACTCTAATTCGATGTCCCTTCTGCATGCAAACTCCTGGTGCCACGTTGCGGAGTAGGAGGGGGGGCAGGAGCTGGGGCTGGGACAGCGACTGGGGCATGGGGCGTTGCATGTGTCGCATACTCGTATACGAGTATATGGAAATTCCGTAATGACAGGGGCGTAAAACCTCTGCCCCAAGTTCAGTTGTGGTCGAGTTCAGTGCTCAAGCAATGATTGAGTTTTATTGTTGATTGTTGAACAGAGATTACAGGTTGTCTCATACAGGGTGAGTGTCAATGCGTTACGCGAAAGGGGTGCTTAAGAAAAAACCTTTTTATAGGGAATCGATGGTATTAGTTCTATAGCTTTAACTATTTTAGGGACTCTTTCGCAAGACCTTGCCCGCACACACCGAGATCTTTAGCCACCAACAGTTCATGAACGATTTATGTGCATTCTTCTGTGTTCCCTTCTCCGGCAGTTCATAGGCTGAAGGATCTATCACATGTTATAGCCATCACAGAACATCAGCTGTTTTCTGACATTGTTTCTTTTGTGTGTTGCCTAACACACACACACACACACACACATGTGTGCTCTCTGGGGCTGACTGACCCTGACATAAATATTTCCTTAGATCAATCCATATGTTTTTCCCTCTCCTCCCTCGGATAATTGTAACGTATTTTTGTCCCTCCCAAGAAATAGAGAGAATTGTTTTAATTCTCTGTTTAAGGGGCAGATTATTACCTTTTGTGCCACTTAGTCGTAAATAATTACAAGTGGCAGAGGGCACTGCTGCATCCAGCCAGCCAGCAAGCCAGCCAGCCAGTGGCTGAAACTGAAAAACAGGTAGAACCCGGCCGGACCCTTGGCTGCAGCCAGAGGCTACAACATTTTACCGCGTGCCATCATTGCCGGCTGCTGCTGCTGCAGCTCCCCCTGCTGCAGGTGCAGGAATCAACGAAGCGAATAGCAGAACCAGAGCCAAAGACAGTTGCCTTCGGATCGGGGCGGAAGGAAGCTGTTGCGCGGGTCAAAACACTTGTCCTGGAGCTGCCAGTTCCGATCGTTTGAACCCAAGACAGGAACCTGTTTAAGTGGCATCGGAGGGCTGGCTGCCCTCTCCGAGATCTGGCCAGCAAGCTGTTCGAAGCACCAGTCCAGTCATTCAGTTGTCATACAATGAGCAGGTTGCTTCTCATTTTAGGGGTTGGCCGTCTTAACGGCAAAGATCAACGGCAACGGCAACTGCCACTGCGCCTGCGCCTGTGACTCGTGTGCATTGACCTGAAAACAGAGCGCGCCTTTTTTCGTTCCTTTTACAGGGGTACACTTTTATCGGGGAAAGAAACGTCCACAGATGGTTAGCTGCAGGAGATATATTTACTTGGACAAATTAAAGTGCCATATTAACCGATCTGGTGTACTGTATTTTCATATGCAATTGTGATTTGGACAACTTGTTATTTATGTTAGTTGTTAGTTGTTATGGGATCCCCCAAGAAGATTTAACTAGTAAAAATAAAACATAATCAAATAAAATCTCCCAACTACAGAACTTTGTGGAGAACTGTTATGGTCCCCTCTTTGAATTGGCATTAATTCCCTCAAATTTTTGTATCAAAATCAAACAAAATTTGTATTGAATAATTTGTTGTTTTTTGTTCGTTTTCTGGTTGAGACGAGACGATCTTTATTAATGCGAAGCTGCTTTATTTGTTTCGGTTTGCTTTTCCATAATTTCTTTTCAAATATTCTGTCATTTATAACTATATCATATCGTTTTGCATTTTGGTTTATGTACTTGGTGTATTTACAGGATGTTTCGTTTTATCGATGCCGTGTTAATAAATTGTTGTTCTTATTATGCGCAAGGTTTGTGCATTATAAAAAAGTTTGGTATTATTATTATTAATTTATGTTAGCATTGCATGGTTTAATTCGGTTTTTCTAATCGATCTTTAAGAAATCTACTTGTATGTGAAATAATTTGAAGAACTTAAACTGCTCTAATCTCTGACAATTTTTTTTAGTATATTTAGTTTTTTTTTTTTAACAAATCCTGCCTATAAATAGCAAATATTATTCATAATGAAAATTATGTTATTCGATAAAAATTATTTAACTAGTTGTTTTCGTTTTCGTTTATGTTTTATTTACATTATTTTTCTTAGCATTTACAAATTATAAAGCTTTTCGATATTGAGAATTTAAAAAGTGTTTTTGAGTTGTTTATTCTGTTACTAGACTAGACTTCTGCCGAAATATAGATTATAATTTGCTTAAACAACTATGTTTATTTTATTTTCTATTTTCTGCTTGTTTTATTATTAATTCTTTTGTTAGTGGTGAATCGTTAACGTTCGAATCTTTACCATTTATCGTTTTACTGGTCTTTTGTTTAGCTTCTACTTTGTTTTATCAGCAGTTTAGCTTGTGAGGAGTTTCAAACTGAAGACAAAACCCGAACTCAAATCGTTATGGGGCGCACATACATACATACATATGTATGCATGTGTATGTATGTAAATGTAGGCACAACAACTCAAAAAGTGTTTCGCTGGAAACCATCTAAGTAATCAAAAATTGTTCTAGTTCTTTTAAAGAAGGCACCTTTCCATTTCCCCCAAAGCGGTGGCTAAATAACATTGCATTTGGTATTCCAAAACGAATCGAATATACTCGTACATACCTATTGTTTGTAAGGATCTATCTCAATCGTATTGTATTTGTACATTTCTTACATTGGCCACACATTCAGCAATTTCTCCTACCCCAATTCCATTCCATATCCTGCCTCAATCCTTTTTGCAACAAAAATTGTTCTTTTTTTTTGGACGCCATGAATTGGAATTTACTATTTTATATACTATTTTCTGTGGCTACTATTTGTGGATTTTATAGGCAGCTAAGTATACATAAAAAGGATCCGCATTCTTCAGCATTGCTCTTTCAACTGAGGTTTTCCAATAATTTTCGTTCTCATTTCATCAGATTTCGTTTTTACTTTTTATAAATTGCAAAAAGATTGTCCTTGTCTTTGGGTTTTCTTCTTCCTTTAATTTTAGTTTAGTTTTTTTTTTTTTGATTTTCTTTTAGTTTTTTTCGTTTACAAATGAGAGAAAATTGCGCAGAACTTGCAAAACGATGCAAAGAAAAGTTTCCAAAAAATCTCTACAAATCTCTAAAGTTATAAATTTATATATTTTGCAAAAAGCATTTGGTGTATACGCATGTTGTGTTTGTTATCTATAAGTAACATTGTTTAAACAATTGGTAACGGTGGCCCTCATTAACCTGCTCTCAATTAATTTCAATAAAATTTCGTATGCAAAGGGTTTTTTTTTAGTTTAGTTTTAGTTTGTTTTTTGTTTGCTTTTGTGTTGTTTATCACAAGGTTTAAATTTGGTTTAGGTTTAAGTTCAAGTTTTAAGTTGTGCTTTTTTTAGGGTTCTTTCATACATTTTTTTATTTTTATTTTTATTATTATTTCTACAAAGATTTGCAGGGCATTCGTTTTTTGGTTTGACATACATTTTATCTAAAATACTTGGGTGTTTATTTTGTGAGTGATAGTTGGGTTGGCATATGCTTCATAGCTACTTATGGGGGAGCTTTATAGAGTTCTTTTTGTTTTTGTCTTACATTTGATGTAAATATTTGTGTGTGTTTTGCTTTGTTAAAGATTTCTTCTATTAGCTTTGATATGTATTTTAATAAAATTGTTTAGGCAATTCCTGATGCTACTGAAAAATGCTTCGAATGATGCGAAAAATAACTCGATTCGAATCTCTGGCAAATTACTAACAATTTGTATGTGTGTGTGGCCTACTCTAGGGGGGGTATTTCGATGGCTTATATAGGTTCCTTGTTCCCTTACAAAGCATATTTTTGTGGGCTTTATTTCACCTAAATTTTTGTTTTTAGGAAAGCATTTTCTGTGGTCTACTTAGCGGCGGTATTTTTTTCTATAAATTTCATATGAGAGTAAAAGAATTTCGGTGTTCATAAATCGAACATTTATTCAAAAAATAAACAAAAATAAAAACAAATATCGTTTAACATAATTTAATTAGAATCTCTGTTCTGTGATGATTAACAATTTGGGGGGTTCCTTTGTTGGGGGTTTGGCCTTTGACAGATGCGGAAGCATTTGAACAAATCAAAATGTAATTTTCCTTGTTAATAAATATCTGACTAGAATTGTAAATATATGTAGTGTGACGTCTATGTATGTCTATATGTATGTATGTATGTAGGTATATAAATATGTGTGTAGGTCTGTACGTTTCGAACTACTCGAGAAGGTAAAGCCTTAAAGCTGTTTTTGGTTTGTATTTCGTTTTTAGTTTTTATAATTTCATAGATTTTATTTAGGCTAGGTCTTTTATCCTTTTTGGGTTTTTATTTTGGTTTTTGGTTTTGCTTTTGTTTTTGGTACTTTTAGCATGCATTTCTTTGCTTAATAAATTGTCTAAGTACTTATATTACAATTTCTAGACAGTGTTTTTTGGTTTCTTGGTTTTTTTATTTGTTTGTTTTTAATTAACTAATTCATTTCGAGCATATGCAAAAATTTGCAAATTTAATTTAAAGTTTTTGGTTTGTGTTTGGTTTTTATATTGTTTCTACTATTTGTTTAAAAAAAAGGCAGTCGAAATTGTTTCTTTCGTATGTTTTGCTCATTTGTTTTTGCGTAAATGTAACTTTCGTTATTCATTTGTTTTTGCCTTTCGTTTTCGTTTTCGTTTTTTTCCCCCATTAACAACTCAGTTTAAACTAATTTCCTCATTTTGACGTATTTATCACTTGGGTTTTGTCATGTGTTGCTGCTGCTGTTGCCATTTATAGAATAATTAATTGGTAATTAGATGTACTTTGTGTTTCACTTGTGTTATATTAAAATTAAATGACGTTGCAAGGCCCTAAAACTTAGTAAACGATTTACTCCAGACATAGCACGCGTTATCCTCTACAATATAGTACGATTATTACGATGATTACGTCACGTCTCTGGACTCTTATTCCCTTAGCTCTGCAATTTAGCGTGTTGTGTTTTCCAGTACTTAGGTATGCATTATCATTAGGTAGCTATCTCTTTGCTTAATTTTACGAAAATCCTTTATAGTGTACAAAGAAGAATACCAGAAAAATGGCATAAGCAGTTGGAAATGTAATTCTAGCGATGACATCGATTGTCTTGGCCACTCGTATCGGATGCGGTGGCTCTTTTTTGCGCACCTGGACGAAGCATGTCTGCAAACAAAAAAGAAATGGAAGTGGAGATTAAGGTTATGATTGCATTTTGGGGCACTTTGTGGGGGGTGGGGTTGATAATCTCTCACCTCCGTGGCACAGCCATTGTTTGCCGAATGGGTGCACGGACTGTTGCTGCCGCCGCAGGTGGTACATGCCACAATCTCGTTCGGAGCGCCAGCATCGCGTCTCTTCTCGCCCTGATAGACGGCGGTAAATTTAAAAAACTTGTACGTTAATTTTGATTGACCCATTTGGAGTGTGTGATTGATTGATTGATTCATTGATTGATTGCAAACAAGGTTCCAAGACAAGTTTACATTTTAAATTACAATAAAATTACAAAAAGGAGTTATTTACAAACACACCACACACACATCAATGCACATATGTATGTATAAAAAAGAACGGAAAATTTGTTGGAAAATTGGTTGGAAAATGTTGCAGTTGCAGGTTACAGGATTACATTGTGGTTGTTTGCATTTCGTTTTGCAAAAACCCAGCAAAAAGCATTATAGTTATAGTATATGCATAAGTATATATGAAAAAAAAAGGTAGAAAAGATTATTTTTCTTTATTAAAGTTCGTTAAATATGTGGCACAAAAATTTAATTCGAAATTTAACCAAAAGTAGTACTACCAAAATGTATTACAAAAGCGTTTGAAAGACATAGAGCAACTCTTTTTTTTTTGTTTTTAACTACGAAATTAATTTAATTTGGAAAAAATATTTATAAATCTTTTCGGGTCAATACTTACGGGCTGTTTTTTTTTTTATATTAATATTTGCGTTAGATTTGTATGTCAGTGGCAGCATTTGAAAAAGCAAAAAAGAGCAGATACGCTTTTAGTACATTGAACGGGACTACTCCACGCAGAAATTTAATTTTAATTTATTGAATTTAAATAGTTTTATCTTTAAAACAATTCTAATAGTTTTTTCTTGCACGTAAAATTGTATTCGTTATTTGTTGAAGCTTTAGCAATTTTTGTATAAAATTTCGTATTTCGATTGACATGAGAATGGCATGAGAATTTTGCTGTGTTTTTTATTTTTCTAGTAGGTTGAAATTATAATTGGCACAAATGTGATGAGAACCGAAATTTCAATCGAAAAGTTCTTTAAAGGCAACTTTAATGTCTTAAAATAATTATGATGCTGGGAATAGTTTCTGTATTAAATGATTAATTGTGTTAATTGTAGGTTCTGTGTAATGCGGAATGTTTATTTTTTGGAACTCTTTATGAATATGAATTTTCCGTGTGTGGGAAATGATTGGTTATGGAATACATATAAAAGTTGGGTTTTATGGTATTGCTCGATAGTTATCTGTGCTTTCTTTCTATGGTGTCGGTGGGGGTTAAAGCGTGCTCAACATTTAGTGGGGGGGTGGTGTATTGGTAAGCTAATGTGTTGAGTGAGTAACACACACAAAGCCTTTAGCTCTTGGCATAAGCTTACTATATATGTACATATATATACAGCACATTGAGGCAAGGATAACATGAATATTATAAATTTTATCTTACAGTCAAGTGTACATTGTGCCGACTTACAATGAATGTTTTTACACTCAACAAAAATATACCCAAAGAAAAGTTTTAACACAAAAATATTTTAATGTTATTCCAATTATATTCGTAGTTTTTTTTTTCATTTTGTAGATGGTGTAAACTTTTTTGGGAAATTGCATAAAAATGTCTTATTACTGCGAGAGTTGTGTGCATAATTAACATAAAAAATTCGTGGACATTATAAGTAGTCCTTTAGGTCGTAGGTTGAAAATAAACTGCGTCCGCTTGAAAGTACGAGTATGCTACAATTTATTGCACCTAAGAGGAGCACGTCCCGAGTTGCATTTGAGACACACCAACGAGCGCATAGGCGGGATCTGGCCCAGAGACGAGGGACAGAGAGAGTGAGAGATGAAGAGATTGCTGTGGACCTGCCTGGGGTCTTTGTTTGTCGGGGCTACTGGCCGCCATTTGCCGTGTGCACAGAGCTGGGTTGGGGGGTCCGTGGGGAGTCAGGAAGCTGTTACTTAGGTAAGATGTATTATGCGGGTGTGTTTAAGCAGCCAGGGAGCCGGATAGAGTGGCTGACCCAAATGCAACACGGGAGCTGTGCCCGAAGTCACTTTCTATCAGATTTCTACAAAAAAAAAAGCAGTACAAAAAAAAACTCAAGCAAGAAATAAGATGGGTCAGATCAAGGGAATCTTTCGATAAAGACGATCTTACCCAATAATTGGATTTAAAAGAAATGTGTATATTAAGTGGTCCCTCAGCTGCTTACTGACCAAAAAAAAATAAAAAAAATGTTTCTGCAACTCCTGAGCTCCTGAAAAATGTATGCTCAGTGGAGGCATACATATACGCGTACATACATAAATATGTAGGCTCTGGGAGTACATACTCGTACTGTCTCCCCTCAGAATTTTGTAGAACTTTTGCAGCATTTGCATAAGAGTCCCAAGAGAGAGAGCGAGAGGGCGAGAGAACGCGAGATACTCGAAACTTTTCAGTTTAAAATCCTCGTGCATCCTTTCCAAGAAATTTTCGACAATTATGATGCATGCAGGAGCGGTCGAGCGGTCGAGCTCCTCCGCATTCACTGTCTCCTGCCCTGCCACCTGCCTGCCCCACACAATCTTCGCGTCCATTTGTTTGTGTTTCATTTTCGTGTCGTTGGTTTTCCGTTGCTCTCAGGCTCATTACGGTATTTTCCACTCTGGCTCTCTCATGAATAATTATGTTGTCCTGATGCGGCCCCAGTCATCCCGGCCAGTGTCCTGCTCGCTGCTGTTGGGTTCACCTGGACAGGCGCCAATTTAAACGCGTGCCCCATTTTTAATTTACATGTTAATGGTGGAAAACATTTTTGCAGCCACCTTGTTGTTGATTGTACCTGCTGATGCTCCCCCCGCGCTGTGGTGCTTCTGCTCCTGCTCCTGCTTCTGCACCTTCTGCTGGATGGTGTTCTGGCGGCGCTTCTGGTTCTGGGCTCTGTCGGAAGTCGTCGTCAGCGTGGCAGTGGAAATTTCCCATAAAATACGAGTAAGTAGTTTTGCTGGAAAACGGCCTCTCAGCCCACAGGCCACTTGAGTCGGTTTTATTTGCTTTACACAAGTAGGGGCTGTGCTCTGCTCTGCTCTGCATTCTTATCTAGATGGTGGGTGGCGCTGGCGCTGGCGTTGCCGTTGCCCCTGGGCCGCCTCTTGTGATTGGTCTGATTTGGTTGAACCCTCTCCAGCGGAAGTTTAATGATTTATGCGATTGCAATTGTTGGCTGGGAATCTTGATAGAAGATGATTTGTGTGGATAGCCGAATTAGGAATACCTTCCAGACTTCCAGAATAAAGTCATTCTCCAGCAGCATACATTTAAGGACATTCTATTTGATTTCTTAATTGCTCAATTATTGTTTTCCATTGTTTCTCATGTTCTGCCATGTCTAATGCAGTTACTCTCAGTGTTTTCCTGCGTTTAAAGTTTGCGAAAAACTTCGAGTGCGCATGTGGGTGTGTGTTTTGGGTGGTTTTTCGAGTGCATTTGTGTGTGTGTGTATTTTGGCAAATGGCAATCAAAATAACCGCAGGCAATCAAGTTTAAAGAGGGTGGGCGCCAAGACCCAGGGAGCGACGCCTTTTCGGCTAACTTTCAACTGACTTTTTCTTTAGCCTTTTATTTTCTATTTATTTTTTTTTTGGTCTTTTTGCTTTTGACATTGTTATGGTTAGTTATTAGTTGGGTTTTGTACAACGACAAAGAACAAACGAAGGAACGAACGAGCGGGTTACGTTTTGGGGGTTTCTTGTTTTTTTGTTTTTTTTGTGGTTAGTCTCGGGTGCAGAGCTTTTCCTGTACTTTTCCTTTACTCACAGTTTCCATGCCGCCACCGCATTCACCATAAACGGAGGCTGGGGAATTGGAGCGGGATGGCCGCTTGCGTGGTGGCTTCTGCGGCAACTGCAACATTTCCATATCCTGTTCCGCCTCCGTTTCTGCCTCGATGCGCACCACCAGAGCCGGTGTGCTTGTGGCCACCGATCGACGTAGCGAGGAGGTGACGCTCTCCTGTTCCTCCTGCTCACTCTCCTTCTGCTCATCCTTAAACTTGACCTTGGTGGGACCAGAGGTGCCACTGGCACCGGGCTCCTCATAGATATGCTCTGTTACGGTTACCCCACCCACAGTTCCAGTTGGCGATGTGGATGTCGATGGACTGCGCGCCGCCTTCCGCTTGATGGATCGGGCGCGTATGTTTTGCACGGCTGCTCCAATGATGCCGCCATGTGCCTCCTGCCAGCGCATGCCGCCGCCGCCAAAGAACTCCTCCACCGCCTCCACAGTGCGCGGCGTGCCGGGCGTGGCCGCCGACGACGAGGCAGCCGGTGTGCCTGCCATTGACATGGCCGGAGTGACTACGGCGCTGGCCTTTTCGGAGGACAAAGCAGCATGAAATTCTCGATCGATTATATCCTATATGGCAGGCAGTTTGTGGTTCAATGGGACAGTTGGGTGGGTTGGGTATAAAGTAGAGTATTTGAATTCTTTATTGTGGATGTTGTTTTGTGGTTTATCGAGAACATATGATTCGGCGAGATATACACAGGAGATATTAGTCGGAGAAAATTGAGGGCCGCATACAGTTAACGGATGAAGGTTATGCTGGATTACTGCACGATTCAGGAAGTATTTTTGGGATATTTTGGGTTTCTGTTAGTTGAAGATCCTTAACTAAGTATCCTTATAATTTTCCAATTTTCGCGTATTTTTATTCAAACAAATGTATTTATGTTGCCATAGACACTTAATGCACACATATGTACATATTTTCTTGCTCATACAAATATTCGTGTTAATAGTGGTATATATGTATGTAGATTGCATGTGTACACATGTATATGTATGTTGGGGAGCATATCTAGAGTAGAACAACACATACATACGACACAAATGCTTGTAACAAAATGCACTAAAAACTAAACGCCTAAACAACAAAAGGCTTTCAAGCACACACAGACAACACAACACATAAAAATGATTTGCACTTCTGCTACAATTTGGCAATAGCATAAATAATATTGGCCAACACTTCCGGCAATAGTATGCGTATAGTTAAGGGCGTTTTGTTTGTTGGTTTTTGGTTTTTTTTTTTTGAGCAAGGCAATGGCGTGTTATAAAATGAATAAAAGGGAACTTAATTTTTAAATTTATTATTTGATTTCTTTTGTGTTGCAAAGTCTATGTACCAAAATTAAAAAAGTAAATCTAGGGCGAAGAACATAAATTGATTCATAGCCGAATAAATATAATATATTAATCTGTTTATTTTTCGCATAATATTTGGTAATTGTTTTGCTTTCGCTTTTTTTTTTCTGTCAGAGTTTGCTCTCGTAACATTTTTCCCAATTGTAAGTGACCTTAAAGTGTGTTTTACATATAGAATAGATCTTTATTTGGAGTTTAATATGTTATATGTGGTTGTTGTTGTTGCTGCTGTTGTTGTTGTTGGTTGGCTTGGTTGGTTTGGTTGGTTCTTGTGGCTGTCATTTGTGTATGGATACTTCAATAATAATCATACGAAGCATATCGGTATGCATAGAATTTGCTGTCGGTACATTACGATTCGGTTATGGTTAAAATAAATAAAAATTGTTATAAATAAACACTGGAGATAAATAATGTATTAAGTATGAAATTATATACATTGAAAGCGAGTGCGAGTCTACTAGTAAATTATTTAAGTTTAATCATAGTTACTGTTGTTATTAATTTTATTGGTTTTCACATTTGTCTTCCAAAATCAAATGAAACAATGTTGTTTCTGGAAACGCAAAAACCAAAACCAAAATCGAAATCGAAACAAAACATTTCTCAATGCATTTTCATCAAAGCGAAATTCGCATGCCATTTGTTTGTTTTTTTTTTTTTCATAAGTTTTTCTTGGGTTTTACTGTTCGGCTGACTGGTGGGGGAAGTATAAGTATATGACTTTTGGGGAGGGGGGAGGGCTGGAGTTGTACAGGGTATTACGTTGTGTGTGTTTCTGTTGTTGCTGTTTGCTGCTATATTTGATTGTTAGTTTTTAAGGTTTTTTTTTGTTCGGTTTTTGTTTGGTTTTTGTTTGGTTTTTGTTTGGTTTGGTTTCTTTAAAAGGAACTGGGGACGGAGGTGTAGTGGGTGCATGATTTGTGGTTGATAGCTTACCAAAGGACTTGCAAGAATTACTCCGATCCTGCTTAGTACTGCTGGAAGACGCTGCAAAAATGTACACAAAATAATGTTCATACTCAAAACACACTTTAAGTTTGGTTTGGTTTGTCATTTTTTTGTTTGGGTTTTAGTTTTCTTTTCGGTTTTTGTTCTGTTTTGTTTTGTTTGTTCTGTTCATTTCTCATTTAACGGGCTATTTTTGAGAAGAAATTAAATTTTCTGGTGGTTTTTGGCTTCGAATACTCGCATATCACAAAAATTGGGAACAATGTTTTCGCTTTGGCTTACGTCTTTTGGCTCTCTTTTATTGGTTGTGAGAGGATTTTTTATTTTTAAATTTTTCCACGCATGAATTTGGAGTTGCTTGAGTGGCGTATAACTAGAATAGCCAGTCCGATTGCTCTGATTTTGAGAAGCGCATAAGCTAAAAATCGTACATACTCGTATATAAATGTCAAATTTTCTTTGGAATATGCCACCTTTTTTCCACAAAAATCTCTGATTGGTGTCGAAAACTTTTGATTCATAAATCAAATGAAAATAAAATGCTTAACGTGCATTAGTAAATATTTTATTCTTAGATTTGAAAAGTGCCTGCACAAAAACCAAATGCATATTGTATTTATTTCACTTTTTTTTTGATTAGAAACTTTTTTTGTTGGTTCTTTTTTTTTTTGTTTTTCTGTTGGTGGGTGTTAAATAAAGAAAAACATATACGAGTAAATGAACATACATAAATACCTACCTACTAGCATGTAAAACGCTTCAATTAATTTCTAATTATTATTCATAGTCATATTTTTTTTTTTTGGTTTAGTTTAAATATTTGCAAAACTAATTGGAGATGAATAAAACGCATTTGTTGGTCGTACGAACAATTGTATTATACAACATTTATAAAGAATAATTAAAACAGAACCGAAAACGAATGGGTTTTAAAGTAGGGAAGAGAAAGTTGAACACTTTGATTGTCGGGGTGTGTCGGACCTCGAACTGACATTAACCAGTTCCAGTTTAAAGGTTAATAAAAATGCAAAACAAAATAATACAACTGAGCATCAGCACAATTAATACACATACATTGACAGTTCCTTCTATAAGTATACGTATAAGGACAAAAACCAAAATCAATCAAATTTTGTGGTGAACCGAAAAATTAAATCGCAAGATTCATTTTAAGTCACTTGTATTATTATTTTTGGGTTTTTCTGGGTTTTTTAAATATTTATTTTTTAAATATAGGACACACAAATTTACGTTTAGTATAGTTGAAAAAAAATTGATATACAAAATGCTAAGTTGGGGATAGTCGGGATATGAACACAAAGTGAGTTATTATAGCGAGCATTTTGTTGTTGTTGTTGTTTGGGGGGGATATCAATGCTGGTATGGGTATTGATTGAGTTCTTTTAACTAAAAACCATACATAAAAATATATTTAATCGAAATTAGAACAGTATAGGGAGTGTATAGAGATAGTTGGGTAAAAGATACACATTGATAGAAAAATATACAGACAGAGACAGAGATATATATATAGAGAGAGAGCGAGAAAGAGAGAGATAGAGAGAAATGGGGGGACTCAACACAATGGCAATAATCGAATTGATTTTGACTGAAATTTAATATAGTACGAGTAGTAAGTATATTATTTTGTTTGTATGACTTTTGGGATCAGGTGTTTTTTTTGCTTCTTAAAAAAAAGAGAGAACAAATAACTGGTTGAACTTATACAAATGTTTGTTGTTGCTGTTGTTGTTGTTGCTGCTGCTGTTGGGGTGTTCATTGTGTGTTCTGCTTTGTTTGGATTGCTGTTAGTTTTTTGTTTTTGTTGTTGTTTGTTTTTATATTGTTGGTTTTTTGTACGCTACGCTCATGTAAAATTCATATTTAATTGCTTTCAAAATGCATACAAAATTAGCTGTTTTTTTTTTTGGTTGTCGGGCTCTCAGGACTCTCAGCCATAGCGCCATTAAAGGAGGGAAACGACTGGTACTGGGGTGTGAATAAAATTAAATTATTATTTAATTTACCTGTGTTACGGGATTCTCGCCGGGCCGATAGACTACGTTGTGCAGCGGCCGCTTACGGCCCACATAATTGACGCACACGAACTCCAGCAGGGAGGCGTAGATGAAGCACATGCAGACCCCGTCCCAGACATTCATCGCCGTCAGATTGGAGACGACCGGCAGAGTGCTCCGGAAACCGTTGGAGGTAGTGAAGAAATTCAGCATGGTTGTCACGCCTGCCATCATCGTTTCGTTGGAGATATTTTGGGATTTTGCGAGATTGTAGAGAAAGTTGCATTAGCCATTTGACACGTAATTGGAAAAGCGTTGCATACTTAGGGGCGGGGAAATGTGTCATGGGCGGTGGCAGGGACAAGGAGCAGTGGGGCAGGGCAGGGCACTTCCGCAAAGCAGGAAGTAAGTTCTTTGGCATTTAGTTGGGCTTTGTAATTAGTTTTTGGCATATGTACAATGGTTTATAATTTGAGTTTAATGGTCGGAGGGGGTGGGACGCACAGGCAGGGACAGGAGTTCTTATCAATATTATTAAATGTGGATTTAATATTTCGGAATATTTGTGCAAAAGATATAAAAGTAAACAATGCTACAAAATTTGATGAAGGGGAAAATATTGAAAATATAATTACGACTATTATTTCATTTCGAGTGGAATGCATTTCGTACTGTTGAATTTTGAAATACATTTTCCATGATTTTAATTGGTTTTATATATTTAGTTGTTGTTTTTTTTTTAGATTGAAAGTGCTATTAATGTGTCTGATTTTAATTAATTAATTAATATTCTGAAGGATTTTCAGTAGGAATTTTTCCAGAGCAGTTTTTACCGTTTGAATATCGATCATTTTCGATCATTAATTTCTGTCTTACATACTTTATCGTTGGAAATCATTTCTTTTTATGTTGATACAAATTTTGCATTTTTATCATTAATTATCTTCTTTACAATACGAGTATGTAGTTTTTCTACCTTTGTGTCATTAATCAAAGGGTTTTGTCCAGCTTTCCATTGTTTTGCTTGCAGCAGCACCGTAATGCAATTAATCAGCGGGGAGGGGGTACGGGTAATGCCTTTCATTTATTGTTAATTATTCTGCTCAGGCTCGCCACGCCTCGCCTCCGCCCGACACAAAAATGCAATTCACAGATGGAGCCATGCAACATGGGACACAATCAATCTTAATTGCCTAATTAGTTGCGTCAACAATTTGGTAGCTGCTCTGGCTCTGGCTATGGCTCTAGCTCTGGCTCTGGCAGAGTGCTGCAACATTTTACTGGTGCTGCAGTGGCATGCTACAAGAAGGACTTGCAGCATTCGCTTGGCTGCCTTCACGACTCTCATCGATTTTCAATTTGCCTTCGCCCTATGTCTGCCCTTCTCCTTCTGCCACGATACGAAAATCTCAATGCTGCACTCAACTGCTCGGATGCTTCGTTTGGGGTGGGGGGCCAACTCGAGAGACGGAGTGGGTCACAAATGAGGCAAGACGATACTGGGATGCAGCAGCGACTTGGCGATGCTTTGATGCCAAGCGAAAAAGGAACTGGATCAGGGAATGCATGTCAGCCGTGTCAGCACTTTGACTAACAAAATGCCATCGCTTGCTGTCAGCTATTTCGCCGTTACGCCATTTTTTGACTATTTATTTATTTAGATGATTTTTGTCACTGGAATATCGCCTGATTGTGTGGCAGACAATGGCAGCCAAATTGAATTATCCAACCATTCCACAGCAATTTAAAGTCACGTATAGCCTTAAGCTCTTTATGATACTCGTTCTTGCATTCCGTGTGTTTCCTTTTCCACACGATGTTCCTTTTCTTTGGTCTAGTTGGCAGGAGCACTCTGCTCCTAGCCCATGTGTGCCATATGGCTTATGCATAAATCATCATGTACTCGAATGATGTGGCCAACTCTCCACGTCATCATCATCATCATCATGCCACAGTCGGGCACCAGGCAAAAGCAAATACCACGAAATAGCCGTGTCCATGTCTCGGTTCGTGTCCAGGCGCAGGCACAGGCTGCCAACAACATCTGATGGCTCGGTTGACATTCCCATTTGGGCTTAGCCTTCTTTCTCTAGCTTTACCCGGGTTTTCTTCGGATGCTTTTGCTTGGGGATAGCCACATAATAATTACATTACACTGTACGTGTGGGTGTGGGGGGTGTGTGTTGGGGATTTGACTTTTGTGTTTTTGGTCTTCTCTGGGGCTTTCGGAGGCCATCTCTTGCCAAGTCATATCTTTCGTCTGCTTATCATGCCACGCTTCATGCCACGCTTCACGCCTCATCTTTACATTTCTTATTAATTTATTGCACTTCGTTTATTTTTATGTATTTTCATCGTTTATATTAAAGCATGAAATAACCTTAAACTATTGATAAAGAAAATTCGAATAACGATTTTAGCATGATCGATGTAGAGTGCTTTAGTCTATGGTTCGTATAAAGTTATACCAAAGCCTCCTCCACGTAAATAAAGCTCCAGACAATCTGCCTAATTTAAGTAAAGATTTTCAAAGATAAAAGATTCATGCAATGCCAAACTTTTCAGAGCAGTTTGCGGGCTTACTTAAACCAAAGTACGGAGTGCAGGAATAGTCAGAGAATACAAATGATACAAAAAAATACTACATAAAAATGAAATTTAAATGTTATGGCTAGCACAAGTTGTTTTCGGATGATACGAACCTAATCTGTTCTATATATATATTAGACTAGAAGAACTCTGTAATTAGTACTCTTTTGGCCAATTGTCTCTTGTGTTTAAATTTGGACTAGGACTGCGCCTAAAATGCTAACAAACTATTTGATTTAATTGTTTATTGGAAGACTACGATTTTTGTATATATTTAAACAGTTCTTTCATTGAAATTTTTTTTTTTTTTTGATTTTGTTGTTTGGTTTTTGTTTGTTTTTATTGTTTTTTTGTTGTTTGTTTTTTTTTTGGTTGTTACGTACCGATCATAACCCGGGCTGGGACTGCATTCCATTCCAGCCAAAATGTGATAAACGACGAGGTGACCAATATAATGCCAGGTATGAAAACGGTTGTGAAATAATACGCACGATCACGGGTAAATGTCAACTCGACCTGTAGGCAACTGTAATTACCTTTAAGAAACGAGTTGGCCAGAATTATATAATTCAGTGCCAGAGGTTAACACACGCACACACAGACAGAGACAGTGACAGTGAGAGAGACAGACAGTAAGAAGGATAAACATACATATGTACTATAGATGGAAAGAACTGTACAGAGAGAGACACCATCCATAAATGTTAAAGTTATATCCTAACATAGCCTAGCCTAGCCTAGCCTAGCCTAGCGTTAATTTTTTTTCTTCAGTTGTGACCTCTTCTCGCTGAGCTGTACTTCTCGATAAATGATAAGGGTGACGAACTGAAATCGTGGCATTACGATATAGCGAGTAGTGGGTGTTTTTTTTCGGCTGGCTTTCAATTCGGTTGGTGGGGGTTTTGAATTAGAATTTGAATTTTGATACAAGGAACAGAACGAATCCATGCAGCAAACCTTACGAGCATATGAAACAACTGAAACTTGTGTGGTGGGGGGGGGCTGGTGTGGGCACTGCTTGGCTACTGCTATAGTACTTCAAATGAAATGATTGAAAATCATAAGGTAAAATTGTACAAATTACATTACAAAAGGGCAATGGCAAATGGCAAATGGCAATCGAAAAAGAGCAAATTCTACGAAAGGCAAAGGCGGGAAAGTAAATCAATTCTCAATGGCGTACAAAATTGATTTTTAGTTGATTTATTTACTTAAATATACGAGTATAAATATATTTGTTGATTTGTTGATTTATTGATTGGTTTAATGTGAGAGATATGTAGAGTATGTAGAGAGCGAGCGAGGGGTACAAATTTGTTATGGATTCATTTCATATTTGTGGGTGTTTGATTTTGGCATTTGTTACCTATCATCGATCTAGCTGGCACGGCATTCCATTCTAGCCAGAATGTAATAAAGGACGACGTCACCAATATAATGCCAGGTATAAAAACGGTGGTGAAATAGAATGCACGATCTCTGGTAAAAATTAAATCGACCCTAAGACAGCTGTAGTTCCCTAGGGAGCATTATATTTGTGGTTTGGTTTGGTTCGATTTTTGTAGCATTTACAGAGAGAGGGAGAGAGAGAGGCAGTGGGCGAGTTGGGTAGAAGGTAGACAAAGATAATACCATTAATAATTATCGTTTTGGTTTTATTTTGTACTGTTTGCTGATAAATAGTATAATAATTATGTAGCTGCAAAAGCAAGGACTAGCCGAGGTCTGAGACTACGGAAAGGAATGTAAATCAAGACAAGAATAAGTTCAAAAGCCAAGCCAAAGAATCGTTTACTAAACTGAGAAGGTCCACATAAAAGAAACCTATATATGTATGTATGTATAAAAAAAACTTATATTCATATAAACGCCATTTTGTAAGTTGTTTCGTTGCATAAGAAAGAATATACCATTATATACCAACAAACAAAAATACTACTTTAAATACTACTACAAGAAAATCGGATTTCTCAGTTAATTATTATTTTTCTTTTCTTTTGGCCAATATATATGTAATATAAATAAAATATAACATACGAATACAGATGCTAGATATAGATTTGAGGGCTTGGAGTTTCCGAGAACTTACCTCTCCAGCTATTCTGATCGCAGGCCGTTGTTTGATTTTTAATCAAGTACGCATTCAATGTGGTCAGCGATGGACTTTTCCGCAGAGTATCCTCATCGTTTTTCCAAACATACTTGATCTGTGCCTCCTCATAGGAGACTGTTTTTGGAATGAAACGATGAATAAATATGTGGCATATATTTAGAAAGGGGTTAAACCAATTAATTTACATATATATTTACAGTATATACTCCCCCATGTAATCCCCTCATTAATTAATGAAATTAATGTACTAAGTAGATGGTGGGTGGGGGGATTCACATATTGTGTATGTGGGTTCTGGGGGTGTGGCGGGAGAAAATTAAATCATATTTGACAAACAAGCCACGACATGGAGGCAGCAGCCAAAAAGCAAAACACTTCGATGTGTTTCCCCTAGCAGATGAAAATCTCGGCAAGGACATACGCCCCTGCCTCTCAGCCTCTCAGCCTTTCAAAGTAATTTACGATGTTGCTCACGTTCCTGTGTGGGGTTGTGTGTGGATAGGAAACAAATCGGAAGAAACTTTCGGAAAACAATGGGTAAGACAAAAGGAGCCTGCAAAAGCGTTGCTGCTGAACATCAAACAAGGCTGAAATGTCCCACTGTCTGTTTGTCTCTCTGACGGGTTTGGCAGGCAGTCAGCCTTGTTAGTCACTTTGTCAGCTTTTGTCGTTTAGCCTGACTGCCTGCCTGCCTGCCTGCCTGCCTGCGCGCCACAACCATCCTCCACAGCCTCTTGTTCATTCCATTTCATTGTTGCACAAACACAGACAGACAGATGCAGATACAGGCAAAGATTTCCCTTGAGTGGCAGTCAACACGCTCTCGCCTTTAACTCAGGAACAGCCACAACAGTGGGGCTAAGGCATCCACATCAGCATCACCAGCATCATCAGCATCAGTCTCAGTATCTTCAGGTTGATTTTCAACACTTTGCCATCATTTTCATATTATGCTACACCACATGCTTGCAGTGCCTTTTAATTATATTTCTAATTCAATTATTTGCGGAAGGATCGTGGGGCATACTTTATTCCCCTGTTTAGTAATGGGATGTGGTAAAACTTACTGCTTTCCATGGAGAAGGAGCACTTGGGATCATCGAATGGAAATATGTGTAGACTGCCCTGGCAGGATAAGATCAGATGACGTCTGGAAAGAGTACACGGGATGGATATATTAAAGGGGCTTATGTGTATTGGCAAATGACAATTCTACCGATAATAGGAAACTACAGCTCTCATTAGTTATTTGTCTCGACTGCGTAAATCATAAATCATGTTTGCCTTAAACTGTGATGGCATCTTTGACTCGAATCTATCACAAAACATTTTGACCTTATAATTCCTTGGATTTGCCTGGCTTGTCTTTGCCACTTAATAAAATGCTTTGTTCTGCCAGCATCAATTCATAATAATATTCTCCTGTCTCTTACTCTCTCTCTTTCTTTCTCTGTCTCTCTCTCTCACTCTCACTCGCTAGTTGTCCTGGTTTATCCACTTGCCCCATTTGGAGCAAGTTTTTCCAACATTTGTTCTTGTTGGCCGTGCAAACACAGGATACGGGGATACGGCCAGAGCAGGGAAAGTAAATGGCAACTGCAACTTATTTTAATTGCTGGACGACACTTTTGCACTCTGCAGTCAATTGGAAAAGTTCTGTTGAATTAAAAATGTAGACAAGTCGGAAAATTGGGAACAGAATCGGAAAGGAGAGAGAGAGAGGTGGAGAGAGAGAGTAGGTAGCGCTGGCCAAATGAAGACAAACAAGAGCATCCAACAAATGTTGGCCATATACTGCACAGTGCTCTCTTTTCTCTGTTTTTTTTACAGCATCCCGGAAGCAGGCAAACAACGTACGGGTACGGGTACTCGTCGTACCAGTCGGGGGTATTTTTTTTATCCACCTGTTCAGGAAGGAGATGGGATATTTTACCTGGCCAAATATTTGCATACATTTTTACATTCTACTCATATTCGTGCCCCATTTCCTTGTGCTATTTTTCATTACTGCCTTGCTGCTCGTATGTTTGCCAGCCAGCCAGCTAGCAGCTTACATATTTTCCGAGTTCAGAGTTCTCCCTTTTCTCGCTTTTTAACATTTTTGAACATTTCCACTAGCCACTAGAACCTCAGCGAAGAAAATTGTGAAAAATTTACAGCAAAAAAGAAAGAGAATAAAAAAAAATATCGCAGCACTCCTCTGCCTGGCTGCCTGGCTCTGCCGACTGCTTGTCATCTTGTGCTCTGTTCTCCCTAATGAATATGAACTTTGAGCGTTTAGAATTTGCATTTTCTGGCGCCATTAAAGCAGCTTAGCTTGCGCCTGGCCTGGCCTCGTCTCGCGCTATATTAAAAATTCATTCATATTCAAATCTGGGCAGGCACACACACACAGGACACAGGACACAGGGGCACAGGACGTGGACAGGACACACACCTCATTGCGTACGTAATGGTCCCGTTCCGAAATATTCTTAAAGCGAAATGCATTGGTATGATGGGATCCTTGAAATCGCCATGCATAATGAAATACGTATCCGGCGTCCAGATGCTATCATGATGATGCAGAGCATTTAGAAAGTCATAATGAGACTTATTGCCATATTGCAGTCGTGGATCGTTCCACTGCTGATTCAATAGAAATTCCACCTCATATTTCTGCAAAACACAAAAGACAATTACTCCATTGTAGAATCTTGCCCTGGGTTGGTTGGTTGTGTGTGTTGTGTGTGTTGTTGTTGTGTGATGAGACCTACCAAACTGCTTTCATCGGGTGATGCTAAGCTCAGGAGCAGCACATTCACGTTGACCGTCAGGGTGCCTATTCAATGGGATTACAAATGGGATAATCACTAACATATACATACACATATATATTTATGAAAAGCAATCGATAATATAATATTTTGGAGTGCCAATACATAGAAAGAATAACCAAAGAAAACGAAACCAAATATTCTCTTAACCAAACCAACCAAAATAGGCCAAAATAGATATCCAAATAAAAGTGAATCAATGAATGGCTAGAGCTCAACAACAACAAAAAAATGCTACATAAATAAGTGGGTATTTTTTTCTTGTGGATGTGGGAACTTTGTATTTAAACACCAACCGCGATTGTGGGGTCTCCGTGGATTTTGATTTGTTGCCATATCGGGCGATTGCAAACCACAGCAAAAGTCTTCATCTGTAAAATGCAATGGGAAATTGTCTACAACAATTTGCTAATTTATTTTTGAAAAATATTCTGAGGATAGAAACTAGTGGGGTTTTATTTTCTTTTCTCTCTCTAACATTTTATGCCTTCCCTGGGGCAATGTTTAATAAACATATCGAAAGAAAAGTAATTACATTATATTTATGGTAGATGGACCACCCCACAAACCCCCCCTCTGTTATTCTGCAGACAGTCAATCTCCTTTGTGCATCGCCCATTAAGTTTAATTGATTTTATAGTGTCCATGCAACGTTGCCCTGCTGCTCCTCCGCTTGTCTGTTGTCTGTTGTCTGTCAAGACCAGAGAGTGTCACGGATCCCCCACCCCCCTATAGCCCACCATTCTGGCCACAAAATTCTTAGCGATGCCAGCCAGAGACACAAAAACCAAAATGGAAACTGCAGCGCATCGCTTGTTATTATTTTGAATCCTATTCTACTTCTCGCCCACTACACCCACTACACCCACTACACCCTCCTCCACTGTGTACTCTATGTACACTTAGACAAATTGGAAATGTAACGTTCAGAACGAGTGAAACACAAGTGGAAAATGGGGCACAAGGGGTGGGCAAGGGGTGGGTAAACTTGATGAACTTCTTACCATTTACAGGCGGCAGTAATCGTTTGTCGTAGCGCTTCTTCTCAAGCAGTAAATCTAATATCTCCTTATCCGAACTGGACTCGTCGAATCTGTGTGTTGCAAACGGAAAGAATTCTTTAGTGGTTTATTGACACAGAAAGGCTGAAAGTCAAGTCAATTGCATGGTTAGTACGATTAATAGTCCAAAAATATATATATATAAGTATAAATGTATTTATTATAGCCCTATGCATTTATCTATGTACAACAGTTTTGTGTGTGGCTTATAGATGGGAATAGGTTGGGTTAGTGTTGGGGATCGTTGGTATTGTATGTTCAACAACAAAGCCAATTAAACGATAACAGAAGCAAGCAAATGGCAAATGAATAGCAGAGAGATCTTATATTAACTATAAGAGTTATGTGCGAAAAGAAGCTTTTCTAATTCGGCACAACTCCAAGCCAAGAGGGTTCCGATTTATGGCTTAACTTCTCAAGTGCCTGTAGAATCGGTTTCAAGCTTTTTTTGTGTGTCAAATAATAGACTTGTTTTTTTTTTCAATTTGCATGCATAACTTTAGCGGAAACGGAACCGAAACAAATAAACTCAAAAATGAAAAGGAATATTCTGTTTATAATTGGAAAAGAAAAGATAAAACCGAAAATTCTCGTGGTTTTTTTTAGTTTCTTTGTTTCTCTGTGTCCATACAATACATTTCTCTTGTTTCGTTGTTGGAGAGAGACAGAGGGAGAGAAAGAGAGATAGGAGAGTGTGGAAGAGGTGTGCAATAACTTACTTCGACCAATCGATGCCATGACTGAAAGAATTTCAAAAGAAAAATAAATAGAAAATTTTTTCGTGTTGTTTTAAGGGTTACCAGGCGATACAGAGGTACATATGTATGTATGTATGTATGTATGTATAGAGAGTGTTGGAGAGACAGATAGATAGAACGATAGATAGATGGAAAGATAGTCAGGGGAGATAGAGGGATACGTGTGTTTGAGGTTTCCTCAACCAAAATAAAAAATGTGTAATAAAGTTTCGAGTGTCCCGGGTATGCATTGGATATGTTGGGATTTTGGATTGTGGATTGGGGCTGCTGGGTGGGGTTGGGGGGGTTGGGCTGGGCACTGCCATGCACTTACATGGGATGCTTGTCGAGGGCACCCGTCTCCGACTGTGTGGCAGCGGCCGTGGATGTGCTGGTCAGATAGCAGAGCATCAGGATGACACTGGAGGCGGCATAGAAGCTGAACGATTGGCTATAGTGCTTGTAGTGCTGCCCCAGATACTGGTAGGCGGCCGCCGAGGTGGCGGCGGCCGTTGCACTGACATTGGCTATGATTGCGGCTGACATTGTGGCGGGCAGAATGCCGGCGGCATATGTTTCCTGCCACGGCTGATAGGCTAGTGGTTGCTTACGTGGATCCTTCTCCTGCTCCTCGTGGTCATCCTGCTGCTGCTGCTGCTGCTGCTCCTGTTCCACCTGCCATTGGAGTGAGGTCGCTAGGGCAGCTCTCGCATGCAGCAGCATCTCGTGCAGGGAGAGCGTTGAAATGCCAGCCAGGGTGGCAGCAACCACTGCTGTGGAGCCAAGGCCGGGCCGAATCCTGCCCCAAATCGCCGCCGCAGCCGCATCCGTATGTAGCCGTCGCCGTCGACGATGCTGACGCAGCAGCTGCTGCTCATCGCGATCGCGATCCCGATCTCGTTCTCTGCTTATCTCTGGGCTGTGGCCTAAGCAATTGGGGCAGAGTGTTTGTGTTTGCTTCGTTGTTGCCACAATATCGATTCCTGCTGCTATTGCTGCTGCTGCTGTTGCTGCTCTATCAACGACAATTGTCGTCCCGCGTATCGTCGCCAACTCGTCGTTCTCGTTCTCGTTCTCGTCCTCGTCCTCGTCTTTGTCCTTGTGCGCCACTTGACTGGGGTTCTTCTGGGGCTGCTGCTGTTGCTGTTGTTGCTGCTGTTGTTTTTGTATCGTTAAAAGCACTCGAGTTCCCGCTTTTAGATGTTTGGCGTTTGCTGTTGCTGTTTCTGTTTGTGTTTCTATTTGTGTTTCTGTTTCGACTACAATTTCTGTTGTCGCTGTTATTTCGGTATGCGTTTGCGTTTGCGTTTTATGATTTTGTTGATAGTTATCCTTGATTTTGATGTCCTCAGCTGGTCGCAATGTGGTCGTTGCTGTTCCTTCTCCGCCTGCTCCTTCTGCGACTCTGACTGTGGCCGCTCCAGTTGTCGTTGTAGCTCCTCCTCTCCTGGCACCGCATTGATTCCTTCTCAGTTGCTTGCTGCTGGTTGCTGTTCTGGTTTGTTGGTGTTTTTTTATGTTGGGCTGCTCTTTGGCTGCTTCAAAGACGCAGCCCATGTTATGACAACTGCAAAGAGAGAGCCATTAAAATACACAAATCAATTCTCAATCAACGCAAAAACTAATTAGGACATCCCACCGCAAAAGCCATTACCAACTGCAACAAAATCTAAAATAAGAATCTATTATGGCCACTGGGACACCGAAAAACCGAAGCACCGAAGCACCGACACCCACTTGACACTTGTCTTTCCCATCAGCACCCACACATCAGAACACACAGATACATACATATAGCACCTTTTTGATGGATGTGGTAATATCGGATTTGTTTCAGACCCCGGAGGGCACCACGCCACGCCCAGCTGCGTGCCCCAACTAAATGTCAGTGTCAGTTGCAAGTTAGCATGATTCCTGAAACTGATTTATACTTGGCGTACTCAAGGCAACATTTGGCACATGACATCACAGATCACTTGTACACCGACCGCAGGATACTCATCATTCTGCTGTGATTGCTACTCTTTCTACTTGATTTTTATTATTTTTTGGATTATTTTTATTTATTTTCCAACAATTCAGAAATACTTTATTCATGCCGAATGCCAGGGTTTACCCTTCTCCCACTCAAGTGCATAGTAAAATGTTCTTGTTAATTTTCGTACCCGTGTAAGCTAACAGTAAACTGCAGCTATAGGGATGGGATCTCCGAAATTAGCTTCTGGGTGTGTTTCATTTGGAACAGACACAAGAACTCGATTGCCAGTCAGTCAGTCAATGGGCCTAGCCAAATTTTATTGTTGCATGTCAAAGCCAACTGGCTTTGCCGTGTCCTCTTACTGGCTGTTGGTTGTTGCTGCTGCTGCTGCTGTTGCGGTCTGTGGCCAAGCCATAGAGGAATGCAATTTTCACTTTAGACTGAGACAAATACGAACAGACAAATGCATACGGATATACATATACATATGTATGTATATGTATTCTGTTGAAGTCGATACAAGTTTCTGCTCTCGTTTGACATTTATTTCAACATGCAGAGTCCGACTGCGGCCATTGCACCAAAGCAAAATGAATTCGAACAGCAAAAATTCGAATTTGAACCGCAAAAAATTCAATTTCCTTTTTTAGCTCAAAATAAAACTGAACACTGATGTGTGTCCATCCAGTGATATGGGTCTGATTATATACGTATATATATGTATATATGTATGTATGCATGTACGGTGTGCGTGTGTGTTTGTGTGTGCTGGAACAAATGTATATTTAATGGGCTTTAAATGGAATGAAGTCATGTTTAAACAGGATTTCTAAGGACCAGTTTAAGCTGCTTATGGAGTTTCTTTTCAGTGATTTCGGTTGTTGAATTTATGGAACAGCAACCACACCACAGGCAATCCAAACTTGATGGCCACAACAGCTTCTTACGAGTACCAGCCCACATATGGCAAAGCCACTGAAAAAACTTTGATATGGCCACAACACACACACACACACACACACACAGACACAGACACAGATGAGTATGAAAGGATATGGTCTCCACACCCAGCAGTGCCAACAAAATCCAAGCCAAGCCAAGCCAAGTCAAGTCAAGCAGGCACTCAGTGGCTCTGGAATTCCATTGCCATCCATCGCTTGGTTTTCACCGTCAACTGTCGAAGGAGGAAGAGACGGAAGACGAGGAGGCTTCATTATACATTTATTCGATTTTTACGTGACTTTGGCCATAAAGCACGAAAATAAAGCCCGAATACGTTGCTCGTAGAAGACAACAGATACGAAAAGTAATAGCAGCAGGCAGCAGTCAGAAGGGAGCAGGGAGCAGGCAGAAGGGAGCAGGGAAAAGGCAGCAGGTCTAGGGAGTAGCCATGTAAATGGTGTTCATATACAAATTGGTACCGATATGGCCTAAACGTGTCCCTCCAACCACATTTCTTGTCGCCTGTATCTGTGTATCTCCACCCCCCACCCACATGTGCCAGGACAATTATCGACCCCAATCCAGTTTAAACGCTTGTACAACTGTGCCCCGCTCCTTTGCCGTTTCATAAACTGTCAATTCGTGGACTACAAACAAAAAAAGAGGGAAGAAGGTGGACAGACGGGGGAAAACCTATATCAAAATGAAAACTTTTTCCGGCTGTTTATAGAGTGGACCACAGACAACGAAACAGAAATAGAACAGACCATGGATCAGTTCATGCCCGGCTTCCTTCTTTGTTGCTTTGCTGGCCAGCACACTCCCCGCTGATATCCTTTGCGCCTTCCGGGCCATAAATTTACACAAAAAACCACCCTCCCTGCCCGAAAGACTCGTCGTCCTCTGCGGCGATGGCGACTGAAACTTGTGCCGGGCTAATCCTTCCATCGTCTGGCGACCGGAAACGGCACCAACTGACAGGCCACAGCCACCGCCACCAACCTAACCCGAAACACAACCAATCCTCATCCATTTTGCCCGGTCTGCCCCCCTCTTTTCGGTTAGTTTCCTTGTCCAGCTGCAGTTGTGCATTTAATTTTATGCTCTCAACTTTATTCATATTTTTGCTGTGAAAACTTTCTGCAGCTTTTTTATGCTTTTTGTTTGTGCGAGTTGTTCAGTCAATTTAATAATTTGTTACTAGTTGTATGCCCCCTGCCCCTGGCTCCTGCTCCGCTCCGTTTTGCCTGTCCCTCAAATTAGTTGACACTGTGGGGCATTTGAAACCAAAAACAAAATTATTTGCATAGTTTTTGTGTTGCCGTCGCTGCGGTTAGCCACACATGTCGGATACTTAATATACACTGCAGACAGACTACAGACCGAACATAGCCAGCCACACACACATTTCAGCCACGTTTTTTGTGCTGAAGCAGGATCAGCCAGCTTTAATGACCTAATTTATAATTTTAGCCAATTCAAGCGGCAATCCAATTACACAGATGTGCGACCCCATAAGTGGAGGCTATGGACTAGAGCATAGGCCAGGCCAGGCCACAAATTAATTGAAAATCCTTTATTAAATTGGGATGTAAGTCAAGGCGAAAGGATGAATAAATAATGTTTATCAGGCTGGCTGTGTAGGTTTCTCTCTCTCTCTCTTAACTAAATTAAAATAGAACTGAACTTGAAGGCTTGAAGGTTGTGTTATTAAACCAATTTTCGATTATTTGCTGAAATCCCATCTTAATTATCGATGACTCCAACTTGCATGCAAGTGGGAGACCTTTCACTTTTCCAATGCCAAAAGCACTGACCTTTGGTTTATTTTATATGACCTCCAACCTGCCCTGCCAGACCCTGCCAGGCCCTGCCCTACTTGGCTTTAAAGAGCCTTTCAAGGCAAATATTTTAATTTGCCATTAAACGGCCAAGTGAAACGGGCTAACCTCTGCCAAACGAACAATAACAATAAAAGGCAACTTTTGCCAACAAAAAGAAGAACAAAACAAAAAATAAAAGAAAAACAGGAGCAATAAGCAACAATTACAAACAACTTGCAATCGATTTTTTTTGTGTTGTGTTGTGTTGTGTTTGTCCTGACGGCACGAACTTTCCACGCGACGAAAAAGACAAAACCAAAATAAAAGCAAAAGAATACAACAGAAAATGTTGATTAATCCCATTGAAATGTTCTTCATTTCTATATATGTATGTATGTACGAACGAAGAAGATTGGGGGGAGCACAGATTATGAATTATTTGGTAGGCAACTCAACAACTCAACAATGGAATATATGCATCATACGGTGGTATATTTCGGTTAAGGCAGTATTACGAGCACATATATTTGCGAGTATATGGGTTCCTATTATATGCTTAAGGGCTTCCTAGAGTCGCATGGCACTTTGCATAGATGAGCGCAGGGCCGTGCTGCGTTTCAATCAAATTTCCGCCAGAAATTAAATCCATTATAAATGAGTTCAGTTCAGAGGGGACTCGCTGTCGGCTGTCGGAAGCCCAAAATCGTTATCCATTATGGACCATAATCTGTTGCATTAAAACTGATTAAAATGTCATAGCATAGAAGACCAGAAATTTATGGCCAGGCAAATGTGGTAATTGAAGTACGACGGCACTTGACCCGGTTATGTACTCGATGCGACTGTGTGGATGCGACTGCTGGGGCAATTGGGATGCAGCAGACAGCCAGTAAGAGCAATCGCCTGAAGGGATGGCGAGGGGGATGGGGATGCGAGTCACATTCTATACGGCTGATGCCGATGCCGATGCCATGCCTAATTAAATAACTCGATAACTAAGGGCATTGGTATGCAGGTGAGAGTCGATTGGAGTGGAGTGGAGTTCATTCGCATTTCAATTAAAATGGAGAACAGCAGAGACCACAGATACAGAGAGACACAGCCACAGAGACAGCCACAGACACACTCAACAAATGGCAAAGCACTCAGAGGGACGCTAAGTCGTTTAGGCTTAAGTCAGCTTATTGCTCGGAAAAGTGGGACACGCGACGACATAGTTGACATACGCCAACGAGAACGCCAAAGCCATGGACGACGACCTGTTACCTGTTGGTGGTAGAATTTTCCAATAATCGAACCAACATACAAGTTTAATTAATGCCAAAGAACAAATGTTCTGCACGTTTTGGCGCTAATTTGATTTTAAAACTCATTTTAATATTCATTATAGGTCTCTCATAACGTATAATATATATTTATGTGATTCATGGCCGAGGTGAGCCATTCATGGCGCGGCTAATTGCACATTTGGACAGTTTGCGGTGCCAACGTTTGCGGTGCAAAGTTAACGCAGCAAAATGACAAAGTGCAAATGTGGCAACGCTTGCGTGGAGATAGAGCAGGAATTGCGGTTGAGCTTTGGGTCAGATGCAGTCAGATGCAGTGCTGCAGGCTGCAGGTGGGGCAGTATGTGTGTGTGTGTCTGTTTACACTAAGCTGTAGCCAGCTCTCCGCTGCACTCTGCTCACCCTTGATGACGATATTGTTGGTTGAACATAGAAGAAGTCGAATCCGAAAGCTATAGCCAAAAGTCAATGAAGGCATTTGTTCCCAGTAGTCGTAAAGCTTAAGGGAAGAGCATTAAGCATTAATCATGGACTCCCAATTCAACACAATTCGCAATTCATTAAAGTTAAAGTTTACCCTGTGTGGAGCCTAATTTGAGAGTGGGGCTGTGTTCACGGGATGCTCTAGGGGCGAATACCTTTTATTTAATTTAACATTTATGAAATATCTCTCGTCGTCGTTTTTTTTTCCACTCGATTTTCACTCTCTCGATTACGTATTTGTATTCATAATTCAATTTTAATGAATAAATTGCGGTTGCTTTTAATGGCTGACCGCAGATGCATCAGCTTAAAATGAAAAAAACGGATATCGGTGTCACGCCCACAAATATGGACACAAACCACAAATAAATAAATAAATATTATACATTGTATAACCATCATGCATGGCCCTTTCATCGATTTGTTTGAGTAATTAAACAATCGACAGTGGAAATGCCCCCGTGATCCAATTTTTCGGTATACGCCTTTCGGTTCCAGCTTTGCCCAGTGGAGAGGCTGTCTAAATTGTCTAAGGGGTGGGGGGGAAGGACTGGTAGCAGTGCTGTCACAGCCACTTACATAAATGCCACCATGCATCATGGATATTTATGTGCATAAATTATAGTCAACGAAAAAAGACGATCAGAACCCTTGCAGACTGTAATAATTCAGATTAAAAAGTATTTATACACATGACACTGACACAGGGGCTGCTCCAGCTCCTACTCCTGCTCCCCCTGCTGCTGCGTGGTGTGGGAGAATGGGTGGGGCTTATGCTGTGATGGTCACGCGTGTTTTCGCTCTGATTTCGCCATAATAAATTGACATTTTTCGGACATTTCTCTTGAGCTTCTCCAGTCTCTTCAGCTCTTCAGCTCTTCGCTCTGTGCAAAATGGAAAATGGGTGCTCGGCGCTTGGCGCTGTGGGAGCTGTCCGTCATTTAAGCTTTTCCTCAATGCTTCTTTTTTGTCGGTTGTCGGCTGTTGGTTGTCGGCTGTCCGCTGTCGGTTGTTGGTTGTTGAGGGCAAGCAGCTTATGGAGAGATTTTGCGTCAAGAGTTTCACTGCAGGAAGAGTGGGTCAGCTCCAAAGTAATCTCTCCCACTGCCAGCCCAGCTAATATTTAAAATGATTTCTGTGTGTGAATTCCCCCACGAAATCTGGAGAATCGAAAATGCTTGGCATTTGCGGATTGGGTGTGGGCTGTGGGATGTGGGGGAAATAACAGGAAAAAGCAATAAGCATTCAAATGGAAAGTGACAAAAGAGAGACGCGAAGAAGCAGCGACAAATAATTCGGCACAAAAGCAAATAAACAAGATAAACGAACAAACAAACATGGGATGCGGAGGAAGGGAGAGGGATGGGATGGGGATGGGGATGGGAAGGAAACAACAAAGCAAAAAAAAACCCAAGCAAAGACAAAAAAGAGACAGAAACAAAGCCAAGTACCCAAGCACATAATGAGCATAATGGGCGTGTTGAGTGGGAGGTCTTGTACGAGTAGCAGGGGCACATACACACACACACACACAATCCATGCCCTACACGTACCCGTGCACGTACCCCTACCCTTATCATACGAGACGAGTGCCAAAGAGCTTTTTGTGTTGGTTTTCCCTCTCAGTGCCTAGAATAAGCGCCACTTTACATGCAAACATACAAACATAGACAAACATAGACAGAGGAAGAGAGAGAGAGAGAGAGAGAGATATTGGTTAAGGGTGAGGCTAGGGGGATGCAGTTGCAGCTCAGAAGAAGCTGGAAAACATGGGATGCAGTGGGATGCGGATGGGATGGGATCAGGCAAGCGAAACGAGGGCAAAGGCACGTCGCCCAACCATTTAAACTAATCTTGAGGCAGTTTATTTATATATATCTCGAGGGTCGTTTGTCCTAACAATGTGCTCTCTGCTTATACACTCGTAGGTGCACAATGTACAATGTACATGCTCAGGTAAGCCATAAAAAAGGGGTGCAAACAAACACGAAGGGAGGGTGGGGAGCATCCAACAAGAGCCAGAGACAGGTAAGATCTATGAACGCATTGAATGGGGGGGACAATAGTTCATGGGTGACTCTCCTGCTCTGTGTGTGTGTGTGTGTGTGTGTGCTATGCTATTAAGGGAACAGCAAATATCTATCAAAATTATACAAAGCCAATAAGGTGTGGAAAATATATATTGCTGGAAAACACGGGCTAACTTTCGGGAGAGTTTTCACCAAAGATTTATAGAACATTTGGCAGAGCCAGAAACCATCTTTATTATACATTTGCTCGTCTTTAAGTGCCTCAGCTAAAGCCTTGAAAGCCCGCAACCTGATTGCTATTGAACTGTTATGCGCTCAGCCTTAAATGACCCCTCTAGTCTGCCTGTTAGTTAGTAGCTAAAAACATGAATTGAATACCTGAAACTGCTGCCCCATGCACAACCTTTGGCCCCCGCCTCTGCCCTGAGCAGTTGAATAGATCGTCGAGTTGCCTGAGGTCAGAGGCGCGCACACTTGACTGACCTTTGGCCTAAGTAATACCCGTTTTGAGGCTATTTAATTTCTATATAAATATTTTGCCTTAGACCACAAATCTGCGGGTCATAAGCCGCAAGGACGCGCAGCCGGGCACAGGGCACACGGGCACACGGGCACACGGGCACACGACACGCAGCTTACAAGCTTCGTCTCAGCCTCGAGAGCACGCCCGAATGAACTTGTATTAAAGCAACCGGAAATTAAACACACAAAAAGTTCTCCAAGACCCTGGCCGGGCCGCACCTTCACACAGACACACAATTACGAGTACTTTATAGACTCACTCACACATGTGCATATTGTGGTTGTTAGCTGCTTTTGCATCTTCTACTTGTATGGTCCGTCCCCCAAAAAGTTCTGTCTGATTTTCTTTTCTGGCGTTCGAAATGTAAAACGAAACGCATTCAACAGAAATGTCTGTGTAAGAGCTTCTGCAGTGATTGATACGCGCACAAAAGGTTTTTCCAGCTGAGTTTTCCTTGCTACTCACCAAATTTAACTCCGCAGCCAGTTCAATGGAATCCTCTGACGCTGCCCAGACAAGTGCCAGCTGCAAAAGATGAGCCAATTAAAAGAAGCAATTATTAAATGAAATATCACAAGCCAAAGCACATGAAGATGGGAAGATGAGTCTCGGTCTAGAGGCAGTCTTATTCCCCATGCCCCAGCAGAAAGTGAGGGTGGGGCGGCGGCTTTTAGACGAAATTGAACATATGATGATAATATGGAAAGGGCTACGGCTCGGTCCGGTCTCGGGTTGAGTGGGGAATGGTGCTGCTCCTTCGGATGTCGTTGGTATTCCCAAGCATGTTCCTTTTTGGCGCAAATGATGGAAATCACTTAACAAAGAGAGTGGGAAAGTGGATGATGACGATGACAACGACAACGACAACGCGGCTTATATGACAGGAGAGTGAGCTTGTGTTGTTGTTGCTGTTGCTGTGTTGCTGTTGCTGTGGAGGCTGTCTGCTGGTGTGAGTGAGTGGAACTTGTGTGTCTGAGTTCTTAATGAGCTTTTGTCTGCTGCATACTTTTCAGAGCTGTGCACTGGAGACACACGACTTTTGCGTCTTGGGCTGCTTTGTTCAAATATTTGACAGCCAAGCGGCAGGCAGGCAGGCAGTCAGGCAGGCAGGCAGGACAGACAGGAGGCTCAAAGTCTCTTGGTTATTAATGCCTAGTTTCCCAACTAATGAAAGAATATACCAAGAGGAATTGGCTTTAGCATAGCTGCGAATTTAAGCTAAATACTTAATGAATATGTTTCTCACCCAAAGAATGTTTCGTATATCAGGCTGAAGTCTTTAATGTTCTTCCCATGAACTTTCCTTTATGTTAGGGACACTTTGCTGTTGTGCAACCGATCCAGCCACAAAATCACTTTGGGCAAAGTTCAATCAAACGAGTTAATAACTTCCGCAAAAGTGGCAGTCAAAATTAACCATAACTCTCGGTCTACAAGCCAACTAAACTGACCCATTAGCCTCTGGCCTCCTCTCTGTCTCGGCCATGATATGGCCAAGTTCTGCTGGGTAGGGGGGTCACAGGTTATGCGCTTGAATGGCGGGACAAGGCGACTTGGGGGCTACGCTACCGTTGGGAATGTGTCGGGTAATATGTGTATGGTAATTTTAGCGCTTGTCTCTCCACGGACACACACACACACAACAATCAGGAGAGACGGGACGGGGACAGCTCAGGTGCACATGGAATAAAAATGCCGGAGCACATGTCACATTTGCCACATGAGTTAACGCGGCTCATTTATCATGGCTACCGTCCTCTACTGTCCTGTCCTCTACTCCTCTGTCCTAGCCTGCTTGTCCTAGCCTGTCCTGTCCGCTCTTGTCGCCCTCCGGTTGCGGTTCAAGGTGACCAAGGCATTTGCCGGCCAATCTGAGGTCGTTTATACACGTGTATACGAGTATCTGTGTGTGTGTGTGTGTGTGCGTGTGTGTTTTATATATACATACATATGTATGTATATAGCCAACGCCAAAATCTAATTGTAGCCCCTAGGCATAGGGAGAACTTTAATTAAGGTGCCAGCGACTCCTTTCCCAGTGCTCGCATCACAATGCAATATTTATTAGTGCGTGTGGCTACCTCCCCCACCCCACCACCCCTGTTTATACACATGTATATACATAATAATTCTATACATATGTATATGCAAGGGGATGCCACATGCCATGGTGGCATTAAAGTATGTCGCCTGACTAAATTTAGATATTCAAATCGATATCAAAAAAAAAAAAAAGAAAGCCCTGGCACGCACGCATTTTTAGTGCCCCAACTTTTGCCTCGAAACATTTTCCATTCTCAGAGTTCGAGTTGGGTGACTGGTGGGTGACTGGGAGGACTGGGAGACACATGTGTATAAAGGTCGCGCTTTTGTTATAATTGTGTAGCGATAGTAAAAGGCTTACACCAACAAAAGCTGTTTACAAAGTTGCCACGAGAATCGACATCGGCCGCCCAACTAATGCCCAAGCCCAAGATTGAGGCTATCCTGATAGTATTTCCCCATGGAGCCGCCCCCACTCATTTGAAGAAGGGGAGACAGAGTGGCGAGCTCCAAGTAAAACTGTATTTAAATATGGATTTTAGTATCTATGAATCATGGACTTTGTTACTCAGAGAGGAATGGGCAAAACAAGAAAGTTTTCTTCTGAGTTCGTAAAGTCTTCAAAACACTTGTGTTTCGCTTTAAATCCTGGTGCTTTCAGCAGCTGTCTGCTGGGCTGTTTACCTTTAATTATAATGTTTGTTAGTAATTATAGGTATCCTTCTCTATAGCCAATGTACATATATAGCTGGAGCCGAAGCCGGAGCCGGAGCCCTGTGTCTTGTGTGTGGGAACTTAAACTTTTGCTTTACTTTCACTAATTGAACCAATTGGGGCCACACATGGGAATTTGTACGGCATATCTCTGCTCCGATGCCTGTATGTCTGGAGGGCTCTTTGCAATATTTATGAGCATATATTGATTTAACAATTAGTCGCTCTCTTATACAAGAGGCCGATTTACATGCATATAAATAAAATTTATATCAAATGCCATCGTACATAAATTTCTACCCCCGGCAGAGGCAGCTCATTTCCAGTTGCATTTTCATTTTCATTTAATAAAGCATTTGGCACAGACAAACACGGCCCGGCCCAGACGAGTGCAGCGAGTGGGGCAGCCAGTGAGCGAGGAGGAGCGGGAGACTTCATTAATTATTTATACTCAGTTTGTTAACAATTTTCGTTTCCTTCCTTTTTTAATATTCTCTGTATTTGCTTTTACATTTTTCTGTTTGTTTGTGTTTTTTTTTTCTGTTTCTGGGTCTGGCATCCCGGGGGCTGTTTGAACTGCAGGCTCACAAAATAGGGTTAAGTATGGGAGCAGGATGAAGCTAAGACGAGCCAACGGGTTTCATGGGGGAGCAGAAAAAAAAACAAAAAAAAAGTAGATATGAATGCAAAGGTAATGAAAAGTTTGGGGGAGATTTGTAGGCCTTTGGAGATTGTATTTTTCTACAAATGTTTGCATTGCAAAGGAGGAAGCATCTCCAGCCCTACTATATGTATTTTTTTAATTAGCAAATCTAACTAACTAAAAGTACAAAATGCCCTGGATCGGTCTATATTATATTTTTTTATATTAAATTATTTATTTATTATATTATATTTTTTATATTATATTATTATTTTAAGGGGTATTTAAAATTGTCAGCTAAAATATTAAACAACTTTGTATTCACACAACAGATAATTACGCTTATGTGGAGCATATGTACATATGTATGTATGTGCCGATGCAGTTTCCGCCACGTACACTCGGTAAGTGTTTTGTGTTTATTTTTTAAAGATTTTTCAAATAAAATTTTGGGACTGATAGAGCCTGCTGATGTCTGCTTGCTTGCTCTCATATTGATGGTTATTTATGGGGTGTTCGTGGTGCCAGAAGGCAGAAAAGCTCTCAAACACGTGCTTGATTAGAGTCGCACAGCCCCACACCCCCACACCCCCATGCGGATATTGCGGATATTCGTAACGCCAGCGGACATGGCTCAATCAGGGTACACAAATAGCTGTGTAGTATATGGGATGCTGGCCAGGGCCAGGGGCAGGCGCAGCGGCAGGGGCAGAGCATCTAAATTGGCTTTGTAACTGTTGGAATTTGTTTGTCCACCATTTTATTTGGCTAAATCGCATCGGTGGAATGCCTGCGACACCACACCAGTACGCGGCGGAGTGGCGTCAAGCGCCGGGGTCATGTATCGATTTTCCTATGGAAGTTTTGACCATTTTTAATGGCAAACTTTTATTGTTTTTTTTTTTTTTTGGTTTTTCTTCTTTTTTTATTGTTAGTTGCCAAATATTTGTGCCTATTGTGTGGCAAAAATATTTATTCAGCATTTGTTTCCGCTGTGATTTGGCTACGGAAGAGATAATTTCCGCTAATTGCCTGCCGGGGAACAGCCGTAGATGCGGGACTGCAAACCAGTGCAAACTAATAGAAAACTAAATGAAAATCAGCAGCCAAAAATTTCACATAAATTTAGTTTTAATTTCACTTTAATTTTCCCCTTGTACATAGTGGGGGGGATTTAAAGACTGCCAAAGCCACATTCTAACTGGATTACTTTGAGCAGATTATTAATTCAGCAAGAGTAGAAAAACTCCACCCTTCCCCCCCGCTCTTTTCACATTCGACAAATAACAGAGTTAATTAGTTTTAAGCACAACCTTTGTTTGCACAAAAAGAAACATACCAAAAAAAAATAAGAGAAGAAACTAAAGAAAAGCTGAGAAAATAAGCGAGGGGAAATCAGTAGAAAGTTTTCACATTTCCGTGCAAGGACATGCGTGACGTCGTCGGGTGACCCCTCCGTGGTAACTCTCCGCTTTCACACTTGCCACTTTCTCACACATATAGAGTATACATATACATATACATATATATATGTAAGTATTTCCCTTTTGGTTCTATTCCTTTTTTTTTTGGGGGGCCAAGACTTGCACGAGGTTCGAGAAATTAAGAAAGCGAGCGGCAAAATAATACATATAACTGCTACAGGATATGTGTACGTATGCACGGTATATCCGTTTACAAAGGACATTGCTATGATTAGCATTTCAATGGTGGGCAAAATTGGTTGGTTGGTTGGTTGGGGTTTTAGCTGTGAGGAGCTGCTGCCAGGGATATTATTCATAAAATGCAATTACTTTTAATGCCCAGGCAGGCCTCCGTGCCGCGCAGTGGCAATGCAACTATAATTAGATGGCCAATTATGGCGTTGAAAATTGAAATTTGCAGCGACTGCAGCACTCAATTTTCTGTTTCCGAAACCACAACAATGTGGCTGAGGCGGGATCTGCATCTAGGCTCTGGCCGCCGTTACGTACGAGTATACGTAACGTGTAACCCACAAAAGGACCTCACTAGAGACCTCTTAGTCACGCGTTGGCATCTCAAACAAAAATCCTAACGCCGGGCGACTGCTGCGGCGGGCCGGTGGTGGCCATACAAAAAACGTGTCATCCAAGCGATTATCCTT